CACAGACTCTGAAACAGAAATTAGCATGCGGAACATTTATAAGGGAGTGCTCTTGAAATCACACCTGTGGAAGGGAAACAAAGAAAGCAGAACTAGGTAGGGAGAGAAGTTGAGCTGTGATGCAGTCCAAATGAAGGCCTCAGCCAACCTCATAGGCAACTCTGGAATGGCCTGCAGAGTTGTCCTAAATTGTGGTGTTGGGCCTATTTAGCTCAGACACTCAATGCATCTGTCATGGAAGGATGTGAATTTCTCTCCAGCTGAGGATATCCCCAGGGAGGGCTGACTTCTGAGGGTCACCTCCAGCAGCACTCACAGCAACTGGAAGAACAAGTTCCTCACTCCTGAAGAGGGATGTAGCCAACACATCACATCCCCCACCACACTGCCACCCTGGTTTCCATGGTAACCACATCTTTAGGTTTGTTTCTAGTTTTGCCACATAAGAGATAACAACATCACTTATTTTTGCCTGTTTTTGAAGCTTAGATAAATGAAATCTTACTGTATGCATACTTCTGTGTTTTTCTGTTTCTCTCAAAAATATATCTTTTAAGATTCATCCATGTAGCTCATTATTAATTCAGCTTAATTTGTTTCATTGCTGTACCCCTTCTTTTAAGGTACCACAGTATATTCACTCATTTCACTCTTAATGGATGTGAGGGTTTTTCACAGTTTAGGGGCTTCAAAAAATGCTGCTGCATTTTTTGAAATAGCATTCATGAACGTGCATATATCTGTGTGATCATGCACATGAATTTCCAAGGTATATGCTTAGGAGTAAAATTGCTCATTCACAATATTTAAATTTTTGATTTTACTAGAAAATACCAAAATGTTTTCTGACCTTTGCTTCCAACAGCCATGTTTGAGAGTCCCCATTTCTCTACATCTGCATCTCCAGGGACAGACATGGTAATGCTGCAGTAACAGCCCCCTATCCCCAGTGTCTTACAACAACAAATGTTTCCTTATCAGTCATATTTCCTGTCCATCATGGTCAGTTGTTGAATGACCACTGCAGGCTCCAGACCGATGGAGCAGGCTCTATCTGCAACATTGCTAGTTTCCTAGAATGTTTTACTTCTCAAGATAATATTCTTATTGTATAAAATAGACTATATTACTTCTTCCTTTCCAATTCTTCTGCTTCTAAATGCTTATTCTAACCTATTTGTATTGGTGTTTTATATATTCCGAAGCTATATGATTAGATGAATACAAATTATTTTTTATTATTAGGAATTGACCCTAGGCCTGACAACTGATCAACAGACTAGTAGATAACTGTGGACACATGAGGAGGCTCATTCACAAAATTTTCAAATAATAATGACCTCAAAACTTAGTGTTTTAAAATAATAGCCATTTATTTAGCTCATTATTCTGTGGATCAGCAATTTGGTTGCATTCAGCTGGGTGGTTCTTCTGTCCTTAGCCAGGCTTGCTTCTTTTAGCTGCCTAAGATAAGAGATGAGCTAAAGAAAGAACAATTTTATTTGCAGAAGTTAGAGAGAATATAAAGGAGCAAAAAAATATTTCTCTCATCTCCAGTCCCCTCATCCAGAAAAGACCAAAGCCCAGAAAAATAGAGTATCTTATGTGAAGTCTCCAGGAAAGTCAGGGAGGGAAACATGCTGAATTCAGATGCCCCAGTCTTGCCATTTCGCATAACAACATAATCCCAACATTGAATCTCTAGCTGTATTTAAAAATATGCCCTAGAGATTATTCAAAAGTTAAAGGAATAGCCTCTAGTGAGATCAAAATAGGGCAGAAATTAAACAAAGAAGAAAACCTGAATAGTACCTAGTTGGCATGATGTCCACTCAGCAGAGCTCAGGAAAAATCCCTGTATGTATTTGTACACTTTGACACACAGCTGGGAACCACATTCTGAGTCCAGAAATCCTATATTCCTCAATTTCCTAGGATAAATGAAATCCACTATGTTTTTTGAAGTGCAAAGCAGACACTTCACATAATGATTAAAACCTTTAAACTTTGCAGAGTGAACCAAGCAGATGCAAATCAGTTCAAAACACATTTTGATCCTAATTGTAGGCTACCAGTTGATTCGCTGCGTAAGACCCGATGTAACTTGACCTTTCTGGATCTTAACTCCTTCATCAGAAAAGTTAACATCCCCAAAGCAGTGCAAGGTGATAATTAATAAGATAGCAGATCCAAGAAATAATTTAAAAACACCTGAACCTATTTCCTCTTGACTGATGGGGGCAGATGACCTGATTTCTGAAATAAGTGCAGAACAGAAATAAATGAGGAGTCTACAAAGCAAAGGGTCTTTCCAGAGCAAGAGATGTAGAAGAAAAGCCAGTGTCAAGATAGTTGGGGAACATTTCTAACAGTCTTTGAAATAGCAGAGAGTTTTGAAATCAGCACTAAAAGGAGTTGTGCCCAGCCCTGTGCTGGGCAGGGGACTCTGAAGAAGAGGCTCATGGCCTTATAAGGAGATTAATGGGCAAATGGTATGAATATAGTGGAAAAGGGGCAAAGTTATAAGGGTGTACAAGGCAGCCTGTAGGAGGTAATGACTAATTCTTTCTTGAAAGAGGGTAATTAGAGGCATTTGCAGAGAGGTGATGAGAGCTGACCTGGGTTTTGACACAGATAATGAATATGGTACATAATAGGTACCTGATAAGTATTTTTAAATAAATGAAATAAAGGCATTTCCCACAAAAGTATCGCCAAGGGCAACAGCATGAGAGTGGAAGGAATATGGCATTTCTAGGAAATTGTATTGCTAGAGTGAAAAGTTAGAGGGATAGAACAACAGCCATATTAGTGAGGCTAGAGATGGATGCAGAGACCAGATCTCTGAGGCCTGTGTGACACACAAATGCTTTTGAGTATGTTCTGTTGGATTTGGGGAAGCTAGGGAAATTTGAAAACAGAATGCAAAAGAACATTCCAAGCATAGAAACTATGATGGACACGGTGTGTGCCACTCAGAGCCTGTTTCAAGGACTTGCCTTATCTGCTATGAGTGCTATTGGTGGGAAGCCTTCAGCTTGGCCTCTCTGGAGTCTGCCACAGCTCAGAGCTGCCTCACCCATGGACATGCCCTTCTATGCATCCCACATCCAATGCCCGATGGAGGCAGGGAGCACAGGCCCAGCTATGTCAGCCCACCCTGGGCAACTCTGACAAGCCCTTTTAGCTCCAGAGCCCCCTGTGGTGTTAGCTGAGGCCGCTGTCATCGGGAATGACCTGTACTGCAGTTCAACTTCTCTTTCCATCCATTCCTGCTTCTATCCAGGCCAGAACCACAGGGCAGGGGTGGATAGTAGAAGGAATCTGAGGCAGAGGTCAAGCCTGTCCTCCCGCCCCTGTGGCTCTGACCTTCAGAATTCACTGGTGGCAGCTAATGGTTTGGAACAAATGGAGTACAGCAAAAGGAGACCTGCTCTCAAGATCAAAAGGCGTTCATGGCCAGTTTCTGTTATGGGTCTGCAAGCCACATCACTTCTCTAACATAGTTTCCTCATCCCCCCAAAACATTCGAGATTTGGTGGTGGAAGTGGGCAAACACATGAAATAACATGGGAAAGTGCTTTACAAACTGTGTATACAAGAGTGAGTATGAATATTAAAACAACAGATAATTGTTTCTGCCCCTTGACTATATTGTCTCTGCACCTCAGGATTTACGGAATAAGGTTTTTGCTGGGAGTCATGAGAGCTCCATGCAATGGTTATACTGCCACCTAGTAAATGTGGGGAGAACAGCAGTTGGACCTCACTGATGTTCCCAGGATGGGAGCAACCAACACGAACAACCAGTTTTAACAGTGCTCTTATTATTGAATCTTTGCCTGGAGTTCCTAACTCCTGGACATAGGAAGGTAAAGGTGGGAGTAAGAAGTGGAAAATAGATCACAACCCAAATCAAATACCATCCTCAGGATAGACAAGTTTGGCCCCTTTATGCCCAGCCAGCTGAGGTTATGCCTAAGAAAGAAATGCATGCGTGTACAATGCATATCTGTACAATGAGCGGCTCTGCCAAACAAGATGGAACATCTTCCATTTTATTCCCATGCAAAATAAGTTACACGTAGTGTGTTAAGGAAGAAAAAAAAGATAGTATATCCAAGCATTAAGAAAAAACTTGGATTATACAAAAATGGATACCTTTGGGAGAAAAGATTATATGTGGTCATTATTTTTTTCATGTGCATTTCTGTGTCTTACAGATTTGCTACCATGAAAACATAGTCATCCTTTTGTGGTAATATAAAAAAATTGTTTTAAAAATAGAATAGAAATTTAATGTTTCTTTGAACATTTTGCATAAAGCTGGTTCCATCCCACCTGCTGTATCATCAGACTGTGTGGTAGAACATACAGATTATGGAAATCACAGTTACAGAACCAGGAACTTTCCAGAGTGTTTTTTTTTCTCTCTCTCTTTCTCTCTCTTTCTATCCCCCACCCCATGACCATGTGTAGAGAGAGAAAATAGCTATCTATAAGCCCTTTGGAAAAGGGCTAAGGAAAAGAGCCCTTAGCACTTTGATCATGAACTAGCCTTTAGAACTTTCAGGAATACATTTCTGTTTAGCCACCCAGTTAATACATGATCTCACAGAAGTCTGAGCCAGGCATCTTCAATACCCTGCAGCTCCCTCCACACGGTTCCCAATTCTGCCTGGAAGTGAGCCCAAGGTCACAGGCTTAGAGAATCAAGCCATGAGGCAGAGGAAGACCTTGCAGAACACATAATTGTACTCAATATCTATATCACAAAATGTTTCAACCATGGTGAATCTAAACCTTTCGCTGCATCCTTGCATTGACAATGTCAGCCTCAATTGTTGAGTCACCACGTTTTGAAGGACAGAATTCACTATAATTGATGTCAAAGAATTGGTCCCATGGAAAAGTCACTGTTGTCTCTTCATCAACTGCTGTGTCACAAAGTATAGCACAGACTACAATGAGCAGGAATCACACAGTCTCACGCCAAAGGATTTAACAAAGCATATCTTTATTTATGCACATACATTAGGTAGAAAGGATGAAGTTCACATTAGCTATCCCTTTTTCCGGGCCCTCTCTTTGACTAATGCTTCCCCTATTCTCTGGTGGAAAAATCAAACCAAGTTTCAATTCATTTCTGAATTAGGTTTTGCTCACTTCTTACATTGATCTTTCTTTTGCTATGTAGCACCCCAAAATTTTAAAGTAATGTTATAGGTCAAGTTCAAATTTCCTTTTCATTCAGTTCTAATTCATTTAAATTAGTTTTAGGAAAGTTTTGGTTACTTTTTGTAACTATTAGAATTCAGTCTTCAAGTCACAAATAATCTGGGCCCAAGCCCTTGGCTGGCAGGAAAAAAATTCAGGGAGTTAGGAATCTTATGTCTAAGTTGAGGAGTGGGTTCTGTCACTTAGGAGCTGTGTGGCCCTGCCTCACAAGGGCAATCTTGATTTCATCAGCTCGTATAAGAGGAGCTACAGTAATGAGGCTCTGCCTAACTCTGCAGGGGTGGTGGGTCACACTGAGCTTCACATTCTTCCTTGGTTTCAAAGCGGTTGGCATTGCCCCCACAGCTGCCATACCAGAACTGCTGGCAAGCCCGCTCTTCTTTGTTGTAGTACCACTTCAGGGTGTAGTTCTGGCACTCGCCTTCCATTGGATCCATGGAACAAGAACCTGCAACAAAATGAACACAGAGAGAGCTGGACTTCCTGCATGAGCATGCCAGGGAAAGAACATGGTCTGGAGTCACAGATCTGGGATCGAATCTCAGCCTCACCACCAACTGGCTGTGCAACTTTGGGCAAGTAATTTAACCTCTATGAGCCTCAATTTCCTCAATTATAAAAGCAATATTAAAAAAAAATACCCTACATCACAAATGTGTTGTATGATGTCGCATAGCATATGTGAAAGGTAAAATATAGTTATAGCTATTATTTTGCAAAGCACCTGGCATATGGCAGATATGCCCAGAGAGTGTATAAGTGAGTGAATGAATTAATGAATGAAGCTTTCTGTTACTGCACACTCCTCACTTGCTTTCCTTCTTTTTTCAAACTATCTCAACCTTTTACCTAATCTCAAGCCTGTCCAGCCTTCCAATGGCCTAAGCAAATCCAGCTTATTTATTATATTAATATATAATATCCTAACTCTTGCCCAAGAAGTAAAGACATCTATTAAAACAAAAACCATGATGTCCCTGAGGAAAAAAAAAATAGCATTGGGAAGCAACGAGTTACAACAAAGCAATACATGGGATACCCTGAATTTTTTTTCCCAAATTCTGTGGGTACAAATATTGTTAGGGTTACATATCTTGCCCCTGCCCCCCTCCCACCCTGTCTGAATTTTAAATTATGCATTGATTTTCCCAGGCAGCTAATCCCTGCCTTCTAGGTAGAGCAGATTTCCTTGGGCACATTTTCTATCACATACAAGTATTCTTGTCCCAGGTCAGCCCTGAAACACAGAATGCTGGCATCCTCCAAATAGTTCTTCCTGGGCCTTCCAAGTACCCCTAAATAAAGAAGATATTGTCTTCAGAAAGCAAGAGTTAAAATTCATGGTCTGTTCCTGGGAAGCTACCTACTAACCTCCCAATAGTATAACCAGTTTTTTAGAGGTGACCTGATGCGCTGGACCCATGGAGATGACGCACACTCCTAGTGGGGTAAGGAATTGACACAATGCACAGGAATTTTTTTTTTTAAAAAAGATAAAGATGAAAAAAGTGAATCCAACTTAAGAAGCAGGAGTTTGGTTCTTACCATAGGTAGTACCTGAATTTATTTCTTTTCTAGTTTCTTCTTGTTTTGCTGGTGTTTCTTGTTCATTTTTTTCAATGTCATATTCGTCCTTTTCATAATTTTCAAGTGCTTCTTGCGGAGTTGTAGGTGTTGTCATGCCTTTTCTCTTCTCTTCTAGAAAAACGTCTGTTGCTTCAAGTGCTTCCAAATCACCAGCAATGCCAGACATACCAAACTGGTGGTTGAGTGACCTGTATAGAAATAATCCATGTCAAACCACATAACCAAACCTCAAAAACTAAGAGGTTCAATTTTCACTTGATATTGCTGTGATTTACAATCTTTATGTGAGGGCATTTCCTGATGACTGCATTATTGCATTAACTGTTTTCTTAGGTCTGCAGACATGTTTGGATAAACATCAGAATGATATGTTTATCACTATTAATTTTAACTCTGGGACATGGAATTAGAGGATGTGGGGATATCGTACAATGAAAATTTTTCTTTTTCTTTTTATTTTTTTTTTTGCTTCTATACACTCATGTATTTATGTATCCTTTGAACTTTTTATATTGATCCAGTATTACTTTCAACATTAAAAAAAAAAGAAAAAGAAAAAAGTATATCACAATTGTCAACTCCAGAAGCACCCAGCCGTAGTTTGAGTCGAGTCAAGGACTGGCATTTCCTATAACCTTTCTTTAGGGAGACCATCTCCTGCCTGGGGGCAGAGCTGTGGGTCAGTCTCAGCCCTGCCCTTAGCTACCTTATGAAAGGCATGCCTGAGTGCAGCAGAGTGTCCCCACTGTTTGGGCCCGTACACTCTGCAGTAAGTTCTGGGGGTGGGTACTGGTTTGTTCCACCTAAAAGGAAAAGAAAATCAAATCAAGCCAAATATAAAATAATGCAAAACTTTAAAATAAAATAAACAGAAAATTAAACAAAATACTACCCATTAAGACATAAAATACTAAAGACATAAAATCAAATAAAGTATAAAATATAAAATAAGACAAAAAACAAAATGAAACAAAATAAAATAAAAATATTAACAATATAAAAATAAAAGTAAACAGAACATTGAGAACAAAAAAATCCAGGAAGACATAAAATCAAAAAGATATAAAATATATTCAAATAAAGCATAAAATAAATATAAGCAAATAAAAATGAAATAACAGAATAAAAACATAAAATGCATACTATCACATAAACAATATGAAATAAAATCACAACATAAAAGAACATAACGAAACACAAAATACAACCTAACATAAAAAAGAAAGTAAAATTAAGTTAAATCAGATTAGTAAAGTGATTCCTTCAGCCAGCCTGCTTCTCCTTCATGGAATCACCAAGTCATTAGTGATCTATTACCCTTCTCTCTACCACCCCTTGCAAAGATACGGAATCTAAAGTTCAGAGAGATTCACTGACTTTTCTAGGATCATACAGCTCACTAGCGGCAGACCGAGGACTAGAACCAATTCACTGATCTTTGTACCTCTCAAATTGGAGAGACATAAACGCTGTGCCAGTACTTCGAAGATGTCCATCAAACTCCCTTTATTATTTTAATGATGATGGAGCAGATGCCCCTCAAGGTCCCCAACGGGATGGCATAACCACTTATAAACTGAGAAACTGATGTCTCCCAGCAAGGTCAAGGCCTCACGTTACAACAAAGCACCCTGCACATGAGTCATTTTGAATTATTCACTGAAGGACGAAGCCCAGGACAAACTGCTGGATACTATCCTCCCCAACCCAATTCTAAATCTCCATTATCACACTAGGGATACAGATTTGGTTCTAGCTGCCCTTGAATTTAATTCTACTAGTTCTAAGAGAAAATCACCTCTATGATTGGAGGCGAAGATGCTAGGGCTGGGGGATGGGGACGCATTCCAGCTAGGACACACTGGCACAGCCCTTGTCCCTTAACCTTTACTATTAGCTTCATCTTGGCAGGGTGCAGTGAGTCACACCTGTAATCCTAGCACTTGGGAGGCTGAGGCAGGAGGATTGCTTGAGCTCAGGGCTTCGAGACAATTAGATTTATCCATTCAGCCTGAGGTGGGAGACCCTGGCCTTTTGTCCTGTGTCCCTTACTTCCTGGTAAGCCCCGAAGATCTCTGACCCCACACTGCCATGTCAACCCCTACTTTAAAATAAATGTCATATACTCTTGTTACTTAAAGTGTGGTCCATGGACCAGCAGCGTCAGCATCACTCTCCAGCTTGTAAGAAACACAGAATCTCAGTCCCCAACCCAGACCTACTGAATTGGAATCCCCATTTTAGCAAGATTCCCCAAGATATTCATGTGTACCTAAAAGTTTGAGAAGCAATGTCAAATACCACTGGAAAACAGTTGTAATAAATAGTAATAACAATGATTATGCCTTATTTGTACAGTATTGGTGCTTTCAAAGCCACTCCACGCATATATGGCTTCACAATTAGGGAAAAGACTGCAATTCTCATTGTGAAAACAACAAAATTGAGAAGTTATGTGTAGGTCTGAGGCTTCCAGACACCAGATGAGAGGTTCAGGACAAGAAACCAGCACAAGGCCTAGCACAACGTCAGAGCAATGATAGTGCAGGGTTTTCAGGAAATAGGGTGCTCCCTGGCATTCCCCAGGGAAACTAAGCTGCACACACTTCAGCAAGGGTGGAAGGGCAATGGGCACCTACCTGCCCAAATACCAGGCTCTGTAAGTTCCTCTCCCCACCCCACTCAGGGTACCTCAGTATTCGGGGAATGCTCACTTTTTAGGAGGTTCAGGAAAGCTCGCGTGAATCCCCGGGCGTAGGCTACCTCCGGCTCCGAGACCCCTTCCAGGCGCAGCAGGTGCTGCTCGGAGGGGGCACTGGCCACGTGGGCCAGCTTGGCCAGCTCACGGTCCCCCAAGCCAGGGCCCATGGCCAGCACAAACAGGGTGAGGCCCTTGCACTTGGCATCCAGGGACACGGTCAATAGCTTCTCCCTGTCCCAGCTGCTAGTCTCGCTGGCCACGATGGCAAAGAGAACCTGTGCCCTCCGCGGCAGAGGGGCTGCCAGGAGCACCTTCTCCAGCGTCCACTCCAGGGCGTGGCCCAGGGCGGGGGCTCCCTGCAGGGGGCGGCCCGCGGCGGCGTCGCGGGCATGTCTCTGCATCTGGGTCCGGTGACCGTAGGAGGTCAAGCTGAAGCCCTCAAGCACAGGAGAGCGACCCCCGCCCGGCCAGAAGCCCGGCGCCGTGTGCGTCACCAGGGCCACACGCGCCCCATCGCGCGACGCGCCTGGCTGCGCAGCCACCTCCAGGTCGTCTAGCACGGCGCCCACCAGCCCCAGAGCTCCGCGGAACAGGTCGGCGCGCACGCCGTGGGAGCCGTCCACCACGAACGCCAAGTCCACGTCCACCGCCTGCGGCCGGGCCGCGCCGCACTGCGGAGCCGGGCGGCACTTGTCTGGGGAGGAAACACACGGGAAGGCTGGGGTTCAGCGATGCGTCCCTTTCTCTCCCATACAAAACCCGGTTCCAGACCCTCAGTAAGGAGAGAGCTGCTGCTGAGCGTTGGCCAGCCACTGCGCCCACATGCCAAGCCCACGGGTACACGAGCCCATTTCTCAGAAGAAAGGATTGAGACTGGTTGCACATTTAATGTTTTGAGCTACTAGGGCCATACGGCTTCCTAATCTCTGGGTTCACAGACATCAGCTCCCTTTCTCCCTACAAAAAAAGAGTTGTACTGTACTTAGTAATGTAAGTACAGTAGATAAATCAAGAGTAGTGAACGATGCCTGGGAAACCACATAAAAACATCGATTGCTAGCGGTGAGAATGGTCTTTAAAACCATATGAAATTGCCATTTTTTAGGATTAAAAAAAATCAAACATTGGCAGTTATTTTTAATTTTTTAAATTATTATGGGTATATAATAGTTGTATGTCTTTATAGGGCACGTGTGATGTTTTGATACAGGCCTACAATGTGAATTAATCAAATCAGGGTAATTGGGGTATCCATCATGTCAGGCATTTATCATTTCTTTGTTAGGAACATTCCAATTCCACTCTTTTAGTTAAAGTATACTCTAACGTGTTGTTGAAAATCGTCTTTGGTATTTGATAGCACTTTGTTCTGCTATCAAATATTGTTCATTATATCTAACTATATTTTTGCACCATTAGCTATCACCACTTTATCCCCCCTTCCCCGATACCCCTCCCAGACTCTGGTAACCATCACTCTACTCTGTCTCCATGAGATCAACTGTTTTAATGTTTAGCTCTCACATATGAGTAAGAATTTGGAGATTGTCTTTCCATGCTTGGCTTATTTCACTTAACATAACGTTCTCCAGTTCTATCCATGTTGTTGCATGTGACAGGATTTCACTCTTTTGTGGCTGTATAGTATTCCATTGTGTATTTCACCACAATTTCTTTATCCATTCATCCACTGATGGACACTTAGGTTGATTCCAAATCTCGGCTGTTGTGAATAGTGCTTCAAGAAACATGGGGGTGGAGATCTCTTTTTGATATACTGATTCCCTTTCTTTTTGATATATATCTAGCAGTGAGATTGCTGGGTCATATGGTAGTTCTATTTTTAGTTTTCTGAGGAACCTCCATACTGTTCTCTATAGTGGTTGTACTAATTTTACATTCCCAGCAACAGTGTATAAGGGTTCTCATTTCTCCACTTCTTCACCAGCATTCATTATTTCTGTCTTTTTGATAAAAGCCATTTTACCTGGGGTGAGATGATAAACTCATTGTGGTTTTGATCTGTATTTTTCTGATAACTAATGATTTGAGAATTTTTTTCATATACCTGTTGGCGATTTGCATGTCTTCTTTTGAGAAATGTCTATTCAGAACTTTTGTCCATTTTTAACTTTATTATTTGATTTTTTTCCTATTGAGTTGGTAGCGCTTCTTATATATTATAGTTATTAATCCCTGGTCAGATGGGAACTTTGCAAGTATTTTCTCCCAATTTGTGGGTTGTCTCTTCCTTTTGTGGACTGTTTCCTTTGTTGTTGATTGTTTCCTTTGATGTGCAGAAGCTTTTTAGTTTGATGTGATCCCATTTGTCCAATTTTGCTTTGGTTGCCTGTGCTTTGGGGGTATTACTCAAGAAGTTCTTTCCCAGACCAATCTCCTGAAGCATTTCCACAATGTTTTCTTTTAGTAGTTTCATATTTTCAGGTCTTACTTTAAGTCTTTAATCCATTTTGATTTGATTTTGTATATAGTGAGAGATAGGGGTCTAGTTTCATTCTTCTGCATTTGGATATACAGTTTTTCCAGCACCATTTATCAAAAAGACTGTCCTTTCACCATTGTATGTTCTTGGTACTTTTGTCCAAGATAAGTTCACTGTAGATATGTGAATTTATTTCTGGGATCTCTATTCTGTTCCACTGGTCTCTGTGTTTCTTTTTATGCAAGTACCATGTTGTTTTGGTTACTATAACTCTGTAGTATTATATAATTCGAAGTCAGGTAATGTGATTCTTTCAGTTTTATTCTTTTTGCTCAGGATGGCTTTAGCTATTGTGGGTCTTTGTGATTCCATATAAATTTTAGGATTATTTTTTCTATTTCTGTGAAAAATGTCATAGGTATTTTGATGGGGATTTCACTAAATCTGTAGATTGCTTTGGATAGTATAGACATTTTAACAATATTGATCCTTCCAATCTATGAGCATGGAATATCTTTTCATTTTTTTGCATCCTCTTCAACTTCTTTCATCAATGTTTTATAGTTTTCCTTATAAAGATCTTCCTCTTCTTTCATTAAGTTTATTCCTAGGAATTCTATTTTATTTGTAACTATTGTAAGTAGGAATATTTTCTTGGTTTCTTTTTCAGATTGTTTACTGTTGACATTAGAAATACTACTGACTTTCGTATGTTTTTTGTATCCTGTGACTTTACTAAATGTGATTATCAGTTCTAATAGTATTTTTTTGTGTGGAGTCTTTAGGTTTCTCTAGATATAAGATCATATTGTCTGCAAACAGGGATGATTTTAATTCTTCCTTTTCAATTTGGATGTGCTTTATTTCATTATCTTGTCTGATAGTTCTAGCTAGAACTTCCAGTACTATGTTGAATAACAGTGGTGAAAGTATGCATCTTATTCCAGATCTTAGGGGAAAGGCTTTCAATTTTCCCCCATTCAATATGATACTAGCTGTGGGTCTGTCATATATGGGTTTTATCATATTGAGATAAGTTCCTTCTATACTCAGTGTTTTGAGAGTTTTTATTATGAAGGGATGTTGAATTTTATCAAATGCCTTTTCAGCATCAATTGAAATGATCATATGTTTTTTGTCCTTCATTCTGTTGATATGATGTATCATATAATAGATTTGTGTATGTTGCACCATCCTTGGATTCCTGGGAAGAATCCCACTTGATCATGATGGATAATCTTTTCAATGTGTTATTGAATTTGGTTTGCTAGTATTTTCTCAAGGATTTTTGCATCTATGTTCATCAGAGATATTAGCCTACAGCTTTCTTTTTTTTGTTGCTGTTGTGTCTTTTTCTGGCTTTCATATTAGGGTGATACAGGTCCCATAGAATGAGTTTGGGAGTATTCTTTCCTCCTCAATGTTTTGGAGTAGTTTAAGTAGGATTGGTATTAGTTCTTCTGGAAATGCTTGGTAGACTTTAGCAGTGACGCCATCAGGTGTTGGGCTTTTCTTTGATGGGAGAATTTTTATTACTGCTTCTATCTCATTACTTGTTATTGGCTTATTCAGGTTTTGGATTTCTTCCTGGTTGAATCTAGGTAGGTTGTATATGTCTAGAAATTTATCCATGTGTTCTAGGTTTTCTGATTTATTGGAATATAGTTGCTCATAGTAGTTTCTAAGGATCCCTTGGATTTCCACAATATCAGTTGTAATGTCTCCTTTTTCATCTGTGATTTTATATATTTGGGTCTTCTCTGTTTTTTTCTTAGTTACTTGGCTAAAGGTTTTCAATTTTGTTTATCTTTTCAAAAAAGTAACTTTTGGTTTCATTGGTCTTTTGTATTTTTTTGTTTGTTTCAAATTTTATTTATTTCTTCTCTCATCTTTATTATTTCTTTTCTTCAACTGATTTTGGGTTTGTTTGGTCTTGTTTTTCTAGCTATTTGAGATGCATCAAAGAGGTTGTTTATTTGAAGCTTTTCTGCTTGTTTAATGTAAGCACTTATTGCTATAAACTTTCCTTTTATTACTGCTTTTGCCATATCCCATAGGTTTTGATATGTTGTTTTCATTTTCATTTTTTTCCAGAAATTTTTTAATTTCCTTCTTAATCTCTTCATTGACTCACTGGTCATTCAGGAGCATATTGTTTAATTTCTATGTGTTTGTATATTTTCTGATGTCCCATCTTGTTATTGATTTCTAGTTTTATTCCATTGTGGTCTGAGAAAATACTTGGTATGATTTCAATTTTTTTGAATTTTTTGAGACTTTTTGTGGCCTAACATATGATCTGTCCTTGAGAATGATCCATGAAATGAGGAGAACATGAATTCTGCAGCTATTGGATGAAATGTTCTGTAAATCTCTATTAGGTCCATTTGGTCAGTAGTGTAGATTAAGTCCAATGTTTCTTTGCTGACCTTCTGTCTGGATAATCTGTCCAATGCTGAAAGTGGAGTGTTGAGGTCTCCAATGATTATTGTGTTGGAGTCTATCTCTTTAGCTCTGATAATATTTGCTTTATATATCTGGATGCTCCAATGTTGGGTACCTATATGTTTAGAATTGTTATATTCTCTTGTCCTTGAGCCCCTTTTCATTATATAATTGCCTTCTTTGTCTCTTGTTATAGTTTTTTTCTTGAAATCTATTTTATCTGATAGAAGTATAGCTACTCTTGTTCTTTTTTGGTTTCCATTAGCATGGAATGCATTTTTCCATCCCTTTATTTTCAGTTTATGTGTATCTTTATAGGTGTACTGGGTTTCTTACAGACAACTTATAGTTGGGTCTTGTTTTTTTATCCATTCAGTCACTCCCTGTGTTTTGATTGGAGACTTCAGTCCATTCACATTCAACGTTATTATTGATACATAAGGACTTACTACTGCCATATGGTTATTTGATTTCTGGTTATTTTGTCATCCTCTCTTTCTTTCTTATTTCCCTTCCTGTTTTCCTTTGTTAAAAGTAACTTTCTATGATAGTGTATTTTAATTTCTTGTTGGTTTTTTTTTCTGTATCTGTTGTAGGTTTTTTATTTGAAGCTACCATGAGGCTTGAAAAAAAAATTTACGTGCATTGCAACATCACATTGTACCCCATAAGTAGATACAATTATTATTTGTCAATTAAAAGCAAAACTTTTGGCCGGGGGCGGTGGCTCACACCTATAATCCTAGTACTCTGGGAGGCCGAGGCAGGAGGATCACTCAAGGTCAGGAGTTCAAGACCAGCCTGAGCAAGAGCAAGACACCATCTCTATTAAAAATAGAAACAAATTAATTGGACAACAAAAAAATACATAGAAAAAATTAGCTGGGCATGGTGGTGCATGCCTGTAGTTCCAGCTACTCAGGAGGCTGAGGCAGGAGAATCGCTTGAGCCCAGGAGATTGAGGTTGCTGTGAGCTAGGCTGATGCCATGGCACTCTAGCCCAGGCAACAAAGTGAGCTCTGTCTCAAAAATTTTTTTTAAGTTTTTTTAAGGTACATATATTACTTCAGAGAACAAGCCTGTTATTTAAAGAAAAAAAGAAATAAAAATTTTTTAAAAGCATATATTTTATTATATCAAAATATTTTAATATTCTGATAATATATTTTCAATGTAATTGTTTTCCTCTCTATTTTATTTTGTGCATTGAGAAACATTATTCTGAGAAGATCATAGGTTCATCCAGATTCCAAAGGAGTCTATGACACCAAAAAATGTTTCAAACTCCTAATTTAGTACATTAGCACAGCACAGAGGTTGAAGTCAAGAGTTCAGCAGCCAGACTGCCTGGTTTGCCCCACGTCTGTCCCTTAGTCAGAGTGTGAACTTGGGCAAATTACTTAGCCTCCCTAGAGGCTCAGCTTCCTTATTTGTCAGACGGAGATATTAATAGTACTTACCTTATGATATTGTTTGTGAGGTTTATATGAAAAATGAGTTAATATCCATGTAAGTGCTCAGAACAGTGCCTGATAGGCAGTGAGAGCTTAACAAACACTAGCTAGGTTTCTGTTTCTATGGGAGAGGGAAGTGAGGCCCAGAGGGGAGATGTGTCAGATGAGAGATGGATGTGAAAGCACTTCATCGACTGTGACATACTCTAAAAATGACAGTTACTGTGCTTGGCTTGACTGAGTTGTCACAGCCAAAACTCTCGTGGCTGTGCTAGGTCTCGGTGGGGGATCAAGGAGGGGAACAATGAGATCCCCTCTTGAATTCATGATTCTGGCCCTGGGTGATGTGTGTGTGGATGGGACCTCTTCAAATATGGGCATGCAGAAACTTTCAGCAGAAAGTTCTCTCCAGCACAGGTTAGTGTGGGGTGTGGGATACAGTGATGGAAGCCGGGGACCAAGAGAAACCAAATGACTGGCCTGTGTCCCACTGCTGGTCAATAGTGGGTCCAGGCCTAGAACCTATGACTCTTCATTCTTAATTCAGTGGTCTGCCCACAACACTACAGGAACCACAAGCCCAGCCATCCCCAGGAGCCTAGCAGGACAGGTAAATGAGCAGAGCAGGCCAGGAGGAAGACAATGGGGAGGGCAGGGACTTTGGGGTAGTAGCAGATACTTACCCCATTAAAGGGGGTCAGGCACAACTCAGCTCTGCCGACAGTGGCCCCACAGGAATGCAGTGTCTATGACTCCCAAGTCTGACTTCCTAAGAAAAACTGGAAATCCAGACTTGGGAGATTCCCAGATTTTAGAGCCCTGCACATGCCAAGTAAACACACGGCTGCAGAGTGGATCTGGCCTGTTGCCACCAGTCAATTCATCCTGATCTGAGGGCTGTCCGGGCTTACCATAGCAGATAGTACAGCGAGCCATGTGCTCCACATCCTGCTGGTGCTCTGTCTGCCAGATGAACAAGTGAAATCTGCTGTCCTCCATCTAATTCAAACACATGCACACACATTTATGATTAGCTGGATTTGATTTCAGGCTATGTTTTTTTTCCAATTCAGATGAGAAAAACATTAATATGAGATCTTAAACGAATATATAATTATGTAAACATATGTACGAATAGTTCGGCCTTATATAGTACAGTTATTTATAGTCATTTAGTTCTCTAATTCTAACCTGGGCATTGGGCTGTCATTGGTGTGGGATCATGAAGTGTGGGTCTTCAGATTCCCAACATGTGTAAAACTCAGCCAGTGTCATGTTGTTTTGGAATGAGGGTAAGGAGATGAGGGGTTAAGCATTTATAAATTCCATAATTCCTTAAGAATTATTCACAGGATGCAGGATGCAGTGTGGTGGGAGCTATTAACATGAAGGGCAGAGTCTTCAAGGGGACGGTCATTAGGTCATACACCATTAGAATAGAAAGAGTAGACACCATGAGGGAGGCTCCTCTAGAATATTCCTGGTGTGCAGAGTTGGACATAGCACAACCAAAAGGTAAGAGTAAGGAGGAATCAGAGAAGGCTTTGCAGAGCTGGCAAATCTGTTTATCTCCTTCACTTAGCCTTTCCAATTATGATTCATTTAATCACTGATAATGAGGCTTAAAAGAAAAATATTAATAATACTAATAAATCCAACAAGGTCCATGGGACAACTAGTTGGATGATCAACAAACCCATGCCCTCTTCTTCCGAGGGTAGCAGCTGGACTACATTTCCCAGCCTCCCTTGCAGTTTTGATGCCACATGACTGGAGTCTAGCCAATGGGATGTAGGTAGAAGTGATGTATGCAATTCCCAGTGCATGCAGTATACTCCATTGCTCCCTCTTCTCTTATCTGCCAGACAGATGTAGAGGATCCAGGAAAAGATTTCGAGGCCCTGGGGTATAATGGTGACACTGATAGAAGGAGCCCATGTCCTGAAATAGCCGCATGCAACAAAACATGCCTTTCCCCCCACACACACATATACACATATACACAAGGGCCCACATTCCCTCGTGACAGATGGCAGACATAACCCTTTATCGTGTCAAGCCACTGAGACTTGGGTAGGAATGGTTTCACAGTTAACCTGCTGATACAGACTATTTGCAGCACTGCTACCTTATGGTGAAACCACAAATGCTTTCAGATTATTTCTCTCAAGATTGAGGCAAGGTTTGCAAAGAGGTGGAGGTCTAAACTCAGTCATGTCTATCCTTTTATTTACTCTCTCTCAAAGCATGCAGGACAGGGCCACACTGAGGGTCAGCTTCTCTTCCCTCATCTGTGTGGCCAGGAACAAGTAGGTTCTGGGTCCTCCTCTAGTTAGCAAGGTGCTAAGGATATTCATATCTTCAGATGTCATGTTAGCCCTCAGGATACAAACATGTCGTGCTCATCAAGGGTTACTTGGAAAATGAATTTTCTGTAATATACTCATTACAGAGCTCTTCACTCTTTAGGTTTGGGACTGTATCATATCATCACAAACACTGTCTTTCAGAGTCGGCTAGTGGGGAAAGGACTGTGAAGAGCTGAATGTTTGTTTATGCTAATGTAACGCACAAACAAAAGAAACATGGGAACATTCCTAAGAGAAAAACAAAAAACTCCTGAGAAGAAAGGCAAAAAGCATCCTCTCTTGTTCCTCATATGGCAAAATGCAACCTCAAATTATGCTGTTTCCTGACTTAGAGATTCAAATCAACCAGACTGATTAAACAGCTACCAGAGGAAAGTCTCAGCAAGCCATGTGGAGACACAAAGATGACATGGCCACATCTTCAAAGAGCTTAAACCATATGTGGGAAGATAGAGAAATGATTTTCAAATAAGAAAGAGCTCCAATAATAGATTTTAGGAATGCAGGAAGAAGACAAGATCCATTTCAAGGGCAAGGGACAGAGGGGACCTGATAAAGATAATGGCATTTGGCACTTTTGAGAGAATGAGTAAGACACGTAACTGGCAAAGAACTAGGGAAATGCAATCCAGAGTGAAGGAACAGCATGTACAAAGGCCCAGAGGTGGACGGTGCTTATCTCTGGAATTTTGTTCAAGGTCTCTACTCCCCACAGATTACAGAACACCCACCTCCAACATGCAGCTGCACAACACGTCTTTTTTTTTTTTCTTTTTCTTTCTTTCTTTTTTTTCTTTTTCTTTTTCTTTTTTTTTTTTTTTTTTTTTTTTTTTTTTTTTTTTGAGACAAAGTCTCACTCTGTTGCCTGGGCTAGAATGCTATGGTGTCAGCCTGGGCTCACAGCAACCTCAAACTCCTGGGCTCAAGCAATCCTTCTGCCTCAGCCTCCGAAGTAGCTGGGACTACAAGCATGTGCCACCATGCCCGACTAATTTTTTTCTATATATTTTAGTTGACCAATTAATTTCTTTCTATTTTTAGTAGAGACAGGGTCTCTGTCTTGCTCCGGCTGGTCTCGCAATCCTGACCTTGAGTGATCCTCCTGCCTCTGCCTCCCAGAGTGCTAGGATTACAGGCGTGAGCCACCATGCCCAGCCTGCATAGCATGTCTGAAAGCCTGGAACTCCATGCCACATGGAGGAAGCTGCATGAAGAGTGAGTGCAGAGTTCCAACATTCAACATTCAGATCTACCTCACATGATCGTCAGATCTGAGTATTAACCAAACCAAATGAGCCCAATTAATCACCAAGAGCTGAGAAAACAGTGTAGGCAGGGATATGACACATCACTAGCTTCACGGGAAATCACATGAGGCAATTTGGACAGCTTCTGAATCCAAGATCCATGGCAATGTGCCAGGAGATATGAGGAGGCAGAGATAACCCTGGGAGCAGCAATTTTAACCCAAGTGTTGTGGGGAAATTCTAAGTTAGTGTATGTTACTTTTAAATCACAGGAAACATAGGTGAAGTATGTCATAAAGTGTGGATTTTTAAAGTAGTCTGAAAAACTTTAAACAAATACAAACATTCCTCCAAGTCTGCACAAATTCATACTCCTCTGTCTTACTGATGGTTCATGGGAAAAGTTCTGTGCAGCACTAAGAGATTAATGTCAGGAACCTGGATCCTAGTCCTTGATCTGCCATAATTGGCTATGTGGCCTTAGATAAACCTCTGGCTTCAAATGCTTCAGCAACAGTTTTAGGTAGGAGTCAATGCTACTTAGTTCTCTTCCTACTCCAACACAGCCTTGTCCTAGGTTACTTACTGTCTTTTGTTATTGGCTTCTTGCTCAGGACGATGCGTCACCTTTTCTACTCTGAGCAGCTCAGAGCACGTAGCTCTTCCATCTGTTGTTCCGTTTTCTGGAAAACTACCAAATTCAACTTAATTTGAATAGCTATAGAACTTGCATCTTTTTTTGAACTTTTCTTAGGAACAATAATTTTATGGTCATGCTTAAAATTTGTACTGTTCTTGCAAAAAAAAAATAGCGGGAACAAGTACACAAAAACACAGTGGGTGGAAGTCCACAGGGAAACGATGATTCAGTATTGATTCATTTGTACCTACTTGTCACTATTAAGCATGTAATTACGTTGACTTTGGACTTGCCAGCCTGGTCCTTGTCACTGATAAAGTAGACAAGATACTTTCTGAGAAAGTTCAAACAGAGAGATAGCAGAGGAGGGAAGCCCAGTGTGAAGATAGGAGAAAATTGGCTATACGATTCCCATCAAATTCTCATCAGCACCAGAGAAGGAAATACCAAAAGTGGAGTACTTTTAACATAACCCAAGCAATTGAGGCTGAAAGTTTTACTATAGTTTGAATCAGCACCTTTGGCAATTCCCTCAACCAGCTTCATTACTAAATGTCCAGCTGCAGTTTGTGGGGACTAGTTGTGTACTAAAGACAGGAGTATATTGAGGAGAGAGGATATGGCATGGGAGGTTACATCAACACCCTCCCAGATAGATAGACAGAAAAACATTTCCCCAAGGAGTACAAGGATGACTCTCAAACCTCAGCCCCCCAGTAGTAAAGAACTGTCTGTGATCCCTGACCTGGAGAGATCCGTGGGGTTAATTCAATACATCGACTGTTGTATTGAGCTGCCAGGGGCCATGGGACAATGTTCTTTCCTGGGACTGAGTTGGGGGAGGCTGTTGGCTTGGAAAGATGGGAGTCCAGGGGAAAAAGCAAATGCTAGGGAGGAGGATTTGCCTTGGACAGAGGAAGGGCTAACTGGACCCTAAGGAGGGAGAGTTAGAAACCATCTGGCAGCAAGTTGAGGCAAGGGATTGGGAAACAAGGAAAGAAAACTGGGAAAAGTAGAGGGAAGGAGACAGGGAGAGAGCGGTCATGAAACCTGTGACTGACCCCAGGAGCTGGAGTCCAGTTTCGGCTCCTGCCAGTTGGCATGGTCCCACCAAAGGCTGACTCTCCTTGGACTCCCCAGAACACGTTAGGGATCGGTATTGAGTTAAGGGTGTAGGTTGCAGAGTGGGACTTGGGAAAACAGACATAACGGAATGCAAATTCCAGGACTATGTAGCTTAGAACAAATCACTTCACCTCCGTCCCTCATTTACCTCATCTGGGAAATGTAGATTATCATTATTAACTTGTAGCATCGCTGCGAGGCTTAGATCAACACTGCTCAAACTTTAACACTTATGCAAACTGTCTGGGGATCTCGTTACAAATGCAGATCCTGACTATCATATCAGGGGCAGAGCTTGAAATTTAGCATTTCTCACATCCTGGATGTTGCTGCTGCTGGTGGTCTCTGGACAGCGTCTTCAAAAGTAAGGGGTTAAGATGATAAGGCATGAAAGCATGCAGCATGGGAGCTGAAGCTTCATAGGAACTCACGAAATGGGAGATATCAGATTTAATAAATAGTTATGGGGCAAACAGCATTCCTAAGGACATCCAGAAGATGGTAATGGACCTACATTAAGTATACACATAGAAAGTGTCAGATGTCCCCTGAAACACTATCTCTTATAATTCTCACAACAAAATTATGAGTTTACCCCCCACTTTACAGGGAATAAATTGAGGCCCCAATGTCAAATAACATGCCCGAATTACATAAGGAACAAAGGCAACATTTGGGCCGGGTGTGGTGGCTCACGCCTGTAATCCTAGCACTCTGGGAGGCCCAGGCGGGCGGATCACTCGAGGTCAGGAGTTTGAAACCAACCTGAGCAAGACCCCGCCTCTACTAAAAATAGAAAGAAATTGATTGGCCAACTGAAAACATATATACAAAAAAGTAGCCAGGCATGGTGGCGCATGCCTGTAGTCGCAGCTACTCGGGAGGCTGAGGCAGTAGGATCGCTTGAGCCCAGGAATACATACAGGGTTACTATGAGCTAGGCTGACGCCACGGCACTCACTCTAGCCTGGGCACAAAGTGAAATTCTGTCTCAAAAAAAAAAAAAAAAAAAAAACAACAACAAAAAGGCAACATTTGGAGCCTCATTGCCTAAATCCTTCCCTTGGTGGCTAGTCCTGGCCTTAGGGCATTAACAATCTAATGCAGAACACAGCAGCCACAGTTCTGGTCAGTGGCTGGTCAACCGAGGCTGCTGAAGGGGCCAGTCTGGGTAACACAATACTGCCTTTCTTCAAAAACTAATGTCCTTAGCTTGTGATACTCTGATGCTGATTATTCTGATTTGATCAGTCCACAGTATATATGTGTATCAAAATATCATTTTGTACCCCATACATATATGCAATTATTGTTTATCAATTAAAAATAAAATAAAAATAAATATATTTTGATTGTCCCAAAAAAATAAAAATAAGAAAGAATATCCTACTGCAACTTTTCTGAATTCTGAAATTATACCAAAATAAAAAATTATCCAAAACTGCCTTTGGCCTTCCTCTTAATATTTTCATCTTCTAAAAGTGATTTTTTTCCCCTATGATAGACAACACTCTATTCCTTAGATACTTTTTTAAAAGAGCAATACACAGGAATAGATACAGGGCCAGTTAACAGACGTATCTCACTGTTATTGTAAAGATAAAATGCATAAATACAGGGAAAGAACTTGGAATTGTAAAGTATCTTCTTTTCCTGTTTTTGACCTGCAGACTCAAAATCCCATTGCTAATGGGAATTCCAGACTTTGAGCAAGTTATTTAACTTCTCCGTGTCTCAGTTTCATGATCTGAAAAATTAGCTCATAATAATACTTATCTTGGTGAGCTGTTGTAAGAATTAAATAAATCAATAAGATATTAGAACAGTGCCTGGATCAATAAATGTGAGCTATTTTCTTAGGCTTTGTTTCAAGGGAACATGTGGTAGACTTTTTATGAAGAAAAATAAAATTTGAAACCTGGCACACAAACTGCATTTTCCCTGTAATCCTCTGCTTTTTTCCTTTAAAAAAATGAATCTAATGAAGTCTTCTGTTTTTGAGACATAAGGCAATTAGTTCTTATCAATGGGATTAGGCACAGACAGTCCAAATGCTATGATGCAGTTGCATTTAGGGTTGAGACAAATCAATGGACGGCTTTTAAAAAATCTTTTCAGTATGCATCACAGCCCCTGAGAGTGTTTAAATGGACTGAGACGTTGGGACATCTGTTTATATCATCATTTCAAATTGAAAAAACATCATTTTCCCAGAAGAATCATGTGGGTGTTGTTCTGAAAATCAAAATATCATAGAGGTGAAAGATGGCAAAAAAGCCCCCACATAAAATCAAAGAGAATCTTCAGGCAGGGAATTCAGAAGAAAACTCACAGGCTATGTCCACCCTCCTAGCTGGATTCCTGCAAGGCTAAGGCACAGTGGGGGTAGGTTAAGGGCTCCAACATGCCCAATTGTGAAGAAATGAGGATTTTCTGTAAGGCCCTGAGAATGTCACTGTTGTTTTTATGGTTTTTCTCCTTACCAATGTCACCAGAAACGAGGTCATTCATTACCTCTGAGCTGCCAGGAAACATTTAACATCCTTTCTAAACCATTAAATTTAAACAACACAAGAGTTGTCTCTCAGCAGCCTGCAGCAAGAGCAGGTCCAAACAATGAAAAGGAGAGCAGACAGAAATGACGGAACTGGAGTGCCAGTATATTCGAACCAGCAAGTTCTCACATACCATTACATCCTTTTACTCAGAACCTAAAGCAACTAACAGGGCGAGAACATCATGATAAAGGATCATCTGTGTATTGGATCCAAATATTGTCTGCTGCACAGGATCCCCTCTCAGAGAGCAGCACTCATGATCACTGGAGGGGATGGAACTGCATCCTGGGAATCACTCTGCAATGCCTTCCTGAGAAACAGATGCCTGGATAATTGCAGCTGGGAGTCTAGATAACAAACATTTGCTGCCCTCTCTCCATTTTCCAGCTGAGCAAAGTGAGATCCATAAAGGTGAAGACTTGTCCAAAGGCACCTCGTTATTGTTGGAAAAGCCAAATATAAAAGCTGCATCTCTAGTTTAAATTCTTATACCCTGCCTCTATTAATCCATTCAAAAAGTAATTGAGAATGCCCCTGCCTAGACATCCTGCTAGGCAAAAATGATGTTAACAGTGAACAAGGAATTCACCCCTCTCTGTATTTTAACTTTGTTTCTCAACCCAAGATACTTTGTCCATTCTTACCAACAGTTTGCAAGCTCGACTTTATCTATCTGATTCTTAGAAGCATCTTCACAGCTGTGTCAACAAAATCTCTCACCTACCACTTCTACTACACACTCAACCTTCAGAGAAAATTAAATGGTCTGGCACAGCTGAATTCATTAGCTATTAAGTTAAACCATGTGACAGTTCAATTTTTGCAGGTCAAAAATGGTTAAATATTGGCAAGGTCCCATGGTTCAACCTAACATTCATAAGCAGCCTGGAAAATATTAACAGAATCACCCTTCCTTTTGATAAATCATCCCAGATGGCCTATAAAAATGTGCTTCGTGGGTTTCAATTAGAAAACCAAAGTCTGGAGAATAGATAAATGAATAAATTGCAGTGTATACATACAATGTAATACTGCACAGGAATAACAAAGAACAAATTACCCATATACACAACATGATGATCAAGGAGAACAGACATTATGTTGATTGGAAAAAGCTAGATAGAAACGAGTGCATGCTGTATGACTCAATTTACATGTAGGTTCAGAACAGGCAAAAACTATTTGATTGTGATAAAACTCAAAGAGCAGCTACCCTGGGGAGTATAGGATTGGGGAAAACTTACAAGATACTGAAAATGTTCTGTATCTTGAACCACGTCTTGGTCATAGGGATTTAAACATATGTAAAAAGTCATCTATCTGTAATTCATTTATCTGTACACTTAAAACCATTACACTTTCTCCACTTTGTTATATGGGTATATATACTGTCTCCCAGTACAAAGAAAATTACAGTTTATGACTCCCAAGGATACAGTTTAGCACAGTGGTTAAGCACAGGCTCTGAAGGCAGACAGTATCAGTCTGCCACTATCTAGCTCTTGTATCTGACCCTAGATGATACATTTAACCTCTCTAAGCCTTGCTTTTCTTACCCCTGAAATATAAATCAACAATAACACCCACCTTATAGGGGTTTGGGAATCATTAACTAGGAATGTTTACAAGGCACATAGCACAGGGTAGGCACAGAATGGCCAGTATTAGGGAGTCACACTAGCAGTGGAGTCTACACTGAGACCCTCACTCCTTGCATACACATCAATTTCTGGGGGATTCTTCCTCTGGACAACTCTCACTCCTCATGCAGTCCTTGGTGGAAAAGTTAGAGCCAGCTGTTAATCCCCCATCCCCCTGCCCACTAGCGGATCCCCCTGTGTACCAGCAGGGCGTCTGGGAGGTTGTGGTCATCCACAAAGGCGATGACTGCAGGGATGACGTCTGCCGCGCCAAGCTCCAGGGTAGCCGAGCTGATGGAAGCTGCATCAGAGGTCCGACCTGCCTGGAAGAACACAGCCACCTTCCTCACGAGAAGGCCGGAGCGCACACGTTTGAACACGTGTCTCGCCACAAACATCATGGTGGCCCCGAGGTTCCTGCGGCCAGATGACCGTTCCAGGGGGATTTTCCTGACAGCTTCCAGGAGGGCAGGCTTCCCCCTGTGGTCTGAGAAACGAACCAGGTAATCTGTTTTGCTGTTGTAGGAAACGATGGCCACTCGGGCGCCCGTTGGGCAGTTACTCTCACTTATTTCCATCTTCATCAACAGAGATAGTAAAATGCCTCTCATCCTCTCAAAATCCAACTGGGAGACATCGCTTGACATGTCCAAGGCAAAGGCCACTTCAGTCGGGAACGCGGGACACTTGGGAATACCTTGGTACAATGAACACACGGATTTAAGATTTTTCTGCAATGTCTCTAAGCAGGTGAGGATTTAAGTGAATAAAAAGGAATACTATTTACCTTTTGCACAAGCTGGAAGGGAAATTATTTCGGAGAGAAAAGAAAACATCGTTAGTTTATGTAAGCAGTGGCATCTTTTCCACATGTATGCTTCAGTATGAAAAACCATCTTTTCTGAGAAATTGAAGCGTGGCCTTCTCAAACTCCTGCCGGAGCATGGCAGAGACCACTACTTGTTCCCCAATATCCCTTCTGCCATTTTCTGCAGCAATAGAGCCCCCAATTTCTGAGTAGGCACATGGCTGCCTGGAACAAACATTACATTTCCCAACAGAGTAGCCATTTTACTAAGTTCTGGGTGACAGAGCAAGAAACATGGAAGGTGTAACTTCAAAAAGGTATCCCCTCCTCTCCCTTCCTTTTCCCTGCTGGCTAAGATGTAGACATGATGGCCGAAGCTTGATAAAGTTCTTAGATCATGAGGTGATTTGAGGAATAGAGCACCCCAAACACACACACAATGGCAGAACAAGAACATAAAAAGAGGCCAGGTGCGGTGGTTCATGCCTGTAATCCTAGCACTCTGGGAGGCTGAGGCAGGCAGGTCACTCAAGGTCAGGAGTTTGAAACCAGCCTGAGCAAGAGCGAGATCCCCGTCTCTACTAAAAATAGAAAGAAATTAATTGGAAAAAATTAGCCGGGCATGGTGGCACATGCCTGTAGTCCCAGCTACTCAGGAGGCTGAGGCAGAAGGATTGCCTGATCCCAGGAGTTTGAGGTTGCTGTGAGCTAGGCTGATGCCATGGCACTCTAGACGGGGCAACAGAGTGAGACTCTGTCTCAAAAAAAAAAAAAAAGAAAAGAACAAGAGATTGCATCCCCAAACACCCAGGGCCTCGTGTCAACTTGAACTGATTACTTCCAAGCTTTGCTTGGGGAAATATATTTATACCACTGTTATTGAGGATTTAGGTCATATTCAACTGAACTTAAATCTAACTAATACATTGAACTATGCTGAAATTATATAATATATATTTCCTATATATAATAGATGTATACACATACATAAAATTATATATGTTCATTATAAATTATATGTTATTTTATGTAAAATATTATAAAAATTAAAATTAGCCTTAATTTATCATATATATTTATATATACAGATATATTTATAATTTTTTTATTTTATATTATAAAATTTGGAGCCTAGGATATATTCTATTCTTAATCTTTCACTTAGCATATGTTGATTTTTTGCCATCAATAAATTTAGAGCACTATCATCTACTCTATTACATTTCTTCAATTAATATACCTTTGTGGTGAGCATACTTGTAGATGTGTCTGTGCATGTTTGTCTAATTAGAGCCCTAACTAAATCTCCACAATTATGTATTTTTATATACATAGTCCAATTTTTCTTCAGAATAGCTGTTTACACTCCCATCAGCAGTGTGTGTTCTTATACATTTCCCAATTTGGATAGGGATTTTTCTGTCATTTTGGAAATATTTTCAATATGAGAAACAAAAAGAGTATCTCATTATTTTAATTTGTATCCTCGGACTTCTTGTAAGGTTGAACATTTTCAGAGGTTTATTGTTCATTTGTATTTTTTCTTTTCTGAATCCCCCATTCATGTCATTTGCTCATTTTTTAGTTGAAAAGATTTGTCTTTTATATTTAGGTTTAGGTATTATGAAACATCTGTATGGGTAGGTAAAAATGATTGAGTGGCAGCCGGTTTTCATGTTTTGACATGATGTAGTGAGGAAGTTAAGTCCTTTGCTTGGGTCTGTTGCTTATATTGCAAATATTTTTCCCTTTTTCTGTTTGCTTTTGACTTCATGGTGCCCCTCAATGTAAAGGGACTTTAACTTTTTAATATGGTCAACTCTGATACTTTTTTCCTTTTTGGTCACACTGATGGTTTTATTCTTTATGATTTCTATGATAAAAAGGATTCCAGAATCTCCCTGAAGAGCCACTGGATGGGAACAGACAAAGCATGGAAAGGCTAGGGTAATAATGGGAGGATGATTGTGGAGAAAACCCAAACGTCCAAACTAAACAATTTGCCAAGTCAGCATTCTCACCCTTCTGCCAGTAAGTGGAGAAATGTATGTATTGTAAGATGCAAATGTCCTGGAATGCATTGAAGACAGTAAATAAATTCCAATCTAAGAGTGTGACAAAACATGACTTAAGATTTGATGATTCATAATTCCATTTTTAAAACATCAGTGTACCCTTATAACCCTAATTCAAGCATGAAAAAATTGAGACATGTAACCAAAAACATTTGTACCCCTATAATATTTTGAAATACAAAAATAAAACAAATTTTAAAAATAAAAAACATAAATGTAAATAAAATAGGACACATTTCTTTTCGAAGGGTCACTTGGTCCCTTTTGTTTAAATGTATGACATAAAAAAAACAAAAGTCCCATTTGTTTTGTGTTAAGAAGCAGCAAGATTCAGACATGCAGGTGTGCAACAATCATTATGCTTCATGGGACACAACACTGTTCGGTGGAATTCTTCTTCATTGCTGAGATAGATGCCTTTCAAACCACTTTATTTCTGAGGTCACATTGGGAAAGATTACTTACCTAGGAAGGGACTGAACCCAACACATTCATTTACAAGAGCTTTTCACGATGGACAAGGCACCTCTCAAACCTCAGTCAAATCCTCAGGTGAATTACACCCCAGTCCCTGATCCATCCCCACTCAATGCCACTAGCTCCGTCTGAGCTTTCCCAAACAACTTACGGCAGTTTTCGCGCGTGAAAGAAACAATTTCGCAAGGCTGTTAGAAAGATGAAAAAAAGACAGGGAAAAGGAAAAAGTATTTAACTTGAAGCATATTTGTCTTCACCTTTGTGACTTAGAAATGCCATATGAATGTTACCAGTGCCTGACTGAAGCTTTTTAATCTACAACAGAGAACCTAAAACATGTCAGAGCAGATGAAACTATCTAACAATCGTATTTCTGAATCCAGTGGATATTTTAAAGCATTTAAAAGACTTTATATACAATACAGTGCCCATATTATTAAAGACCTATAGATAAGGGGTATCCATTTTTTTTTAATCTGCTTCAGAAAGCAGTGAAATCAAACTTGGGTTTGAAGAAGTTTAAATACAGAAATGTCAGCAGAGAACACAGGGAAAGTCTATAAATTCTCTGACCTCTATATTTGCAATTCCTGTAACACTTCTTCAGAATGGCTCCCAAAATAGGAACCCCCAACCCCCCCTCCCCAATTCTGCTTCTTTGCTCTGATCCATTCCTCTCTGCTCTCTTCTTCCCTCAACCCCAGACCCCATCACTCCCTGCTCCTCAGTTGCTTTCACCTACCCCACCCCCTGCCTAATAGTATCAATATTTTTGTGCTTGGGAGATGAAAAGCCATCCTAACTGGAGATTATTCTCAGGTATGCCACAAGACACAAAAACCTGTACTCTATGTGTATTGGTTTAGAAATGCTTTAAAAACAATTTTTGAGCTTTACAAAAAAGCACATTACAGAAAGGGAGTAGCCTCAAAGTCTTTTTCTTTTTTCATGTCAGCTAGTGTTACTCAGAAACATCTAGACTCCCTGCTGGATTTAAAATATTGAAAGATTTTTATTTGACTTGGTTAAAACATTTCAAAGTAAAGCCTATAAACTTAAAGTACTAACAGAATTTGTAAGATGAAAAACTAAAGAATCTCTACAAAAAAAATATTTCTGTTTTGTGAGAGTTTAAAGTTCTATGTTCTGAAAGTAATAAAGTAGAATTAAAATCTTCACCTACCGTCATATCTGCCAAACCTTTGGGACCTTTGATGCCCTGGAAAGAACAGAAACTTGGATTTAAATGAAAGACTCTGAAGTCCAACATGTTTTTCTCCAGAATTGGCAAGAGATCCTGTGAAATTTCACCATGCTACATAGACCATCTTCTGTCCTTCACTCCTTGCCCTGGAGTTCTGTCTGACCCCTGAAGGAAGAAGGCCAGAGAGCCTAAGAGGTGTGTCCTGAACCTCGTATTCCAGGAGGCTTAGATAGATGATACATACAGACTCTTGGAAGACCACGTCATTTTGAAACCAAGCCATAGTTTAGGATCAAATTCAGGAAAAGGATCAAATTCAAGATGCCAGGACCACTCACAGACAGTTCTAAAGCAGATTCCAGTCCTTCACCTATCCCTTCTTGTAGGGCCACCCAGCATCACCCTGCTTGTGCCCTAATACTGAACAAGTCTTCCCAGGAATCCTTCGGGTTACAGCTGCCTCACTCCAGCCACTTTGAGGGCCTAGAAATCATTGCTCTCATTTACAGTGCACAAGGTAGTAATTTGTGACCTCAGGCAGGTCACTATAATCTTTACAGCCTTTGTTTCCTCACCTGTAAAATGGGCATGGTCTTTCTACCTCTAAGATTTTTTGATTCTCTGGCTTTGTTGCGTCTCTCCACTAAACCCTAAACTGCAGTGAGACTACCAGGTTCAATCCACGGCTGACCTACTGTGCCATCCGTCATGGAAAGACAGACTAACCTCCGAGGATAAGGCTCGGCAGAAAAATCACAGCCTCAAAGTCTTTCCTTTCATACCAAACAATCTTCCAGGGAATTTTAAAAATATTTGTGGGCTTGCAACATAGTTCAGTTAAGATTATATAAATGTTATCTTTTAGGCTTTTCTTCTGGTTTTTTGCATAAATGTTGTTTCTTGTTTGCAGTGATTACACTCACTCTCCTGTGAATTTTATGTATTGTTTCCCATATTTAGATAGATTCAGAAATCTCCAGCAACTCCAATATCTTCCCTATGTCAAATAAAAAATATATATTGAATAAATACATTATATAAAGACTTGAAGCTAATGTCCTCTAAAGCAATTTTGGCCCATTCCATATATAGATCCTCTTGTGTGTCCAAAATGTCCATTTCTTCTTTAGAGAAGCCTCTTATCAAACTCCTATTCATTTTTATACAAAGGTTAAAATTGGAAAGGAGAAAAGTACACATTACCATTTGTCCTGGTGGGCCTTGGTCACCTGGAGCTCCAGCAAATCCAGGAAATCCAGCATTACCCTAAAAACAACCAAACCAAAGGAATACGTTTCCCCTTGATTATAACTTGATTACAACCATCAGACCCACTTTGGGATGCCAAGTTTCCATTATAGCTGGTGCCAGTGGGTCTGCTATGGACCAGTTAGTTTATGAGCTGTGTATCTGTGGAATGAGACATGGATACTAGAAAGAGATGGGAATCTCTTTATGGGAAACATTCAAATTTCCCCCTATAAATCTAACCCCAGCCATGCAAATGTGTGCATATACAAGCAGACACATACTTCTAGATAAAGCCTCAAAAGATGACTTAATACTCAGCTGAGTCTCAAGGTCATATAACAAAAAGAATAAGAGAACTCAGCACTGAATGCAAGATAAAGAAAAAATTGCCCCACTACTTTCTGGTCCTCAGTGTCTCAGAAAAGATACAGGGTGGGCATAGACTCACTGCTTACATTCCAGGTATTTCAAATGACACAGAATTATCTGCATATAATAAATACTTTATCTTTCTTTATTTGAAACTAGAAAGATAAGCTAGCTGATCATGGCAACCATAGCCAGCAGCAAGCCAAGTTAGGCATAGATAAAAAAAAATATTTTCCATCCTTGCCAATGTATTAAAATATCAATTCTTTTTTTTTTTTTTTTTTTTTTTGAGACAGAGTCTCACTTTGTTGTCCAGGCTAGAGTGAGTGCCGTGGCGTCAGCCTAGCTCACAGCAACCTCAAACTTCTGGGCTTGAGTGATCCTTCTGCCTCAGCCTCCCGAGTAGCTGGGACTACAGGCATGCGCCACCATGCCCGGCTAATTTTTTATATATATATCAGTTGGCCAATTAATTTCTTTCTATTTATAGTAGAGACGGGGTCTCACTCTTGCTCAGGCTGGTTTTGAACTCCTGACCTTGAGCAATCCGCCCGCCTCGGCCTCCCAAGAGCTAGGATTACAGGCGTGAGCCACAGCACCCGGCCAAAATATCAATTCTTGAGTGTCTGGTAAACACATCCTTTTTCCTTTCCTGTTTTCTGCACTGAACACCAGTCCATGTCCTTTTTCTAGGAGGCCTTGGCCTCTGATGCCTATCAGCTAAATATTACCCAAATGTTAGATATCCACAGAGTTACTCTTTCCAAAAAAAGCTACCAGTGCTTGTGGCTCTTCAAGACTGAACCTTCAGAACATGAAGGAATGGATTTTTAATGGGAGACTCTATAATGCACAGTGGATGACTCAAAGTCCACCAAGATGCAAACCACAGGCTTGAGCATCTAGTCCTAGAAGAGCTAAGAGAAAGTTAAGGCTTAGAAGAATCCTAAAGAAACAGCAATGTTTGCTCTACAGCTAAAATAATATCCTTCTAAATGATGACTAGGCTTACCAAAGACAGAAATGCCCCCAAACTTGGTTTTAGAAGGTTTATATTGTATAATTGAAAGTTCAACTTGGATTTTCTGTTTATGGCTTGGTCAACTGCATTTGCATTCAGAAGATAACAAGAGTAGGTTTAAGGGGGATATGGGGTAGCCCAAGGAAGGTGTGGAGTGTGCACCGACTGAGGAGAAATAGGGTTCCTACTAGGGAGTCCATTAACCCCATGAAAAAATGCTCCTGTGGTGATGTAGGCATCTACAGATCTTGGGAAGTTCTTTGGTTCTTACCCTCTTCCCTCTGACTCCCTTTGCTCCATTCTCTCCTTGGTGTCCTGGGTTACCATCTTCTCCCTTAATAGAATCAAAACCAGATCTTTGAATATAGGGAAACATAGACAAGGACACATGCAGCATACCAGCTGGCAGGCCCAGAAAGTTATCTTCTTACCTGTGCACCAGGACAGCCAGGGAATCCAGGTTCACCCTAGTGTCAGAAATGAGATAAGATCTTGTTTAATGTCATGTGATTAGGTATTTCCTTAGAATTCCTTGGAGAAAAGGAAAAAAACTATAATTTTGAAGAAACAGACTCAAAACAAGTGCCAGGAAAAACAACTGTAGCAACAGTTGTTATCTTGAGCTGCTCTCAAGTGGCCATATTTCATTTCTCTAACCCAGCATGAAACAACTCGTAAATGATTTTTACAAATTTTCCTTCTCCTTTATGTATTGTGTAATAAAACTTCCATCTTAGGCATTTTTGTCTCTCAGGTTAAATTTCCAGAGATTCGATCGAATGGAAACCAAGGGAAGGGGGTGCCACACTGAGCGTTGGGAAGCAGGTGCTCATTGTCAAAACCAAAGGCATACAACAAGGCAATCATTCCTTCAACAGATATTTATTTGGCATCTATTCTGTGCTAAGGACTTCTCTAGGCACTGGGAATTCAACAGTGAACAGAACAGAGACCCTGCTGTCACGGAACTTACATGCTAGTGAGGAAGAGAGTAAACAAAGAAAGATACATGTCAGGTTGTAATCCCCTCAGAAAGGGGCTTAAGGAAAAAGAATTATGTGTTCAGGGTGGGGAGGTGCTATTTTATATAAGGTGGGTAGGCAACGCCTGAAAACCTTTTTGGAAGGTGGCATTAGGGCAAAGATGAACATTAATTGAGGAAGCAAACCAAGCAGATGTCTGGGAGAAAAGTGTTCCAGGCAGAAGGAAGAGTATGTGAAAAAACCCTGAAGCAAAAGAATGAATGTCTTGAACTATCATCTGGGCCATGATAAACTCTTTTTTATTTCGGCATACTATGGGGGTACAAATGTTTAGGTTAAACATATTGCCTTTGCCCAACCTGAGTCAGAGCTTCAAGCATGCTCAGCCCCCAGATGGTGTGCACCGCATCCATTAGGTGTGAATATACCCATCCCCTCCTCCCCATCCCCAACCCACCCCTACCTGCCTGACATCCGATGAACGTTACTACTATATGTGCACATACGTTGGTATAAACTGATCAGAATTTTTTTAATTAAAAAAAAAACTCAAAAAGAAGAGAATGAATGTGTGTTGCCATGTTTGAGAAACACTGAAGCAGAGGGAGGGACATGGGTGGGCAGGAGGAGACGAAGTCAGAGAGTTCACAGACAGGCCACGTTGTGTAGTCTTATAGGCCATGTTAACAGTGGATTTTATTCTAAGTGACATGGGGGGCCCCAGCAGGGCTCTGAGTAGAGGAATGCCATGACCTGACTATGCTTTTAAAGATGTCTCTGGCTGCTGCAAGGAGAATCAGCTACATGAGGCAAGGGAGAAGCAGGGAGACCAATTAAGTGGCTATCGCAGTAATACAGATAGAAAGTCATGTTGCCTTGGTCCAGAGGGTGGCAGTGCAGTAGTAAGGAACAATGAATTGCTGGATACATTTTAAAGACAGACTCACCATGAGTTGTTGATTGCTTAAATGTAGGGGCTGAGAGAAAGAAGCTTCTCAAGGATGGCTGCAAGTGTCTGTCCTGAGCAACTGGAAGGATGGAGTCTCCACTCCCTGAGACGGGGAGGGCCAGAGGAAGGGCAGGTTGTCAAGGGAATCAGTTTTGGATGACTGGATGTTTGATAATATTAAGGGATTATTATTAATTCTTCGATGTGAGGATATTATTGTGGTTATATTTTTAAAGACTCATTTAAAGATGCAACCTGAAAGAGCTACACATGAAATACATGATATGTTTGGGATTTGCTTCAAAATAATTGGTATGGGCGGGTCCAAGTGAGCGGGAGTATAAATAAAACAAAACAAAAATGGCCAAGGCTTTCTCATTGTTTGAGCTAGGTGATGGGTCCATGAGGTGGGGCAGAGGGGTGTCATTACAGTAACCTCACCACTTTTATTTATTTTTGGACTTTTCTGTAATAAAAAGTTATTAACCAGCAGAAGAAGAAGAAAGTTATTTGGGGCATGTCAATTTTAAGATGCCTATCAGATAATCAACTGGAAACACTTTTGGAGTTTAGGATATCGGTCCAAGCTGAAGACATAAACTGGAGATCAACAGGACAGATGGAATTTGGTGCCATCCCATGGGACTGGATTTTCCTGAGAAATGTCACCTTAGGGGTGAGTAAAGAGGGAGAGAAGTATGAGACTAGACCCCAGAGTCCCCCCATACTTACAGGTCAAAGGGATTCAGAAGATCCAGCAAAGGAAACTGAAAAAGAGCAGCCCGTGAAAACCAGGAAAGTGGAATATGCTGGAAGTCGAGTGAGGAAAGGATGGGGAACAAGCCTATGAGCATCTTTATCAAATGCTCCTGAGACACAGAGTGTGAGGAGAGCAGAGTGATGACGACTAGATCTAACCACATGGGATTCACCTCAACTAAAGCAGGTATAGTTGAGTGGAGAGGGTCAGGGGTGAAGGCTCAGTTGGCATCAGTTTCTCAACCTCAGCACCACTGATATTTTGGACCTGGAGGTTCTTTGCTGTGAGGGGCTGTCCTGTGTATCCACAGGGTGTTAAACAACATCTCTGGTCTCTACCAAGTAGATGCCAATAGCACTTCCTCCCCCAGTTGTGACAACCAAAACATCTCCAGACATTGCTAAGTGTCCCCTTCGGAGTAAAATCACTCCTGGTTGAGAACCCCTCATATAGACGACTCCTTCAAGGAGTTTTGCCACAGAGAAATAGTCAATGGGAATATGTCATCAACTGTGGGGATTTTTGTTTTTTGTTTTTGTTTTTTTTTTTTAATATGGGAGATATTCCTACCTCTTTGTATGCTGCTGGGAATGATTTATGCAGAGGGAAGAAAATCTGATGATGCAAGAGAGAAAAGTGACACTTTCAGGAGCCAGGACCTTCAGGAAGCAAAAGGGAACGGAGTCCAGTCTAGGTGAGGATTAGTCCAGAGAGGAGCATGGATGTCCATCCACAGCGGTGGAAGAGAAGGCAGGCACATGAGTACAGAGGCAGGTAGGCCGGCCGGCTTGGTGGTGGACTTATGTAGGGGTTCTCTTCTCATTGCTTCTATTTGCTTAATGAATTCAGAAGTATGACCATCTGTATTAGGTATGGAAAAGAAAGCAATTCTTGGAGGTCTGAGGAGACAGGCGAGTGTATGAAATAGTAGACTCAGAGAGAAGAGTGAAAAGACTAGGAAAATGTAGTCAGCTGGCTAAGCAGCAACATGGGCAACTTAAAGTAAAACCATTACATGTTGTCCAGAAAAATTCATGCAAATCTAGACTGAATCTATGTGCCATAATGTTAACTATATCACAATAAACATAGACTGCCCTTATGCTTAGCTCTGAACTGGTATGTGGCTCAAGATAGACACCTTTGAATTCCATCCAGAATTCCCCTGCTGAGAAAACTCTTCCCTAGAGAAGAAAGACTTAGTTTGCCTGGATGGGGCTTCAAGGGCTTAGCTTCCACACTCAGCTCTGTCTCTAACTAGCTGGATGACCATAGGCAAATTACTTCACTTCTCTAAGCCTCAGTTTTCTCAACTGTAAATTGGCAATGCTAAACTAGATGATCGCTATCCGTAGGTTCCCCATTGCTCCATAATTCTGCAGATATTTACTAAGAGCTTACTATGTTAAAATGTTTGGGGCATTTTTCTGCTCAGTAGAATGGCAGTGATGCCATCTTTCAGCCACAAGGAAACAAGAGTCCTACCATCATTAAGTAATTAAGCATCACTAAACATTGATTTCTTATTTTGTGAGGCAGTAAATATAACTTGCAGATTAAAGCATCCAGAATAACAGTGGGTATTGAGATTTGATTTGTTCAACACACTTTATGTAAACTTCATGCTTCAAAACCTGTCCATGACCAATTAACTAAAAACTAAAATACCAGCTTCTTATGAGAATGGCAGTCATTCATCTAAATACATTTATTGAACACCTATTCTCTGCCAAGTTCTGTCCCAATGATACAAAAATGAATAAGAAGCAATCCTGCTTCCAGGTTTACAGACAGGGATAAGTTGTAATACTATCTAGATGGAAAGGGGCTACTGTAGAAATATGAACAGTGTGCATTATTAATACAGAGTATAGGACAACAAATTCTGGCTGGGGAAGCCTGAGAAGGCTTCCACACGGAGAAGTTGATATTTGAGTTGGTCTTTAGAACATGAGCAAAAATTGTCCAAGGGAAGGAGATTGAGAAGGGTATCTTAAATAGAGATAAGAGTGTTTGCAAAGGCAAGGAGTTGGGAAAGGGCCTGGCATGCCCAGAGCTGAGGTGGGAACATCTGATATAGGTGGAGGCTGAGGTCAGGAGTCTGACTTTTAAATAAGGGAGTGTCACAGTCAGCTTTTACTTTTTAGGGAGGAAACTCTGGCAGCTACGACATGTCATAAATATGTAAAAACCATTCCTGGCATACCACTTGGAAAATAACTCTTATTTTAGTAAAATAAAATAAAAACTATAGCCCTTAGTTCAGAAGACCCTGTAAGGTAACCCTCACCTTTGTTCCTTTTCTTCCTGGATGTCCATATCCATCCGGACCAAGACGACCCTAAGAAAATGACACAAGATGAACCGTAGTCATCGAGATCAACATTTGGTTGATAATAGTATCTAAACCCTCGGATAAATCAACACTGCAAAGAGGTGGGAAAGAAAGTCTCGATGAGGGTTGGGAGACTAGATTCATAGGATAAACACTGACATTTGGAGGAGATAACAATTTAAGACTTTAAAAAACCATGGTGGAAGGAAGTGTTTGTGTTTTTATTTAGCCCCTTCTGCAGCAAGGTTCTGCACATCACCAAGATGATGCCACAGTTCTAGGAAGCCACATCACTGTACAGTTTCCCTTGGGCTAAACTTACTTTCCTTGTGGCACAAAGTATCAGTGGAAGAAACTCCAGAATTGGTAAATCTTTAGGGATCAAGACAGACTTTGGAGAAAAAGATTGGGATAGAGGCAATTTAGTTTAGTGGTTAAGTGTACAGACCATAAACCCAGACAGACTTGAATTTTCATTCCAGTCCCAACACTGGTTGTATGAGTGACCCTGGGATAGTTATACAACTTCTATAAGCTTCAGTTTCCTCATACGTAAAATAGGAATAATATCATCTACATGGTATGGTTGGTGGGAAGATTAAGCGAGGTCGTGCATGGCAAGGTCTTAGCACAATGCCAGACACAGAGAAAGTACTTGATAAATGATAATTATTCTGCTGCTATCGGTGGCAGTAGAAGTAATGGTGTTGGCAGGAGGGTAGCAATGCTAGTGGTGATGATGGTAGTAGTGACAGTGGTGGTAGCAATGGTGATGGCAGTGGTAATAGTGATGATGATGGTGGTAGTGGTGGTAGTGATGGTGATGATGGTGATAGCAGTGGTAGCAATGGTTATGATGGTGATGGTGGGAAAAAAATAAGATAAAAAAGATGGCCAAAAATGAGTTCTTGGTGGGGAGGCAGTGTGAATGAGGTTCTTCGCTGTTATCCCACCTGCTCCTTGTGGGAAGACATGCAGAACCTCCCGCATCTGCAATCTCAGAGACCCAAACTGTGTATTTTGGAGATGTCTCCCTCTAACAGACCTGAAAGGTCACCTTCAAGAAAGGTTTCCTTTCCTAGCTTTGTCTGTCCCAGGGAGAAGTCAGGAGGCACAGTTTTGTGTTTTTAATGAAGAGATTTTAATAAAGTCAAAGTATTAACTTCACCATCTGAATGAAGAACATTATTTGCCTCATATTCCCTTTGATACTAACTCTATCCTGCTTTCCCTTTCCACATTTAGGTTCAAGCTTCTCAGGCCTGCTTTTGTTCTCTTTCCTTGCCAACAAAACACAAACCTGCAGATCTTTCCTAACTGTTGGTGAAAGCAATCTCGAAAATGTGGGCTGCAGGAAAGATAACATTACTCTGTACGCTAAAGCTACCCCCTGAATTCCAATAAAGGAATAAATTGAAAATAGTCATAAAATAACTAGCTTGCTCTCCTGTTCAAGGTGATGACTAAGGTAAAAATGCACAGCCCTGTCATTCAGGGTGTTATCTGTAGAAGGAAATCTTTTATGGTCGTTGGTGTCCAAAGATTATTTCTATGCTCCGGACAATCAAACCCCTACTCTTAAAAGTCTGCAGATCTGTTTGGCTGTCTTATTTGTTGCCCTGGAAACAATGTTTCGCTAAACAGCTCTGTATTCCTAAAAGACTCAAATGCTTATAAATATCTTTGTCAAACAGATGAGGGTGATTGGCACTTCCCTCTTCAACATGTCAGAAGGCAAAATGCATTCCAAGACATCTTTGGATTTGTAATTTATACAAGAAGTTTGAGAATCTTTGTATAAATTCTCAACAGCTCCAGTGATCATGTCATCTTTGTAACCCCAAGTTTAACTCATCAAGAATATCAGAATGTTATGTAAAACAAGAGAACAAATAACAAACAAGAAATTCAATCAAGAGTCCAAAACAGAGAAATGAGACTTACAGGTTGCCCTCTTGGTCCTTGTCGACCCGGTGAGCCTCTTTCTCCTGCAACACCAAGCTCTCCCTTGTGTAATGAAGAGTAAAGGTGAAATTAATTTTCTTCTATGAGTTCATGCAACTTTGTGTCATTTTCCTTAAAGAGTGTACAGTCATTCTTTTCAAGTCCTGGTACCATACCAGACAGTCTAAGGTAAATACTTTCCTCTAGGCTTCATTAAATATAGATAACTAACACACACAGTAGGAATTTTGCTACTGAAAATTAGCAAAACAAGGTATGAAACGCAAATTATAGAATTTTATATCACTATGGCTTTTTCTAAATGAGGGTGTGTGAATTTATTACATTTGCAGTGAAACCATATGCATATCTATCTGTTGGTATGTTTTTGTCTATTGATATATGTGATCCATGTTTTCTATATGTCTGTCTGTATGTCTTGCCTTCTCTGTACCCATCTATCTAGCTATGAATAGGCAGTCAACAGCATCACCAACCAATCAGAAACGTGTGCTGGAAATGATTACATAAAGGAAGATGTGTATGAAAAAACCCAAAGGGCTCCCCCAAGATGCTCTCAAGAGAGTGTTCTCTGATTTACCTTCATTCCTCTTGGTCCGTCTTTTCCTTTTGAACCTTTTGGCCCTTGAGGCCCAGGATTCCCCTGGAATAAGACCACAGCTGACATAACCACTATGGCCACAAAATTAACTGGTTAACTCCTACTATTATCAAAATGGTCTGGAACTCGTAATATACTCATAAATCACCTTAGAGATGTAAGCTCAGCCTTTAATGTATAATACCATTAATTTATTCTATCCTTCAACATACAAAATGCATAATATACACATTTAAACTCTGGGCTGGGGGTTTGGGGCATGGGGGGAAGGTGCTCTGTATGAGAGGCGACATTTACCACATACTGAGAATCGGAGGAATCACCTGTATGCCTCAGGGTAAAATATGACTTGATTAAAAGATCAGGAAGACAAAAGTCTGGAGTTTTACCCACATCAAATAAAAAATTTTTTCAACTGAGATGGCAAATAATACAATCAGTTATAAGGCTGGATTCTTCCTGACCACAGGAGAGAATGAGGATGGTTTTGGCCATCCTAGAGCCACTATTTTGAGTCCCCAGATAAAGACTCTCCTTCCTGACTCCAGTCATGCTGTTGTCAAATTAGCCATCTCAAATGCTGCCTTCCCTCCTCTGGAAGCCACTCCGATCATCTGTCCCAATCTGTCTGACCCTTCTACAAACCACCAGGATACTAGGTAGGGAGTAGAATAGGCACTAGAAAGACCCAAATTAGAGGCCAGCTCAGCCACTTACTACCTGGATGATGAGTCATTTAATTTCCCTGGGCCTCAGTTTCCTTGCCTATAAAACTGGAATAGTAACGCTTCCTTATATATTTGGGAGGAGCAGATTAGTTATTTATTCCTTTTTATGGTACTATTATTTTATCACGTTCTATAGGTAAATATGAGCTTGTATTGCATACCCTTGAGATTTAAACCCACATCTCATTTGTCACTACATTCCCAAAATATACGTAAGGTAGAAGGAGGTACAAGGCTGATGATCAATGTCTACTGCATCAGATTAACTTTTCTAGAAATTCCTGATACCCACAGATCCCAGAACAAACAGTATCGCTTTATGTTATTTGTTCAGGGACACTTAGGGGTATGAATTGGCCGTTGTTAATGAGCAGCTTTGTTGTAGCTGTTAGTTTTTCAAACATACCTGAGCACCCAGTGAGCCTTTTTGTCCAAAAATTCCCGGTGGTCCTTCCCTTCCTCTTGGTCCCTGCTCCAAAGATGAAATTAAAAGTTAACCAATTCTTCCGGAGCATTTATATTCCATGCAACCACAAAATCACCATGGATGCTGATGGAAGCACAAGTTGAGGTGCCCTGACCCATCACTATTTCATTTATCAAACTTTAATCAGATAGCTCCTGCACTCACTCCAAACTCACTCTATCTGAAGCACAGGGTGTGAGTTCTCAGCATCTATATTTTTAGCAATCTCTCCAGTTGAATCTGATGAGCACTGAAGTTTGAGAACATTGTTTTTATATTTTAATGCACTCAACTAATTTTAAATCCTAAAAGGGGGGTGGGGGGGTAGCTAGGATACTGCTCTCCATTGAAAAAAATCACCTTTTTCCTTATACACACAAGAGCTGAGGAAAAGAGATTGTGGGTTTTGATTTGATCAAGAACTGAAGGTGCCTTTAGGTAGTTTAATCTCACTGACTACATTATTGGGAGTTGCTCATTTTCTCTCCAGTCCATTTTCCTTTACTGACTTCTGACACTTTCATTTCTTTCCCCAGCTTTTCTGAGAAACACTTTACTATTAGAAGCATTGATCATGGCTTCTATTTTCCTGGTTGAGGTCTTGACTATCATCTATTTAAATACCCCGTCATACCTACATGCCAGTGGGAAGGTGAGAATTAAGAAGAGATTTCATTGAATATCTTGCCCATGGTTCCCAGCATGACTTGCTTACCTTTCCCCCAGCAGTACAATAAAGTGGGTGTATGGGAGAAAGAGGGGGCACAGCAGTGGTGGGAGGTCCAAATTTGAATTAAGCCAGTGATCAAAGAGTGAAATGGATATATCTTTTAGTTGTTTCTCCCCAAGTTCAAATATTATTTTCCATCATAAAATAAATACAATCTCTAATTATACTGTGATTACTCATTTCTTTCCTTAGTATCTCTGCCAAGTTTAAAAACAGCAGAAACCTCTGAAATTACCATCTAACACTCATAGAATTTTTAATGATGGAGAATGATTCTAAGTTAGCAAAATTTTTTGTCTTAAAGTTCTTCATTTGAGGATACTTATAAACAATTTGGTTTTTAAAAGAAAAATATATAAAGTGTTCTAGAAAAGCTTAGAAATAGAAATGAAATGACAGCTTTGGGTTATGCTTAGAGGATGCCAGAAGAACTTGATAATAAACAACATCCCACTGGACAGAGCTCCTCGAGGGCAGGACCCTTGCCTTAATGGTCCTAATGTTCCATGTCTATCAGCAGGGTGCCTGGAGCATAATAGACACTCAGTAAACACTTTGATTTCTCCTGCCAAATTGAATACAATTTTAGCAAATTAATATCTGAGTGATTTGAATATGCAGCTTCAGGGGCAGTAATCAAGAACATAGATTTTATAACTAGACTGCCTGGCTTTGAATCCCAACTTTATCACTTCATAGCTGTATGACCTTGGCCAATTTACCTACCTCTTCCATCCCCTCTCCATTTCTCCCCTGTCAAATGAGGATAATCTTTTTAAAAGCCCACTGAAGAATTAAATGAGCTAATATAAGTGCTCTGGGTAGTATCTAGGTGATAGTGGTCAATAAATATTAGCTATTGTGGTTTAACTTTCCTAGCAGAGAGGCTACATAGTTTGCTTTGGGATGCCTTGGAAAGGAAGCATATAAGGCCATTCTGATTTATGTTAAATTCTTATCAAACAATGAGATTAAAATTTCAAACAAATATCCTTTAGCACTAAAACCAAGTTCCCGGACACAACCTGTGAACCTGGAGACCCTTGCTGTCCTTGGTAACCTCGTTCACCAGACTCTCCAAGCACACCCTGTCAAAATAAACAAAACTTAGAGTGAGTGCAGTTTACCAGGCACCTTTAGTGTTCCTATTGAAGGCATCCTTCCCTGTAAATATGTCACTTAAAAGCTTCAAGAGAAAGACTCAAACAAGATTTGACTGGTTGTGATCAATCCTCTCAGAAAATGGAATTGGAAGGGAAAGGTGGGGTGTTTCCATTTATGTTGGAAAAATGCAAGACCAGATTCTTATAGCCTTTTCCGTTTTTTGCCGTTTTCTTTCCACCTTTTTGGTTGTTGTTTTAACCAAAAAACTTTGTTTAAATAACCCCAACTCCTATTTGTATAATAACTGGTTCCTAAAAGCACAGACCTTCCTTTTAAGGCATATGGGCTAAATGCTCAAAGGTGTTAAGTACCCTTATCCCATGCAAGGAAACTCAGAGCATTGAACACAGCAACAAACGTGGCATTCTGAAACAAAGGTACACAATGCACATGGAAAAATAGCAGAGAAATGGCCTTAAGACTCCAAAGAGGCCAGGCGTGGTGGCTCACGCCTGTAATCCTAGCACTCTGGGAGGCCATGGCGGGAGGATCACTCAAAGTCAGGAGTTCGAGACCAGCCTGATCAAGAGTGAGACCCCGTCTCTACTAAAAACAGAAAGAAATTAATTGGTCAACTAAAAATATATACAAAAAAATTAGCCAGACATGGTGGTGCATGCCTGTAGTCCCAGCTACTCAGGAGGCTGAGGCAGAAGGATTGCTCGAGCCCAGGAGTTTGAGGTTGCTGTGAGCTAGGCTGATGCGAGGGCACTCTAGCCCGGGCAACAGAATGAGACTCTGTCTCAAAAAAAAAAAAAAGACTCCAAAGATCCTTAGAGCACTAAGCTAGCTCTCCAGGCAAAGAGTGAGCTGTTAAAATGACTCATTCAATAACTGATTTAATTTTTCCTCCTAATTAATATTTTTGTTCTATAGAGAAGACACATTTTCAAAGATTGAGGATAATACCCATTTTATGAATTATTCTGCCTTCTTTTGCCTGTTGCCGACATGTTGACTAGCTTACTAATTATTCACAGATGTGCAAAAAGCAAAAACTTCAAACTGAGAACTAATCAATATGTGGATCAATTACTTGTGCTTCTTAAGTTTTTAAAACTATCCAGCACTTCTATTAAACATTCCTGCTATATTATTCTGCTTTTCAAGAACTGATTTCTGAAGTTCTAAATATGAACCAAGTTTTAAAAGGAATGTAGCTAGAAATGTTGAACCAGGTTGTAAAATGTTATCTAATGTGTGTATCATATTAGTGACATTCATAGTGCAATATTTATGAGAATAATGTGGCTATGTATAGCAAAATTCAGACTCTTTTATTATAACTCCACTCTTATACATTTATATTACAGAAATAATTTCAGCAAAGCAATAGCAAGAACAAAACAAAAAAACTATAATAAAGTTTCTCTTCATACCACTGACCATGATATTTAATAAAATAGAAATTACCTACATGTCTAAAAGAAGAATAGTTTAGTAAATAATGGTACTTCAACAGAGTGTAAGATAATGTATTTAAATGATAATAGGAAGATTAGGCAATAAAAGGCAGAATAAAGACATCTGCACCCAAATGTTTATGGCAACACAATTCACTATTGCAAGGATGTGCCCGTCAATTCATGAGTGGATTATTCAAATTTGGCATATGTATACAATGGAATATTACTTAATTATAAGAAATGACGGTGATCTAGCACCTCTTATATTTTCCTGGATACATCTTGAGCCCATCCTCCAAAGTGAGGTATCACAAGAACGGAAGAATAGGCTCCACATGTACTCGCCATCAAGTTGGCACTGACTGATCAACACTATGGTGCTCATATGCCAGTAATATTCTCCTGGGATTAGGTGGTTGGGGTGGGGTAAACTCACAACTAATGGATGCGGTGAGCATTGTAGGGGGGAAAAGGCACACGTTAAATCATGGTTTGGGTAAAGGGAACCCACATGGTAAAGGGAACACACAAACATTAAAATTATTGCAGAAAGATGGTGGGTTTATGGACATCTAAAAAAATTAATAACATTCTTAATTTTATCATAAACAACAAATTTGAAATCTTGCCTTATTGCCAAACAAATCTATGCATTGATTTGATTGTCATAAATGCAATCTTTTCCATACCTAAAATTTTATTTAGAATTCTGTTTTATTATATACATCTCGCTAGATCTAATTTAATAGACAATAATAAAACATGTTTTCTTTCTTTTTTTTTTTTTTTTTGAGACAGAGTCTCACTGTATTATCCAGGCTAGAGTGCAGTGTCATCATCATAGCCCACTGCAACCTCAAACTCTGGGGCTCAAGCGATCCTCCTGCCTCAGCTTCCCAAGTAGCTGGGACTACAGGGATGTACCATCATGCCCAGCTAATTCTTTTTTTTTTTAATTTTAGAGATCGGATCTCACTATGTTGCTCAGGCTGCTCTTGTATTCCTGGCCTTAAGCCATCCTCTCACCTCAGCCTCTCAAAATGCTTGGATTATAAGCATGAGCCACCATGCCCAGCCAAGACACATTTTCCCAAGGTCAAGGGAATGCTGTAATTTAGAGTTCAGCATGTCTGTAGCCTATATTCTTCTAGTAGGTCTGGCTGATTTTTAGCAAGTTGCAGCCTCAGAACATGACCAGTGTTCCAACATTCAGCCAACTAGCAAATCACTGACATGGTAGATAAACTCAGTTCAACCTAAAGCCCATAAATATTTACGATCTTATCTCTTATTTAAAAAATCAAAACTTGAATAAGAGCAAACCCCTATAGAGACTCAGCAGGATTACAATATATCAAAGAGAGAGGCTTCCAATTAAATATGCTAGGTTGCACATGTTTCTCTCTGCTCCCAGAATGAGAGGATGCTGTTCCAAAATCTGCCCCAATAAGAACATGGCAGAGGCCCAGAGAGCAATCATTCTGGAGAAGAATGGGAGGACAGAGGTCTCAGGAGGGATGAATCCAAGAAAAATAATCCTAGGTATTTGAATATATTTTGAAGTTATCATTTCTGTCAAAAAGCTTTGTGATTCATTAGTAATAGGCACATAGAACACATAATAAATGGGGAAAAGGGTGATTCAAGGAAAACAAAAGTTATAAAGCTATAAATAACATTTACCTAGCCATCCTGTGAACAATGAATTGATTTGACCAAAAGTGGAGAAAATAAGTATATTGCAAGCATGGGTTTGGGGGAAGTGTATGGAGAAGGAGGTGGAGAGGGTAAGAAAGTTAAATCCTCATCCTCCATAATAAGAAAGCAATAAAAAAACTGAGATAAGTCCATCTCATTTCTCCTCTATACTAAATCTTGAAAATGCTAGAAAAAAAATACCAGCAGGGCATGATCAGACTATGTCGGAGAAAGGCCTACATATGTTTTACAAAAATTTCAAAAAGCATCATGATTTCTGGAATCTGACATTGGATTTGAATCCTGTCTCCACCAATTATTAGCTACAGGCACATCACTTTTCTAAACTTATATTTCCTCTCTTATCCATAAGAAAGTGACCAGTGATGTTCACAACTCCTGAAGGAGTTGTAGACAGGTTTACATGTCTACATGTAAATAAATGTCTCAGGTAGTGCCTGGTACTAGATAAATGCTTGATAAAATAAAGTCCCTTCTCTTCAGTAGAAGAAAAGAAAAAAACTAATTTAATTAAATTTTTTAAAAATAGGGATTCCCCAGAGATATCCCCCATCCCACTGTCAAACCATACCATTTCTCCTTTGCAAATGGCAAGAGCTCAACCTCTTTCTTTCACTTAGACTTATTAGATTACCCATAGGAATCCTATCCCTTCAAATGGAAAAATTGTTACATCAGAAGTGAAATCCCTTCTCTACAAGATTAGCTTCTTTTCAATCTAAATAAAATAATATGGAAGCTTAAGGAGAAGGCAGAGAACCATATAAAAAGATCTCCATGGAAACTTCCCAGTGATCCTCATTCAACCTCAGACAACCCAACCACCACTCCCCTTGACCTCAGAGAGAAATATTTAAAGTAGCCATAAAAAATAGAGAAACGGGACTAAATCAAACATAAAAAGCATCTGCACAACCAAGGAAACAATCAACAGAGTAAAGAGAAAACTTGTTGAATGGGAAAAAATATGTGCGAACTATTCATCCAACAAAAAACTAATATTCAGAATATACAAGGAACTCAAACAACTTAACAGCAAAAAAAATAATAATAATAAATAATCCCATTAAAAAGTGGGAAAAGGTCTTGAACAGACATTTCTCAAAAGAAGAAATATGAATGGCCAACAGATATATGAAAAACTGCTCAACATCCCTAATCATCAGGGAAATGCATATCAAAACCTCAATGAGATATCGTGTCATGCCAGTTAAAATGGCTTTATCAAAAAGAGAGGCAACAACGACTGCTGATGAGGATGCAGAGAAAGCAGAACTCTTGTACACTGTTGGTGGGAATGTAAATTAGTACAGCCATTTTGGAAAATAGTAGAGAGATTTCTCAAAAAACTAAAAATTGAACTACCACATGATCCAACAATCCCACTACTAGGTATTGGGTATTTATCCAAAGGAAAGGATATAAGTTTATCAAAGGGATAGCAAACATACGGAATCAACATACGTGTCCATCAGTGGATGAACAGATAAAGAAAATGCGGTATATATCCACAATGGAATAATATTCAGCCATAAAATAGAATGAAGTCCTGTCATTTGCAGCAACATGAATGGAACTGGAGGTCATTATGTCAAGTGAAGTAAGCCATGCTCAGAAAGACAAATAGCGTATGTTCTCATTCATATGTAGAAGCTTAAAAAGTTGATCTCATGTAGGTAGGGAGTAAAATGGTGGTTACCAGAGGCTGGGAAGGGGTGGGAGGATGAAGATAAGTTCATGGGCACAAACATACAGTCAGATAGAAGGAATAGGTTCTAATGTTTAATAGCACAATAGGGTGACTATGGTTAACAGCATTATATTGTACATTTCAAAACAGCTAGGAGAGATTTGAAATGTTCCCAACACATAGAAATGATAAGTGTTTGAGGTGACAGATAACCTAAATATCCTGACTTGACCATTACACATTCAATGTATATATCAAAATATCACATGTATCCCATAAATATGTGCAAATCTTATGTATCAATAAAAAATAAATAAAAATAAAGTAGCCATATATGTGGAACAAAGAGTAACTCTTTCCAGAAAGCACTGACCTTTACCCCTGCCGGACCTTGTCTTCCTCGTGACCCCTAAGAATAAAGGAAAACAGAGAGACCTTAGAGAAGGAAACCAATTGATTTTCACTCCAGACTCCCTTCCTCTTCCACAAAGGCAGGGGAAATATGTCCACCCAGCAGTTACGCCTACCTGAGGGCCGCCATTTCCAGTTTCCCCCTGAGGGCCATCGAAACTAGAGCTTCCCTGAAAAGTGAGAGATAAAGGGAAGATCAGTTTAGACGCCATACACTTCTGAATTTATTCTCTGAACTTGCACGATCCAACACAGAAGCCACTAGCAACCCATAGCTGCTAAATTTGAATCAACTAAAATAAAATTAAATGAAAAATTTAGTTTCTCAGTTACACTGGCCACGTTCTAAATGTTCAATAACTACCTGCGGCTAGCGGCTACCAGATAGGACAGTGCACAGATATAGAATATTTCCATGACCTCAGAATGTTCTAATGGACAGCACTCCTCAAGAAGCAAACAGCATTAAATTCTGATATTTCAAAATGTCATTGTTGTAGGCATCTTTCCCCAAAGATTTTTCCTTCTCAGGGTTCACCATACTGGGCCAGCAGTCACACATAGCCTCCAGCAAGGTACGCTTAATACTTGAAACCACTGGCATTTCCCTTTCTTCCCATGTCATTTAGGGTCCTGAGTGGCAGATAGAAAGAGAGGGTAGACAAGTGCGTGTCTATACACATGGGGTGAACCTTACGGACTGATGATGACAGAGGGAGAGGTTATACAGCCAAAATGAAAAAACTTTCTAGTGCTTTCACCTCTTTAGGGGCAGAATTGGGAAAATAAGTAGTGTCCAGAGAAAGAATGAGTACATCTTTTAAGAGAAACATAAAGTGGACAATTACTTAGCGAAGTTACATGATAACTAAACAGGAATACACAGTTTGGGAAAGAATGTGAAATATAGAAACAAAAATGTTTTGTGCAAAGCTGTTTCACCCAACTGTTATTCATAATAGATTAAATTGTGAAAAAAAAATGTGAGGGACGTGTTCATCAAATTATGGTAGAAACACTTGCTGAAATAAAGAAAAACTCATGTTTTTCAAAAGTTTACAAAGTAGAAAAAAGTTTGTGCTATGATGCCAAACATGTTTAGCCTGAATCTAGTTATAGTGAAACAATCAGACAAATCCTAATTGACGGATATTTTGCAAAATAACTGGTCTGGAATGGTAATGTCATGTAAACAAGCAAACAACAGGGCATCTGTTGTAATTAAAGAACACTGAAGAGGCAGGGGAACTACTAATAAAGGCACTGCAGAATCCTTGATTGGCTCCTGGAATAACAACAACAACGACAAAACAGCCATGGAAGACATTAATGGGGTGTTATGTACTGAATCTGTTCCCATCCAAAATTCAGATGTTGAAATCCCACCCCCCGATGTGGTGATATTAGAAGGTGGGGCCTTCGAGAGGTGATTTAGGAAATAAGGGTGGAACACCCCATAATGAGATTAGGACCCTTATGAGGAGGCCTGAGGGAGCACTCCAGCTGTCCTGCCATGAGAGGCTATAGCCAAGAGGACGGCCACCTGTGAGCCAGGAAGCGGGACCTCTCTAGACACCAAATCTTCCAGCATCTTGATATTAGACTTCCCATTCTCTAAAACTATGAGAAAAAATGTTTCCATTAAGCTACCCAGTTTACTGTATTCTGTTACAGTAGCCCAAACTACCTAAGACATGGGACAAGTGGGAAAATTTGGATATGGGCTGTGTATTAGCAAATAGTATTGAGTAAATATTACATTTCTTGAGTGTGATGATTATATTGTGCTTATACAGAAGAATATCCTTTTTCTTAAAATATATTTGCCAAATATTTAGAGGTAAAGTGTCATGATGCATTTAGTTAATCCTCAAATGGCTCAGCAAGACACACACACGTGTGCGTGTATACCTATGTATATAGAGACAGGGATATAAAGCAAATATGGCTAAATGACAACAACTGGTGTCAATTCTTACAACTACAACTTTTTTCTGTACATTTAACATTTTCCAAAATAAAAAGTTAGGATAAAAGTAATACAGGTTCATCATGGACTATTTCAACAATTCAGAGAATAAAGTTAAAGGAAAGAAATATATAGTTCTAGTGATGTAGATGGATATATTCTACAAATTTGGGCTCACATCTGAATATAGTGTTTTACAACCCACTTTTTCCCTTATTCTTTCCATATCATGACATAGTCTTCTACATTATGTTACATGGTCTAATATTATTCCATTATTTAAAAGTCATATTGTTTGTATAAATAATCCCTTATTATTAGACTTTTTAAAAATCACTGCAATGACCATCCTAGGAGCTAAATCTTTGTGATGCTCCATGATTATGTTGCTCCATTTCTAGAACTAAAAAAGCTAGATGAAAGAACATACACAGACTCAGGGTGGCCTACACAACAGGCCTTGCCCTTTCCTTCTTGCTAAGAAAATCAAAATTTTCTTTGAGACAACAACATAGCCAGCTCCGAGAGATAGATTACAACAAGCCTAAGCCAATTGCGGAGATCTCGTTTCCTCTAATCAGAAACTTGCTTTCTCTGGATCTCTCGAAATAGGGCAAGGGCAGGTAAGGGACGCAGGACCCAGTTTTGGTTAATGAGCTATAAAAAGAATACTTCTGGGAGTGCTTTGATGAAAATAAGGCCCCTTCCTTCTGGCATTTTATATAAAGGTGGAGACAAAATGCTTAGAGCTGCCAAGCCTAAGAGACAAAGCTAACACACTGCAGATGTCAGTGTGGAAGGAAAGGCACTGGGTCCCTGATGGCATCATGGAGCCTCTACGGCATCATGAGCTGGTGTGTCAAATCTGTAACCGCCAATCCCTGGGTTATCAAACACGTTTTTTAGCCAAACACTGCTAGCTAGTCAGGCTTTCTGTTGCTTGTGTATTTTAAAAAAATAAAAACAAAATAAAAAACAGCAGTCCTAGCTGATGTACGTTGCCAACAGCCTTCCAAAAAGGTTGTATTGGATTTCGTTCTCCCCAGAAGTGTTGCTTTCACCCTTCTGACTGGCATGACTGGTTCTCCACTCCTTCCCCAATACTAGTATATAATCAAGTTTCTATGCTTGGTTGGAAAGACCAAGCATCAGAGAACCTTCTTGCCCAAATTGCAACAGCGAATCTGCTCTTTGGTTCATCTTAGAAGTAATACAAAGAAGACGTTGCCCCCAGCATCCACTGACTGCAGGCTTGTGTAGCTGCTGGGAGTGATTTCTGTTATCCATGTCTATTCAAAAGATATTTAGTCAGCACCCTTTATCAGCCCAGCATGGGAATAGAAACCATGGGGAACACAAATGCAATAAGATATGGCACTGCCTCAGAGGGTTACAATCTTTGTTTGGACATGCAACTCAGGGATATGATATCCAAGGTTAACCCTTGGCTAAAGTCAGCAGTGGAGACCTGGGAAAGCTGGGAACATGCCACTGTGATGGGTACAGCACTAAACAGTTTGCTAGAGGCCTGGGTTCCTGCCCTGCAGTAAAACCTTGAGCAAACCATGGAACCAAGCTCAGTTTATACATAGATCTTGACCTTTCTTTCCATGACAGCCACTAACTCATGGAAGCTTTGAAACACTTTCTCCAATCTTCCCACCTTATGGATGAGGAAACTGGGCCCCAGTGGGTTAAGGGTTATTGCCCTGCTCTTCTCAAGGCTCAATCTCATAGCCAGTTGATTGGCTGTTCACAGGGCTCTCTGATCCCAACTCACCATAGGAGGAACCCTCTCAACAGGGTTTGTCCAAATCAACTGTAATTAATGACAGGGTGAGAGATTCTTGCAGCAAGTCATGACGATTTTCTCACACATCTACATGATAATGATCTCGTTATAGACTGGATTTAACTCAGGACCTGTGCATATATAAAAGGAACACTAGCTAGCTGCAATCTAGAGAGGAGAGCCAATGTCCTATTTCATCAAAGGATAAAAATTTAGAGTTTGAGGTAAACAGAACTTCCTCTCCAGTTGCAAACATTTTGCTACATAGACCTCATTCCTAGAAACTAGAAATAATGAGATATGAAGACTAAAGCACTTGGGTAATTTTAGTGATTTTTTAGAATCATGCATTTTAATATCTGAGACATATAAATCTAAAAATGTCTTCCGAGAAGTTAATATCTGTCAAGTTAATTCTTTTTCCTTCTATCACAATGCTTCAACTCTTTGGAAGCAGAAAATGTCTGATACCCAATTCACTTCAATTAGTAGTGGCTGTGACAGAAAACAAGCCAGCAGTGTAATGACCCTGAGCTTTCAAATCAATATATCGCTAAAAAATTGGAGAATTTGGAAGCTGGAAATATCTTAGGCATCATAGAGTCTGATGCTTTCGTTTTGGAGAGAAGGAAACCAAGGACAAAAGAGATAAACAGCTATCAAAAATATCCTATCACATATATCATTTTAATGTCTGAGTAGTCCAGCATATATCAGTGTAAAATAATCCATTTATCTAGTCTCAGACCATCAGATATTAGCTTGTTTCCAATCTTTTTGCAATTCAAAATAACATTATTATAAAATTCCTTTAGACAATTTTTCTGATCTACCCTGATTATTTCTCTAGGATATTGTCCTAGAAAATGAACTATTCGATCAAATGGAATAAATATTATAAACAAAGCAAAATTCTGACTGAATTCTGATTATAAAGTAATATAAGCATACAGAAAAGTATAAAGAAAAAAATAATGTTCACCTATAATTCCACTACCTCCAGGTAGTCACTGTTAATATTCTTGGCATGTACTTTTTTCAGATTTTTGTCTACACATTAAGGTTTTTTTAATCCAGTCTGACAGTCTTCATCTTTTAGTTGGAGTCGTACATTTTTTCAGTGCACATTTACATAATATTTTTCAAAAATGGGATTTTACTATAAATATTTTGATTCTGTACTCTAATCTTTTGATGATAGACTGTGAGTGATTTTCCATTTGTATAAATACATTTCCACCACATCATTCCTAATGGCTACATGGTATTCCACTGCAATTATATACTATAATTTTATTAAAGTATTCCTTTATTCTTACACTTTTAAGTTGTATACATCTTCTACTATTAGAAGCCATGTTGTGATAAATGTTCTTGTATGTGCATCTTTTTGAGTTTTTGCATTTTTAAAAGATTACTTGTCCTTCAATTTCTCTACTTACCCATTTCAACAATAAAACCATATATACTGACCATCCCATGGGGAAAAAAAAAAGTAACTTGTATCACTAGTGTTGTGGGAGATAGGATTTGTATAGAAAAAAATATTGAGATAAGAATGCCAGGGCAAGGATGCACGTGGGAATTAGCGTTCAGAGTTCCCATCTCCATGGACAATGGGTTCCTACAGGTTTGTGCTCGGGTTTTCTGTGCTGATACAACCAGAATGCTCAAGTCTTCTGCACAAGCTAGCATCTGTTCCCAGGTGTGCCAGTCTCCCCAAGGGAACAGAAACCATCTTACCCAATGCCCACGCCTTCCTTTTTCTCCCTTAGGGCCTTGGATGTAACTATCACTTCCAGGATCCCCCTGAGAAAATAAAAGGTTGATTACTCCAAATGAAAAACAAAGTAAAGAAAAGAAATTACAGGAGGAATGATTTTTTAAAAAGAAAGGCACAACCAAAGTGGACCGTTTTTACTGTCTGGACCTGTTCAATAATCCTAGAAACTCAATGCAATTAAAATTCCAACCTCTGCAACAACTCCAATTTTCCAAAAGATGAATTTTCCCCTCAGATCTCTTATTTGTTGCAATACTAAGAGAAGCTGAACAGATGCCTTATTAATGAATACTTCATTGCTCTTTGCCTTTGTGCCACAAGCAAACAGTTCTCAAGTCCTTGGATTTAAAGCAACAGAAGTCCCCCAACATTACTCACAGGATCTCCCCTTAACCCAGGCTCTCCGCGCTCTCCAGGCTGTCCTGGCGGTCCCGGAAAGCCCTTAAATCACAAAGAAAAACATGTCACTTTTTAAAATCACCTGTTGCCCAAAGGAAAGAGAACAGCAAGAGGGAAATTAAGAATCAAATTAAAAGAGCAACTTAGTACCTCAATTTTAGAGCATTTGCTGCCAAAGAGGTGAGGTTGAAAGGTAGAACAGAATGTGCTTCTATTGGCTATCTGCCACATGCCTGGCCCTAGATGCGTATTACCTCACCTAACCCTCATACCTCAGCAATTAACCCTTTGCACATGTAGGACCTGAGCTCCGGGAAGTTGGACCCAGGTCTCTGTACTGTCAAATCCCTTGATCTTTCCACCCCTCCTTGATGCTCCACGCAGAAACACATGAAAGCAAAGAAAAAGGCTTTCTCCATCATGGGTGTGGGCAGCAGTGGCAGAGCAAGATTTCATGAAAAAGAGGAGAAAGAAGAGAAAAATGCTCCCAGAGCTCCTGGTTGTGATTGCTGCAAACAGAGAACCAGAGAGGTGAAGAAACTTGCCATAGGACTGTGACAAGACAAGTGCATGACCGCCTCGCTGAAAACCTGCCATGGATCAGTGCCTCCCTGTGCAGCGGGTCCTACAGAGCCACAGAGTGGGGAGAGCCCCCACCCCAGGCACCTCCTTCAGATGATGTCACACACCCGGCTCTGCAGGGGATGCATGATGAAGACAGGCTCACTGTTCTGGCTCTCAGTCACAAAGGACATGGAATGTTCTCTAGGCTCCAAAAGAACCCACCTCATAATCTTACTTGATTACATAATCTTACCTCTCTCCTGGCCTAATATAACGGTAAAAAGGGAGATAGATAATTCTAAATTCCAATCCTGCTGTTTAATTTACTAAACAGGCAAAATTCTTTCACTTCTCTAAGACTCCATTTTCTTATTTGTGAAACAGATGTACCTATGTCATAGGACCATTGCCCCAGGAATTAAATAAAATAGAAAATTTAAATTCTCAGGATAGAGCCTGCATGAGGTTCTTATTATGATTTGCCCTACTTCGAGTCTCTCCTTTTTCTAGCATAGACACTTGGCTTCCAGAGTAATCTTCTAAAACCATAGCTTCAAATATGTATCTCCTTTGCCTAGAAGCCTTCACTAGCCCTTGATTACTCAATAGAAAAAAACAAAACTCCTAAATATGGCATTAAGTTGACTCCAACTTGCCCTTCCAGACTTTCTTCCCACTCTTTATACTTTGTGTTTTATGCTTGACACCTATTAAATTGGAATCCTTACTTTTCCAAAGCTATCCTGAGTTCTTCTAACTCTAAGCTTTTCCTTTTACCTTTTCCTTAAGCTGGAATACCCTGTGTCTCTCTCCTATTCCCTCTCACAGAGATCAGCGTGCAAACTGTCTTGATTTCCTATGTTCCCTGGAATGCCACAGTCCTCCCCACCCTTTGGCACCTGCTCAAATGCCACAGAGCCTTAATATATAAGGCTATTCTCTTGCCCCCCTTCTCTCCCTCCTGACCACCTGATTGTTACTCATCCTTTAAATTTAATCCCCTCTTCACTTCCGGGATGAATACTATATGACTGCACAGGCTGGATACGCCCCCCTGTCATTTCCCTATCCATGTGATTATCTCAACAGTAAGCTTACATGTACTTCCACGATTATTTCATTCATGTCTGTCTTTTCCCATAGAGGCCAATCCTAAGATATAACTAACGCCCATACCTGTTTTGTTCCAGAATGTTCCATCATTCCAGAATGATGCCTGGATTATAACATATGCCTAATAAATTTTGATGATTGATCAAACAAAGAAAAGCCGCCCTATTTTAGTTTCCTCTCCAAGTCACTGTGCTCCCATTGATTCCTTATTTGCACCATTCTTACATCACTTATTTTACCCCATCCTGTATTATAGTTCTTCCTGAGCCAATTTGATGTCCTACACCAGCCAATAAGCTCTTTGTTGGTCAGAGTCATGACTTACATATCTTTGAACACATCTCTGTGTCTAGAAAATGTCGCACAGGGAGAAGGCACTTGATAGGTGTTCACTGAATTTTGTAAAATTCTACTAAAACTGAAAACACCCCCAGTGTCTTAACAGTGTGGTGTCTTCTACCTTCTCTGAAATCTGATTCACAAACTTCAGGTTTGGGACTGAACCTCAAAAAAGAGCCATGTCTTCAGACCCTCACTGTTCCACTTATCATGAAATCAGTCTACACCATTAATTATGCATCCTTGGAGAAAAAGCATTACTCTAACTCCCTGAGGTATACAAAGAAGCCTAAGTGCATAAATTTCACCCCCTTGTCTAATCCTATTAACCAACAGGAGTTGATTACGGTTGAATTGGATCCTTCAGTCATGCTGGACCCCATAATTGGTTAGTAATGTCTGCCATGGACATAGGAAGAGAGAGTTGCAGTACATTTGCCAGGTATCTGCCATCCCTCCAGTAGAAACAGAATTACCAGCATGAAGTAGTGTGTATTCACTGTCAAGCAGATAGTACAAATAATGTACCTTGTAAGGATGTAGAGAAGGAAGAGATCACCACAGGCTGACATAGTCAGGAAGCCATGATGAGGAAGAAAGAAAGGAATGGAACATTGAAGAAAAGGTGATATTCAGATTAATCCCTGGAGATGGAAGCAGGGAAAAGGCATTCCAGGAGGGGCACCTGGCATGAGAAAAGACACAGAGATGGACATCCACAAGGAATGCTCAGGGAATGATGAGTAGTGCGATTTGACCATGAAGGACATTTCTTGACTGAGATTGGTGAAGAAAGTGGTTGAAAGGCCTTGGGTGTAAGACTAAATCACTGCTGACAGGGAGCTGTAAAAAGCTTATAAGATAGGGAATGGCATGATCATTGGTCTAACGGACAAAAAGTTAAGTCACAAGCTTAATATTACTCATTTCACCATCCAGAGTCAGGTCTTAAATAAAGCTTCCAAATAGTCATCTAACACTGATTGTCCTTTAACTATCAATCTAGTTTTTGAACCACTAGACGATTCTTTCTCATAGTCTAAAAATAAACTGTCCACGTCAGGTTATTCAGTAGAAAAATGAGAGAAGAATATTCTCATCCTTTACCTGATTTCCCCTATTTCCTTTTTCTCCAGATGATCCTGGAACTCCATGACTACCCTAGAAAAATAAAAATAAATATACAAAGAGTCTTTCTTATATTTGTCACACCAATAATTTTTTTCAAGTAGTTTCACATTTTAGCCAAGAGAAGAAACTTTCTTTGCCACTCCATTTCCAATAAGGTGACAAACTAGATGTCCTGAAAAACCATCCTGCTAAAAATTAATTTAAAATTCCAGATAAATTAATATATTTTATATACATTAATGAACTGAAAAAGAAAAGAAGAAATCTTTATGGTTCCGAATAAAGAGGAAGCAGAAATCCAGAGAGGTAATAGCACTTGGCTGTCCAGAGGGCTTCTTGTAATCACTGTGTGTATGTGTGTGTGTGTGTGTGTGTGTGTGTGTGTGTGTGTGTGTGTGTGGTATGAAAAACCTCAAGCTGACAATTTATTTTAAAGTAGTCCCAGGAGGTAGTGCCACTAGAAATATGGCAGAAGCAAATAACCTCAACCCAGGACTTAAGGACTTTTCATAGATAAAGTTTCATCAAAAATGAGTTTAAATCAAAAGTCACAACAACATGAAGGAGACACCATGAAGGAGAAGACAGCAGAAAGAAAAGACAACAAAAGCAGACCCACAATGACTTCAAATATGGGGATTATCATACACTGAATATAAAATAAATATATTTAATATGTTTAAACAAGTAAAATAGAAGGAGTACAATAACACACAACTATGAAAAGAGATCAAGTAGATTTGAAAAGAATCAAATAGAACTCCTTGAAGTGAAAAATATAACAAATTGAAATCAGAAATTCAATTGGCAGATTAAATAGCATACTAAACACAAGTAAAGTGAGAATTAGTGAGCTAGAAACTGAAGAAATTATACAGAATCTGACATATAATGACAAAAAATTATATATTAAAGAAAGTTTAAGAGACATTGGGGACAAAAGGAAAGTTTTCACATTACATTTCCATAAAGAGTTAACAGAGAAAATAGGAAAGATACAAATTTCAAAATGATAATTTTCTAAGGATTTTCCCAACTTTATAGAAGACATAAATACTCATATTCAAAAGCCTAACAAGTCCCAAGCAGAATAAATAAAAAGAAATTCGCACTTGGAAACATCAAATTGAAACTGCCAAAAACTAAAAACAAAGAAAAATGTTTAAAGGAGTTTGATATATATTTTTTTAAAGATTGTTTACAAAAGAACAATTATCTTTACAGATAACTGCTTAACAGCAAGAATGAGAGGTAGAAGACAATAGAACCCATAAGACTATGAAATTACATTTTCAAAGTGCTAAGAGAAAATAACTGTCAACACAGAACTGCTTACCCAATGAACTATCTTTCAAAAAACGAAGATAAAATAAAGAGATTTTCAGAGAAAAAACACAAGCGTTTATAATTAACTGACTTTCATTAAAGAAAACTCTAAATGTTGTACCCTAGGGGAAAGAAACAAGATATTCTTTTGAATGCATCAATGGCTTCAAGAAAGATGTCCATGACACTAGTAAACATGAGAGTAAAGTTAGATAAGCATTGACTATATAAAACAATAATAATATTAAATAACAATTTCTAATTGGTAGAATTTAACCAGAAAAAGATGAAAGTAAAATATTAAACAATAATGTCATATGGAAGGGATTGGTTAAAGTTTCTAGGATCCTTGTATTTTAGGGATAAGGACAAATACACAGATTAGCCTTCAGTATTGTTGAGTGTGCATGTTAAAATGTCTAGCTACTCATGAAAAGCTATACTTTCCAAAAATACCAGATTAGTAGAGAAGAAAAGAAGAAATGATAAACTTCTGTACCTCTTCTCCATCCAAGCCATCCACACCTTCCTCACCAGGGTCACCCTGTCAAACAAAGGAAGATCAGAATGTTAAAGACAAAAGAAATAGCATATATGGATATTTCTTTGATGTTAATTTCCTTACTAGTTTTTTCAGTTGATACAGAATCTAGACTTTCTGAGACAACATGTATATACTGTACCCAATTATCAAAAAGTAATGATTATTTTCTTATGGAAATAGTTGTTAGAGTTATACATTGTTTTTCCTGACAGCTTCAGGTGCTAAAAAAAATTTTTTATTTTTTAAATTTTTAATGGATAAAAAAGACTTTAAACTTTTGCAGTGGGAACAAGTAACTCTTTCACAAGCGTGAATGAAACATTTTCCACTGGTTCTTACATGATCCTTTTGTCACTGACTTTCTATAAGGTGGCAAATATGCCTGGATTAATCTATATAATGGAAACTCAGGAGATCACAGAATAAAGATAATTTAAGTGTGTGTGTTTGCATGTGTGTGCATTTGGGAGACATAAAAAAAAAGAAAAAAACTGAGGCTTACTGATAAGAGTAAAAATGGGCAGTGGCACAGTGACATCTCATTAAATATTCCATCACTTTCAAATTATGGGCCCTTTACTTTGCCAACTATATCTAAATAACAGATAACATATTGCTTATATAGCATCCTTTGAAGAAAAATACAGTTTTGCAAGCAAAGCAAAATGTATTTCACTCCTACTGTCCACTGAAGAAAACTATGTTTGTGGCACTTTTTTAAACCGAAGTACAGCTAAGTTAATACATGAAAATAAGTATACCAAACTTTGGGACTAGAATTACAGGATACATCTCCACAGGACACAAGAGGCAAATTGGTGGTACCCGAAAACATGAGAAAGGAAGCTCCGAAAGCCCTTGTCTGTCTTGTTCATCATTTTATAACCACTCTCTGGGATAATGTGGGGAACAGTGTGGGTACCTAATAAATATTTTTGAGTGAATGAATGAGCAAAGGGATACTTTGGTTCTAAATCTGGATGTAAAGTCATTCGCTTATTATGCCAACTCCTTTCCTTCCAGTCCTGTCCTAGCATCCTTTTCCCATTTAACACCCACCTTGACCAGACCCTCCCACCACACCTTGGGTTCAGGACAAACTCTTCTAGACCATCTTGTCATGAATACTGTGGCTCAATTTTTATAGAGTCAGCAAGGCTTGAAAATAATCATATATATCACTGCCTTAAACCCAAATTACATGTCTTACAAATAATCATTCATTAGCATAGCAGTTTGGCTATTAATATCATCTAACATATTCCCTTGTCTAAAAGTTTTAAGCCTAGCCTCCCTCAAGCACAAGAAAAGCAATCAGATTCAGTATGGTGTTTCCCAAAGAAACTGCCATCCAATTTAAGTAAAGGAGATTACCTACCTTCTCTCCTGAAAATCCTCTTGCTCCCTAAAGTTAGAAAGAAATAAAAAGAATTAAGCTTGAATGAGATTTTTAAACCCTTGTTTCATTTAGGAAACCATATGTTCCCTGGTTTGAATGACACACAATTACAGTACTAGATCAGAATGAAGGTGCCTTCTTGAGTAAATGCAATAGGCAGTACAGCGCTCTGATTACTACCACCCTCCTTTCCCTGGAACCTGGAGAAATTGCGCCTTGCAACTCCTCACATAGTAGGGATAAAAGGGAACAACAGTGACCTGCCACTTATTATTAAATTAATCATATTTTTCAAACAAAGTTGAGACTACACTGGTTAGCAAGCATGAGAGGGCTTCCAGAACAACAGAACAAATTAGTCGAAAGAGTAACTTGTTAGGATAAACAGAACATGGTCATTGTCGTTAGGAAAACTCTTTAGGACTCCTTGATTATAGAAATTTTTTCTGGCCTTATTAAAGGAGATCCTCTAGTGCTGGATGGTTAAGGGAGATTTAAGGCAACCACTCAAAAAAAGGGTGCCCCACCTATATTCCTTCAGCCTTTAAAATTTCAATGTTCTCAAGTCTCCTTCCAACCGGCAGCACCTGTGACTCTTTTCCTAAGGGTTTTCCTGAGACCAAGGCGGGCTCTACCCACAGGCAGGACAAGCCAAACGGGCTAGGAAATTAATGCCTCCTGGCAGCAGCCCTCAGCTAATGCCTGCTAGGATTTGGTGTATGAATGATGCAGCTCCCTCACCCCTTGACTGGGAAAATGCTGAGACGCATGTTCAAGCCCAGCTGCCAGAGCTGCTCAGCAAGGTGAAGCTCCACCTGCCCACAGTGGCAATCTGATTGGTAGTGCACCCTTTTCCGGCCTCCTCCATTCCTTATCTCACTTCCTGACTCCCCTACGATTGTTTACTGGCGTCACCTCCCAGCAGACTGCTTGCAGTTGATTTCTTTTCTTGGACTTTTCTTCTGGGAAGTAAAAGAAAAGACCTGCAGTCTGAGGAGGAGCTAAGATCCCACAGGTATGTTGAAGAATTGAAATTTTCCTCAAACCAAGGAAGGGAAAGAATCCCAGAGCTCAAGGCCACACTCACCGGAGGTCCCCTCATACCCGGGCATCCTTCCTCACCTCGGCATCCAGGAGGACCCCGGGGGCCTCTTTCTCCCTGTGAAATAAGAGGACACATGAAAACAGCCAAGCCCCTGCCCATCACCACCCAGCCAACTCACACCAGCAACAACGACCATCAAAATGACTAAAATATGGCACAGTCCTTGAGGTTGATTCTGCAACCTCAAAGACCTGAGCACCTGCAAGGCATTCAGATTGTTAATCTACCATCATATTGATGACCCCACATCACGCAAACCCAAACTATCTCTATTTGTGATCAATGCAGTCAAGCCATATGGTCAAAACTTCAGAATTCAAATAAAACAGAAGGTATGTCTGAACACTTCCTTCAGACAGCTGAAATTGGGTGGAGGTTTCCTTGTGGTCTCACAAAGAGTAAACCATTATTGAACTTTTTCTCTTCTAGGTGAAATCCTACCTATTCCTAAAGTATATAGATCATTTGTCACCTCCTCTCTTGGGAAGTTTTTCTGTTGACCCTGCCCAATGGCCCCTTCAGTTTCCTTGTACTATTTTAGGAATACAACTTAGCATACATCATAGTGAAATTTCTTTTATATATCAGAATCTCCTGCTATATTGTGAGCTTCATAGAGACAAGGACAACATCTCATTTATCTCTGCATTTCTAGCCCCAAACACAGCATCTGAAATACAATAGACACCAGGACATACAAATCCATTCAGAATTTGAAGAATGAATTACTGAATTATATTAATGAATATAACCTTTTCATCTCAGTATTAGATAAGGAAGGGAATAGTAGGTATATCATGTCTTTTGCAAACTTATCAAATGTGAATTAGAAAATACTGCACATTGCATGAGCTTTAATCAAAAGGGAATCTACATTTGTAACATCTAACTTTGACTTAATGAGGTTGGATAACTACATAAGCTACTCAGAACAGTAAAAAGGCACATGATACAGTGAGAAGTACTTTGGATCTAGAATGAAAGGGCATAGATTTGAGTCCTAGTTCTGCTTCCAGCTTGTTTTGTGAGCTTGAACAAGTATATGATGCTGTGAATCACAATTTCCATCCTTTGTAAATGTGGATCTAGATAACACTGATGCTAACCATCTTGTAGGATTGCTATATTGAACACATGAACTACTATAATGGAAATATCATAAATCATATGGATTGAACAAATGAGGTCTTTTATACTTAACAGATAGCAAGAGATTATGAGAAAAGCACAGGTGCTGACATCAGACAGACAGGTTTGGACACATTTCCAACACTATGTGACCTTAAAAAGTCACTTTCTCTTGTGACTTTTGTGACTTCTATTCCCAGTTTCTAAAAGTTTCAGTTGCTGCACATAAAGTATTAACTATGTTTTCCCAAAATTAATCCTCACACAAAAAGACTAGTCTTAAATTTGGGACCTCACAAGGTATACACAGCTTCTCCTATTTCAGAGTACTCTCTCCTTTACTTTACTTTGAACAGCATAGAACTGACATGCCATCAGTACTGATTTGAAATATTTATAGGAAGCTATGGAGATCGCCTACCAGATCAGTTAGGTAAAGAAATCTAACAGAAATTTATTTAATATATTTGAGAGTGAGACCTCACAATTACAAATTTTTAATGCCATGTGAAGAAGACTTTTTAAAGTCACTTTTTTATTTTTTAAATTTTTTTTTATTTTTTTGAGACAGAGTCTTACTCTGTCACCCAGGGTATAGTGAGTACATAGAGTGCAGTGGCATCAGCCTAGCTCATAGCAACTTCAAACTCCTAGGCTCAAGCAATCCTGCTGCCTCAGCCTCCTGAGTAGCTGAGACTACAGGAGCATGCCATGAAGCCTGGCTACTTTTTTTCTATTTTTAGTAGAGATGGGGTCTTACTGTTGCTCAGGCTGGTCTCAAACTCTGAGCTCAAGCAATCCTCCCGCCTCAGCCTCTCAAAGTGCTAGGATTACAGGCGTGAGCCACCGCAACCAGCCTAAAGTCACTTTTTATAAGCAATACACGTCATGATTACATTGTGGAGACCATAAAAATATCCCTACAAGAAAAGTGAGGCAATAGGTTTTGGGAGCATCAAATAAAATTTGCAGTGACAGTCTTCATAAACATACTTAAAATTGGTTTATCTTAAACAACTTCGGCAGAAGTGAACACATTAATAACATATTCTAGAAAACTAGGTGAGATGTTTCCAAAAGTGTCTCCAGTAATGATGAAGAAACTGACGTAGAAACTACTTGATAAGAATTGTTAATAAAATGGTGTGATAAAATATGAGAGAGAGAAAAAAAGCAGTATTTCTAATTTAATATATAATTATCTCTAATAAAAGATTTTAAAATGCTTATGTGCAACTAAATAAATTAAATATTATAAGTAACATATGTCCATTTCATCTACACCCCCAAAAGTTTAAATATTCTAATTTGATAAAAACATTCTTTAGAGGCCAGGTGTGGTGGCTCGCTGGTGTAATCCTAGCACTCTGGGAGGCCGAGGTGGGAGAATCGCTCAAGGTCAGGAGTTCGAAACCAGCCTGACCAAGGGCGAGACTCGTCTCTACTAAAAATAGGAAGAAATTAATTGGCCAACTAAAAAATATAGAAAATATTAGCCTGGCATGATGGCACATGCCTGTAGTTCCAGCTACTTGGGAGGCTGAGGCAGGAGGATCACTTGATCCCAGGAGTTTGAGGTTGCAGTGAGCTAGGCTGACAACATGGCACTCTAGCCTGGCAACAGAGTGAGACTCTGTCTCAAAAAAAAAAAAAAATTTTAGAATGTTCTCATGAGTAAATGGGAATTATCTTGTATTTGAACACATATGTTAAATTGTTTGGAGAACAAAATTTAGGCTTATTGTTTCTCATTCAACTATTAAGCTGTGTCATGCTTAAAAATTGGTCTTTCATTTATTCACAGTTGTTGTTTAAAGCTATAAATAATAGTCATGACTGAATGAAAGGAGTAACACCACCAAAAGCGTTTCCACAGCTTGGCTGGTTCAAATTATCTTACGAGACATGGGAATAATAATAATGTCTTATGCATATATATTATAAAATGAGGAAACATACAAAATATTTAGCCCTTTGTCTGGCATATATAAAGCCCTCCACAAACATTAGATGTTTTTGTTACTACTGAAGTCACAAAAATATTTTTTGTGACCTTAGATAATCTGACTTGGATCCATCACTAAGGCTTTGAGGTGTAACCCATGTATAAGTTATTCTGTAAACCACCCACTTGTGATAGATAAATTTTCAAAATGTATAGAATTCTTGAGTCTGGCAGGTTGTATTTTCCAAAGCTGGACCACAAGATTTCCCATTCCACATGCTCTGGACCTTGCCCTGCCTTTATTCAGAGAAGGAGTCTAATTTCTCTCTCTTGAATCTGGTCTGGAAGTTGTGACCAGCTTGCAATCAACAGGGTGAGACAGCCATGCCCCTGCAGACTCTGAGGCTCAGACAGAAGCCTTGCAGCTTCGCCTTAGTCTTCTGGAGCACTCCCTGGGGACAGACCTCCGCTGTCAGAGTGCTCACTCTCAGAGCCAGCTGTGCCTGTCCTTGTATCATCCCAGCCCAGGCAGGAGAAGTGTGAGAGAAGTGGCCATCTCAGCAATGCAAAAGGATGAGAGCCCCAGATTCTAGAGCCTCAGACCATCTAGTCAACCCAGATGAGCCCCCAGATGTGGAGGAAAGAGTCGGTTCCTTTTCTGGTTTCCCCACCCACAGAGTCTGTGAACATAATACAATGATTATTTTAAACTACTAAGTTGTGGGGGGAGGGGTTGGAGGGAAGGAACAGTTAGTTATAAATAACTGGAACAATGAGTTAGTTATTTGTCCTTTTACATTTTCAACTTGAACCTACAAATTTACGGGCCCCATTCTGAAACCGTCCCATCTGCACAGAGATGTCCCTGCTGTTGAGCAGACCATCCTGACCTGCTTTTCAGGGAAATGGCATTAAAAGCCATTCAGTGGAGAGCACATTGTGAGTCACCTCCTCTTATGACAAATGCATTAAAAAGAAACTGAGACCTACTAGAGCAGCTCTGTCAAATACAGTGGCCACTAGCCACAGTCGCTGTTCAGCACTTGAAATGCATCTGGTGCAAAGTGAGTGTAAAATAAGATTTAGAAGACAGTGTATTTTATAAAGATAAGGTGTCTCACTAGTTTTTATATTAATTACAAAGAAAATGATCACATTGTAGTTATATTTGGTTAAATAAAACATATTAAAATTAACTTTTCACCTGTTTCCTTTTACTTTCTTTAAGGTAGCTACTATAAAATTTAAAACTATAAATGTCACCTGCATTATATTTCTAGCCAGGCACTAGGGAGTCTTTATAAAATATCTTGGTTTTATGAAGGTAGGGCAGTAGTAAACAGGGAACAAAACCATCCCTCACCCGAGACACCCAAAGGTTTGCTTATCCTATTTGTCTGAAATTGGAGTCAATCATTCTAATGGGCTGGATGGTTCTGAAGTCATTCCCCTAACTTTGGCTGGGTTCGTTGAACAACAGGCCAAGCAGAAAAAATAAAATAGCACTTGAAGTACATTTAAAAACATCAAAAAATGGGAGGGAACATTTTCATTATTTCTACACAAAATAGCAAAAATCCATCATTCACATTTCTGCATGTATCTCTAACACCTAAGATTATGCTTACTGAGGAAAAATAAGTAGAAAAGTTGAGCAATTCTCCTGTAAACATAATCGAAGAAATGAGTCAGCTTACATGGGTCTCAACAGCTGCATTTTCCCCTATTTTCTGCTTATTTTCCAGACAGCATAAATGTTCAGAATAATAAAACAATGTGTCACTGTAAGTGGATCAATGAGAACGTAGATACCAGTGGTTTAGAAAGTATGGTCAAAGGGCCCTTCATGTCCCCAAGACCTTTTCAGAAGGGCCATGTACTTAGAATTATTTTCCCAATTACTCTAAAATGTTATTTTCCTCTACTCTTATTCCCTCCCAAGTGTGTGGTAGAGTTTTTAAGAGGCCATATGGCAAGTGATATCACAACAGAGCAGATACAGAAGCAGATATGCAAATTCAGATGTTTTCTAATAAACTAAATAACAATAGCACTTTTCTCACTAATATTTTTTTGTTTTGGAAAATATAGTTATTTTTTACAAAGGACTATGTCATGTATGTTAACTATAGTGGGTTTTTTAAATTTTGAAATAAGATAATAAATAAATAATTTTTAACTTCTCAGTTTTAATTTCTAACATGGTAAATATCAACAGGTAGAAACCACGTAAGCAAAAGCTCTTTGAGGCCCTCAGTAATCTTTAGGAGGTAAAAGTTGAGGGGTGGGGAAAATGGAGAGATAGTGTTCTGGGGTTCTAATGTACAGCCTGGTGATTACAATTAATAATACTATGTTATATAGTTGAAATTTGATAACAGAGTAGATCTTAAATGTTCTCACCAAAAAAACAAAAAATGGTAACTATGTGAAGTGATGGACATGTTAACTGACTTGCTCGTAGTATCATTTCACATATATCAACTCATCACATTGTGTACCTTAAGTTATATAATTTTATCTGTCATTTATACCTCAGTAAAGCTGGGGGGGAAAGAGTGTAAAGCTATTCTGAGGCCAAAAAGTTTGAGAACCAGTGGTACATATGTACATCAACCTTCAAATAGGCACCTGCAGCAAAGTGGCTTTCCATAATTCAAACTTAACTGAAAACCATGGGATCTTTAAATCCTTTTGGTATTTATATTACATAATAAAGATGGTCCCTACCACATCTCAGTCCCCTATCTCACAACGCCCACTATAATATACATGTTCTCCACTGACAATCACCTGGTAGATAACTGCCACTTGCCTGGCACGTTCCCAGGGGTGTGGCCAGGGTTATGTGCTATGACAGTGGTGAACTACAACTCCATCACCTTCTCGGCCACCCGGGAAGGCATCTGAGTGACCTGTAATAAGAATGGTCTTAGATTCTCTTCAGTGTATTTTGTTAAACCACTTACCAACATGGGTATCTTAGTAATAGGAACAAACTATCTGCAATTTATCTCATAATTAACAACTACTTTTACATGAGTGAACATCAGGCACAGACCACATTTTCAATTCATTCAAATTCACTGATTAAAAAACAAAACAGCCCCCATACCACAACATTAAACACCTAGAAACTATATCTTTAAAAGTTTGTTTGTCTGACCTTTGTTATAATAAATAGATATTTTAAGTCCACTTTAAATGGCATAGATAAGAAAAACTTTATGACTTAAGCGCAATTAAGTATTGCTGATATTTGATCCATTTTACCATATTCTTTCACAGAAAAAAGATTCAGTACTCACATGTCCCCCTTCTTCACCAGGATGACCAGGTACTCCAGCGAAACCCTTCTCTCCCTGAGAAATCAAAATAAATAACTTGGACTCTAAATTCATTTCTCAGATCTATGGGAAATAGATACCCTTGTCTCACTGAGTTGACATTTTATTGGAAATCGACTAACTATTAGGCACAATGCTTGAAGATAGATAGAAACCGGCTGAGAGGCCTGTGTTACAATTAAAATGTGATTACCACCTTGTCTTAATAGTCGGTACATCAAACTGTTCTTATTTTCCTTTTTAAGGAAATAACCACCTTTTTAAGCCACTCTACTGTAAAAATGCAAAACCAAGACTAGTTTCTAGTTAAAAGCTTGAGAAAGACTCTTATTCTTAAAGAGGGCTTTAACCTTGTTTTACAAAGTATCTGTAAGCAAAAGTCTTCCTTCCCTTTTTACTGATGAGAAATGTTTCTTTATTTCTCTATGACTCAGCTTTCCAGTTTCTTTTGATTTTTACTCTTCTTACATATCCAAACACATAAACCATTTCCTCTCAAGAAAGTTTGGCTTGTCATTTTATAGCAGATGTATTTATTTAGTCTAAAAACTGGTCAATAAGAGCTGGAAGCCGTATTTTATTTGTGATCAACAAAGATACAAGAGTCAATGCAGCCAACTACTGAGTTCTAATAAACAGAAAGAGAAGAGAAGTCAAACATTTTAAACATTTACATGTTTGGCCTTGGAGGCAAGGTCACTGAGCAACCGAAAGAGTACATGTCAAGAGGTTCCCAAACTTGATTTTAAGATTCTCCAATCTGATATTAAAGAATAACATGAGGGAAGGAAATCTAATGCTAAGGTGTAACAGTTTATTTTTCAAAAAGTAATTATAAACTTGATACTAGTCTAAATGAAAAAGACTTATCTAAAAGCCATTAAGAGCTCATTCCAACACCCCTGTGGAAAACCTCCCCAGGAGAGAGTATAAAAAGATGACCCAAAGCCAATGGTTTGACTCCACCTTACATAAGGATTTGTGATTACACCCACATCATAGAACTGCAAGAATGGAACCTGGCTAGCCCTGGATATCTGGGGACCATTTCTAATAAAGTGTTAATTTCCTAGTAAATTTCCTATTGGTCAACCTACAGTTACCAGACATGAAAATTAACTGGGACACGAAACCAGTGATTGTATCTTTTCTTAGAGTTTGATACTATAGAAAAGAATGCTAGATAGAAAGGAAAGAGGCATTTAAGTCCTATAAAGAAAGAAGATTTTGGACAAGTGAAAGTTTGGTAGATGAGTAAAAACTTACGGACAGTGGTAGAATTTGTGACATTATTTGTCAAATAAACATAAGTAGGCAGCATAATATGGCAGAAAGAATGCAACATTTGGAATCAGGTAGACATAGGGGCTTAAACCCCAAAAGCATCTTCATAACTGTGCAATTTGGGGAAAGTGGTGTCACCTCTTTGAGCCTCAACTTCACACATGTAAAATAACATCTACTCAAAGGTTTGTTAAGAGGTTAAAGTTAGAAAATGTTGTTAAATACATAACACAGGGCCTGGTGTGTAATGGGTAGCGAAATATCATCTGTCTCCCTGCCCCTATCCGCACCCAACAAATTCTTACCTTCCTCCCAGGACTCCCAATATCACCTCTGTTCCCACGTTCTCCAAAACATTTTTTACAGATATTGCAGCATGTTCTTTCTACAATTATTTCCTGGAAAACAGAATCCATATCAGATATATCCATATCAGATATGATTTTTCTCATCTGTGTTAGCCTGTATCACATTACACACTAAGACAAAATACTCTCAATATTTTTTAAATTATTATAATTTTTAAAAGTACTTACAAGTTGCTTCAATAAGATGTTCGGGAGAGATGGCAGTGTTATGCTCAAAGGTTGCTTATATGCAAAGCCCCTGCCAAATTCTAGCTCCTGGAGCTCTTCTAATTTATCCACACCTTCCAGGCCAATGATTAGGAGTGCAGACAATCCTTCAAAAATTCAACAGGTGGGAGATTTACTTGCATGTATTTTGAATGGCCTATCTTTGTCTCAGTCCTAGATATTCACCCATCATGCCATCATCCCCTATACTTCAGTTGTCTTGTCTCAGAATGCATTTTTGTTAAAATCAAAACTAGGTCATGGCATGCCTTGTTGAAGAATTAGTCTGATACCTTCCAATCCCTACCAACTAAAAGTTAAGCAATTAAGTGGAACCACAAAGGACTATCATAGTTCTCTTATAGCCCTCGTTTTGTCATTTCATAGTTTTCAACCCTTATTGTATTAAGTTACATCCTTCTAAACTTATCCCTGAAGTCAACTTGTGGTTTACTCTTAGAAATTGGCAGTCATTGTGGCTGTTCATGAATATTCTGGCCCCTCTCCTTAAGGTCACATGATAGGATCACACTTCTTTGGGAGAGTTACAGACTCTCATTGAGACTTAATTCCTTACCTGTTAAATATTATCTATCTTACGAAAGTTAAAACTGGCCATATGGCTCACTCTGGACAATGAAATGTGAGCAGAAGTGGCATGCGTCACTCCCTGGGAGAAATTGTAAGAGTAATGTACAAATTTGCCTTATTTCCTTTCTCCCACCACAGCAATTACAAAAGCACCTGCTTGGATAGACCTTCCTTCGGGCTGGGTCCTTGAGTGATGAGCAGGAGGCATGAGATGAATATCATACTTTAAGCCCATGAGGTTTGAAGATTGTTATTGCTGCATAACTTAGTCTACCCTTCCAACGCAGGCATTAAGAGATCGTCTGGATTTGTCCACAAATCAGAGAACAAATGAATGAGGATACTTTGGAAATTCACCTAGAAATCACCATGTTTGTTGAATTTCAGGGCAAATATTTATTGTTAATGATTTGAACAGTAAATTCATAGAATAGACATGGAAATCAACATTTTGCTATTAGAAACAAGCTGCTTGACAATGTGGTTAAAAGTTGTATACACATACTTTTTCCTTAGAGATAGGGTCGTTCTGTCACCCTGCCTGGAGTGCAATGGTGTGATCATAGCTCACTACAACCTCAAACTCCTGGGCTCAAGCAATCCTCCTGCCTCAGCCTCTCAAGTAGCTGGGACTACAGGCACACACCACTATGCCTGCTAAATTTTTTGTAAAGACAGAGTATCACTATGTTACCCACGTTGGTCTTGAACTCCTGGCCTCAAGCAAACCTCCTGCCTTGGCCTCCCATAGCACTGAGATTACAGGCCTGAGCCTTATCTTCTTAATTATTCACCCAGCCTTATCTTCTTAATTATTCCTTAAAACTAAATTCTTAGAAATGGAATTGCCAATCTGGCATGTAGGCAAAGTTTACAGTCTCTTGTCTCATATTCCCAATCTCTTTCAGAAAAGTTGCAGCAATTTAAACTTCCAGTGGCCCTCTATGCAGTAAATTTAGTTGGGAGCAAATTGTCACACAAAATATTCCAGCATATCATTAACCAATGGAAAACATCATCCCCTGCAGAACATGTTGAATATACTCTACTGAGGAAGGAGAAAGGTGAAGGGAGCTTGAACAAGTCAAGTTGCTGGCTGTTCATTTTGAGATTTCTTTAGAACCTTTACATGGCATAAAATGGGAATGGCAAGAGCCACCGTGTACAACTGAAAAAGTTGTACTGCACAAGGACACCCAGTTGAGAGAGTTAATGCATGCCCAAACCCAGCCAGCACACCCCTGCCACCCAGGAGTCCAGGCATGGCCTTGCATCCACCCAGCGTATTGGGTGTCTTTTTCCAATTTCACAAAGTTGTCATTTAGACTAACAGAGGAGTCCTTGGAGATAGAGAAGGAGGAAGAATTAGAGAGCAAAGATGGGAGAATTGCAGTGCAAAGAACAAGGTCCAGATTTAGACTGACTCTAGAGTTCAGGAAAAAACAACATATGGTCCCCTGGTTGGCCTAAAAGAGCAGACAGCCCCTACTCATCATTGAAGTAGGAGGAGCACCTTCCATCTCCCTCAAAAGCCAGTCACGTCTGTTAGAAGACTCTTGGTCGGTGTCGGGGACGTTGGGGGGTGGGAGGGTTCCCAGCCTCAAACAATCCCCTGGCTCATACAAAGAGGAAGGCCGGGCACCAGCCTCATGGGCACTGAGCTCTGCCCATGGGCGAGCACACAGGATGCTCCACGGGGCAAGTGCCACCTGGAGAGCTGAAGGAGTGTCTCGGCCAGGCGGGAAGAGTGAGGCCCACACGTGGCACCTCCACTCACCATTTTTGCGCAGAAGCTCTGACGTTGCCTTCAGTTTCTCTAAATCATCATCCAGTCCATCTGTAAACACTAAAACGACCTGTTGTTTATGAGAGATGAGGGTGGGAGAACCAGAGAGGGAGGAAGGGAAGGAGGAGAGAGGGGAGAGGGGAGAGGGGAGAGGTAATGAAGAAAGTGGATGCTATAATTATACATTTTTTAAAAATATAAGGGTGACTTTTTCTGGTTGTGCTCAGCCTTTCACCCTGCTCTTTTTCACTCATTCATTTACCACACATTCATATTTATTTCAACCTCCCCTTCCCCATGAACAAAAAAAGAATTTTAACAAGCTTAACTTGTTTACTTAAAAATGCCTTCAAAAAATTCGTACACTATCCATCTTTATCAACGCAAAAATACGAAAATGTTAACAGAGGTGTGTGTGCAGATGGAAGGTGTACATGGTAGAGGAGGGGGAGAAAAAGAGATGTGGGGGATAATTCTTGTTATTTTCTGTCACATGTTTGCAATCCATTTTCTGCCATTAAAATGTGTCTCCTTTACTCTTGCTACTGATTTCTAATTTAATTCTAATGTCATCAAAGAACATACCCTATGTGACTTATTTATTTATTTTTCTTTGAGACAAAGTCTCACCTTGTTGCCCAGACTTGAGTGCCATGGCGTCAGCCTAGCTCACAGCAACCTCAAACTCCTGGGCTCAAGTGATCCTTCTGCCTCAGCCTCCCGAGTAGCTGGGACTACAGGCGTGCACCACTGTGCCTGGATAATTTTTTCTATATATTTTTAATTGGCCAATTAATTTCTTTCTATTTTTAGTAGAGATGGGGGTCTCACTCTTGCTAAGGCTGGCTTCGAACTCCTGACCTTGAGTGATCCTCCCGCTTCTGCCTCCCGGAGTGCTAGGATTACAGGCGTGAGCCACCTCACCCAGCCTTTTTACTCTTAAATTGTTTTAATTTAAAACATAAATGACATTAGTCAAAAATAAATCCATTGGATGCTTAATTGAAGGAAAAACTAAATGTGGGTCATGAAATTTGGGTACATCGTTTCCTAATAAACATCAGATGAAATGTTTCCATCTCTGTGGACTTTTGTGGGTATATAGTTAAGAGGCAGCAGAAAGGGAGAAAGAGGCTTGAGGGGTGGGCTGCACTAGAGCCATCAGCTGTCACTAAAGACAGTTCAAGATGATGACTTGAAAAATAACAAGCCTACTTTGAATAGCAATGAGTGACCATAAAAAGCTAAGGAGTCTTAAAACACCTTTCAAGTTGCCTTTGGAATGAATTTATGCTATGGAAGGATTTGAATCACTAAACTGTGGGCAACTTGAGGGCAGGTACTTTATTCCTTTATCCCTACCAGCATTGTGCAGCACAGCACCTAGAAGGCTTAAAAAATACTTATTATTGAATGAAAACACATCTCTCATTATTTCTTATTGTATAAGACTATGGTTCTCCTCTACGTGGGATCTCCAATGAAGAACAATTTAGTTGGCATCCATCACAAAAACCTTATCCATCCTACCCTGCCTGACAGTTCCATAGAATGAGTTCTCAGCATTTATTACCTTCACTTTAGCAGAAGAGAAATGGAGAGCCTTCTCCCCCAGGGTCTTCAAAAAATTAACATTCATATAGCTATTCTTGGCCAGGAACTTCTGGAAGAGTGCATCACTGTATTTCTCAAAACCTGAGTCAAAGAGAAGCTGGCCATTTGAGCCAGGAACCAAGTAGCGGAACCTCGGGTTGATCTCCTCAGGAAAGCGACAGCTGATGTTAGGAAGCAAGACTAAGTGTTCTATCACCTCTGGAAATAGCCATTGAAGCTTCGGCTGAACTTGGTTTGAAGGAGCTGAGATATCAATTCCTATAAACAAATCCACGTTGCATCCTTTGAAGGTGGAAAATAAAATAAAATTAGCCACTTATAAATGCATAACTGAGCCCAGAAGATATAAGCCAAGCCAGCCCTGAAATATGAACCTCAACCCCCAGACAACCCACAGAAGTACAAGCTAAATAATGATATCTGTCTACGTTTTGGGATTGTTTGTTACAGAGCAAAAACTAACTGATACAATACGTACTGTTTCATATCTCTATGCCTTGGCAAATCCTATTCCCTCTGCCTAAAGTGTCTTTTCTCATCCTCTCACTCCAATCTGGATGACTCATACTTGTCCTTTCAGTAGTAGCTCAAATGCCTACCTCAACCCAACCCATGCCCCAAGCACTTTCTGGTTCTTGTCCTGACCTCCTCTGGTTAAGTTACTAAATGCCCCTGTATGTCCACTGTTATTTACTCAACCTTCTCCCCCACTAAACAGGAATTCCTGGGCAGGACAGACTATATCATCTAATTTTCCCATTGCCTAACACAGATGCTCACTAAATGTTTGACAAATCAATGAAGAAAGGAATATAAATGAGCCTTGAGTCTCTTTCAGCAATCCTGTAATGTTCCCTTTTCCCCTCAAAAGCTTTCTTCCTCATTCACCTCCCATGCATATATCTTGTTTCAGGGGCACTGAGAGCACATTAGAAACAGGAGAAAAATCATTCCCCATTTTCTATTTCTTCTGCCTGAAAAATTTTAAGCTTTCCTTGGGAGGCATTATCTAGAATTTGAAGGCCCGTTAATATTTCAGGCTATACCTGCACACTCACAGGTGTATAGTAAGACCATCCACAAAATTCCACTGAGGATGCAAATGTCGATGGTCAGAGACACATAGGTGTTAGAATTTGGCTTAATGAATTAAAATGTGACTTAATCATAAAAGGGCCACTATTATTAGCTGTTCTGGACAACAAGCATGACTTAGAACTGTCTAAGGCAAGCTAAGATATGCAGACATTTTCTCCTTGGACCATCACATGTTGGAAAATTTGGCTCAGAATCCGTATCTGTAACAGAATCTGTAAACTTGTATCAGAATCTGTAAAAACAAAACCGCGGATCTAGGAAGGCAATTTGAGGAAAAAGAAATATGTAGCAGATTCTTCACCAGTGAAAAAGTTCATAAACAGTAGCTTAAGATTTCCCAAGGACCTGAGATCCAGGGCCAAGCCATGAAACTTCAATCCCCTAAATACTATACCCCTTGCTAGCTGATAAGGTACATTTCTGGAATTGCCAAGACAGAAAATGACTTCCTTTCCTCATTTCACATAAAGTAGCTTGGGTTTTTTTTGTTTGTTTGTTTTTTAAATCTATAATTCGAATTTATGAAAATGAGCTTTCACAAATGTAAATCCCATTCCTATATCAGACCTAATTTCAGAAAAGAGGAATTTCCTTTCTGGAGTATGGTATATTACTCTAACATTTCTAATTTACATTTTCCCCAGGAACATTTCCAGCTGGCTTTAGTCTGTAATTGACTAATGCAAGGAGCAATTTCTCTTCTTATTAATGGACAGAATTGAACCTCTCCAGGTAATCTCTAAGGTCTTTGTCAGCTTTATAATTCTAGAATTCTACAATTAATTAGGTTCCAGCTATTATTAAGTTGTCTAGCTAATTTCATCTAAAAATTAAAGACAAAGTGAAGATAAACATAAATCCTAATTTACTACGTAGTGCAGAATGAACTGAAAAGAGAAGTCGGAATCCCATATCCCTTCTCCTCCCCAGGATAATGCTCACCTGCCTATAAAAAAAAAAAAATAGGACTTTGATGCCTGCAGAACCTGAACTGCTTAATGTAGAACATCTCATAACACATGCTTATTTCAAAAATAACTGTACGCATGCATTCTTTTTAAATGTTGTCCAAATTAAGTTAGGCTACTGAAAAGTAGTTATATTCTTTAGATAGCATAAGCAAAGACATTAATTTCGTGTTCTAGAAAATTAGACTTTAAAGGTTTGATGGGGTACAGGGCTCTCATCCCAGTCCTCCAAAATTAAGACTCGCCCTCCCCCAAAATAAAGCGCTGCCCATGTTGGGCCCAAGCTTCTCATAAGGAGGCTCCATATGTATATAATGCTTAGTGCTTGGACTTTTGACACCAACTGCTGGGAGTTCAAACCCTGCCTCTAATACTCCCATCTATGATTCTATCCTCTCTCTGCCTTGTTTTTTTTTTTTAACTGGAAATTGGGTATCATAATAATAGCACTAGTTTCACATAGGGTTGGTATGAACATAAGATGAATGTGTACCATCTAACACATTAGAAATAGGCAACAGACATAATGGAAAAACAAAGTAGCACATCTTGAGTGGGCCACCTGGAGGCTGTCCTGCCTTTGGGTTCCAGTTAGATGGAATAATATGTGTCCTTCTTGCTCCAGTTGAGTTTTTGTTACTCGTAGGCAAAACATCCTAACTGATGAGAGGATTTTTAAAGTATTGCTTGCTATCCGAGACTTGTGAAAAATCAACTAAGATAAAGGATGGAAAGTGCTTTGCAAATGTCAAACACTGATGTTCGGCTTCCGAGTAGAAGGTTGAAGGTTGCAGGACCTTGTCAAGAGGCACATAGTTAAGAAAGAGCAGAGAGGCACATTCCTCTATGCTTCTGTAGCATAAAATTACAAAAAACTTCTAGATTCCATTTAATGTGTATATATTTAGGACATAATAACAAAATGATCTCCGTATACACAGGACTCCAAAGGAATTTGACCTTTATGGGTGCCTTTACACAAGGGCTGTCTGGAAAGTATCCAGCCATTATTAATAAAATGAGAACATATTACATGACTAGATACTCTATGGACAGCCCTTGTGTATTCCTCAATATAATTCTATACCATACTGTATTCTACAGTGTTATACCATATTGTACCATTCTATGACATTCTATGCTATTCTGTACTATACCATACCATAACACACTATACTGCACTATACTATCTTTATTATGCTTTACTACACTATATTATAATACCCTCCTACTAAGTGTGGTCTGAAGAACCGCAAATCTATATCACCTGGAAGTTTGTTAGAAATGCAGCACACCCCCCCCCGATCTACTGATCAGAATCTATATTTTAACAAGATTCCTAGTTGATTCAAGCACATGTTTAAGTTTGAGAGCCTTGTTATGTTCTACTGTACTATACCAAAAGGCAATATAGTACAGTATTTCAACACAGGCTCTAAAATCAGACAGCCTCAAGTTCAGATCTCAACTCCGCAGTTAAGTTGGGCCAAAAAGCACAATTTGCTGTGCCTTGGTTTCCTCATCTGTAAATAGTATCTGTGTCATATAGGGTTCTATGAAGACTGAATGTTTTAATATATGAAAGCCCTTGGGACACTTGCCCCCTTCCCCTATGCACCACACAAAAGCACCATTTAAATGTGAACAGCTGTGCTGTAGAACCTCACCCCAGGAGGCAGGAGGTGGAGTCTTCCATGAAGATCTTCTTTGGGTCAATCACCCCCTGAAAGGCAAGACTTGGGGCAAGGAGAGCAGAAAAGTAGACCCAGACTGTAAGGAGGAAGAACTATTTTGTCTCTGGGCCTTGCCGTTTCAGATAAAAACTTGAAGAGACAAAACGGGATTGAGGATGGCCTTGGCCATATGGAAGCAGATTGGCAACAGAGTAGACACCCATGCACAGAGCCTCATAGAAAAGATTCTATGTATTCTATGTATTCTATCTCATCAGCGAGACTGTCTAACTGATATTATTCCCTGCTTCTACTGAATACTTTCCTTTTGACATGCCCAAACCTTCAGTGAGTTGTGTCTACACATTCCAGTCTGGTTTTGTCTGTCTTACAAGGAATAAAAGGAGGAGTTGTGAGGATTTTATGAGACAGAGTTCTAGAAGGTTCAGGCCTCCAGAAGCCAAAGTGGTGACAACCATGGGAAAGCTTAAAAGATCCCCAGGAGGTTGGGAGTTCAGGCCCTACAGGGTGATGTCTCCCTCTCCTAAAATAAAATTAGCCACTTATAAATGCATAACTGAGCCCAGAAGATATAAGCCAAGCCAGCCCTGAAATATGAACTCAACCCCAGACAACCCACAGAAGTAAGCAATAATGATATTGTCTACGTTTTGGGATTGTTTGTTAAGAGCAAAAACTAACTGATACAATACGTACTGTTTCATATCTCTATGCCTTGGCAAATCCTATTCCCTCTGCCTAAAGTGTCTTTTCTCATCCTCTCACTCCAATCTGGGTACTCATACTTGTCCTTTCAGTAGTAGCTCAAATGCCTACCTCAACCCAACCCATGCCCCAAGCACTTTCTGGTTCTTGTCCTGACTCCTCTGGTTAGTTACTAAATGCCCCTGTATGTCCACTGTTATTTACTCAACCTTCTCACTAAAACAGGAATTCCTGGGCAGGACAGACTATATCATCTAATTTTCCCATTGCCTAACACAGATGCTCCCTAAATGTTTGACAAATCAATGAAGAAAGGAATATAAATGAGCCTTGAGTCTCTTTCAGCAATCCTGTAATGTTCCCTTCTCCCCTCAAAAGCTTTCTTCCTCATTCACCTCCCATGCAATACTCTTGTTTCAGGGGCACTGAGAGCACATTAGAAACAGGAGAAAAATCATTCCCCATTTTCTATTTCTTCTGCCTGAAAACTTTTAAGCTTTCCTGGGAGGCATTATCTAGAATTTGAAGGGCCCGTTAATATTTCAGGCTATACCTGCACACTCACAGGTGTATAGTAAGACCATCCCAAAATTCCACTGAGGATGCAAATGTTGATGGTCAGAGACACATAGGTGTTAGAATTTGGCTTAATGAATTAAAATGTGACTTAATCATAAAAGGCCACTATTATTAGCTGTTCTGGACAACAAGCATGACTTAGAACTGTCTAAGGCAAGCTAAGATATGCAGACATTTTCTCCTTGGACCATCACATGTTGGAAAATTTGGCTCAGAATCCGTATCTGTAACAGGATCTGTAAACTTGTATCAGAATCTGTAAAAACAAACCCAGATCTAGGAAGCAATTTGAGGAAAAGAAATATGTAGCAGATTCTTCACCAGTGAAAAGTTCATAAACAGTAGCTTAAGATTTCCCAAGGACCTGAGATCCAGGGCCAAGTCATGAAACTTCAATCCCCTAAATATTATACCCTTGCTAGCTGATAAGGTACATTTCTGGAATTGCCAAGACAGAAAATGACTTCCTTCCTCATTTCACATAATAGCTTGGGGTTTTTTTTGTTTGTTTTTTAATCTATAATTCAAATTATGAAAATGAGCTTTCACAAATGTAAATCCCATTCCTATATCAGACCTAATTTCAGAAAAGAGGAATTTCCTTTCGGAGTAATGTATATTACTCTAACATTTCTAATTTACTTTTCCCCAGGAACATTTCCAGCTGGCTTTAGTCTGTAATTGACTAATGCAAGGAGCAATTTCTTTTCTTATTAATGGACAGAATGAACCTCTCCAGGTAATCTCTAAGGTCTTTGTCAGCTTTATAATTCTAGAATTCTACAATTAATTAGGTTCCAGCTATTATTAAGTTGTCTAGCTTATTTCATCTAAAAATTAAAGACAAAGTGAAGATAAACATAAATCCTAATTTACTACTAGTGCAGAATGAACTGAAAAGAGAAGTTGGAATCCCATATCCTTCTCCTCCCCAGGATAATGCTCACCGCCTATAAAAAAAAAAAAAATAGGACTTTGATGCCTGCAGAACCTGAACTGCTTAATGTAGAACATCTCATAACACATGCTTATTTTAAAAATAACTGTACACATGCATTCTTTTTAAATGTTTTCCAAATTAAGTTAGGCTACTGAAAAGTAGTTATATTCTTTAGATAGTATAAGCAAAGACATTAATTTCGTGTTCTAGAAAATTAGACTTTAAAGGTTTGATGGGGTACAGGGCTCTCATCCCAGTCCTCCAAAATTAAGACTCGGCCTCCAAAATAAAGCCTGCCCATGTTGGGGCCCAAGCTTCTCATAAGGAGGCTCCATATGTATACATAATGCTTAGTGCTTGGACTTTTGACTCCAACTGCTGGGGAGTTCAAACCCTGCCTCTATTACTTCCCATCTATGATTCTTATCCTCTCTCTGCCTTGTTTTGTTTTTTTTAATCTGGAAATTGGGTATCATAATAATAGCACTAGTTTCACATAGGGTTGGTATGAACATAAGATGAATGTGTACCATCTAACACATTAGAAATAGGGCAACAGACATAATGGAAAAACAAAGTAGCAATCTTGAGTGGGCCCCACCTGGAGGCTGTCCTGCCTTTGGAGTTCCAGTTAGATGGAATAATATGTGTCCTTCTTGCTCCAGTTGAGTTTTCTGTTACTCATAGGCAAAAACATCCTAACTGATGAGAGGATTTTTTAAAGTATTGCTTGCTATCTGAGACTTGTGAAAAATCAACTAAGATAAAGGATGGGAAAGTGCTTTGTAAATGTCAAACACTCATGTTCGGCTTCCGAGTAGAAGGTTGAAGGTTGCAGGACCTTGTCAAGAGGCACATAGTTAAGAAAGAGCAGAGAGGCACATTCCTCTATGCTTCTGTAGCATAAAATTACAAAAAACTTCTAGATTCCATTTAATGTGTATATATTTAGGGACATAATAACAAAATGATCTCCTGTATACACAGGATCTCCTGAAGGAATTTTGACCTTTATGGGTGCCATTACACAAGGGCTGTCTGGAAAGTATCCAGCCATTATTAATAAAATGAGAACATATTACATGACTAGATACTCTATGGACAGCCCTTGTGTATTCCTCAATATAATTCTATACCATACTGTATTCTACAGTGTTATACCATATTGTACCATTCTATGACATTCTATGCTATTCTGTACTATACCATACCATAACACACTATACTGCACTATACTATCCTTTATTATGCTTTACTACACTATATTATAATACCCTCCTACTAAGTGTGGTCTGAAGAACCGCAAAATCTATATCACCTGGAAGTTTGTTAGAAATGCAGCACCCCCCCCCCACGATCTACTGAATCAGAATCTATATTTTAACAAGATTCCTAGTTGATTCAAGCACATGTTTAAGTTTGAGAGGCCTTGTTATGTTCTACTGTACTATACCAAAAGGCAATATAGTACAGTATTTAGCACACAGGCTCTAAAATCAGACAGCCTCAAGTTCAGATCTCAACTCCGCAGTTAAGTTGGGCCAAAAAAGCACAATTTTGCTGTGCCTTGGTTTCCTCATCTGTAAAATAGTATCTGTGTCATATAGGGTTCTATGAAGACTGAATGTTTTAATATATGAAAGCCCTTGGGACACTTGCCCCCTTCCCCTATGCACACACAAAAGCACCATTTAAATGTGAACAGCTGTGCTGTAGAACCGCACCCCAGGAGGCAGGAGGTGGAGTCTTCCATGAAGATCTTCTTTGGGTCAATCACCCCCTGAAAGGCAAGACTTGGGGCAAGGAGAGCAGAAAAGTAGACCCAGACTGTAAGGAGGAAGAACTATTTTGTCTCTGGGCCTTGCCGTTTCAGATAAAAACTTGAAGAGACAAAACGGGATTGAGGATGGCCTTGGCCATATGGAAGCAGATTGGCAACAGAGTAGACACCCATGCACAGAGCCTCATAGAAAAGATTCTATGTATTCTATGTATTCTATCTCATCAGCGAGACTGTCTAACTGATATTATTCCCTGCTTCTACTGAATACTTTCCTTTTGACATGCCCAAACCTTCAGTGAGTTGTGTCTACACATTCCAGTCTGGTTTTGTCTGTCTTACAAGGAATAAAAGGAGGAGTTGTGAGGATTTTACAAAGACAGAGTTCTAGAAGGTTCAGGTCTCCAGAAGCCAAAGTGGTGACAACCATGGGAAAGCTTAAAAGAATCCCCAGGAGGTTGGGAGTTCAGGCCCTACAGGGTGATGTCTCCCTCTCCTCCTTGCCCAGCTGGAAAGATCAGAGTTTTATTGTATTAAGAGAGCCAACAGAGTCCCTGACACCTACAATGGGCTTATGGACCAAGTAAAAAATTCTCTGTCACTCACCTTCAGGATTGCAGGCCTTATAAAGAATGTCCTTCTCCAGGTTCTCCAGGGACTCAAAATTTTGTTCATGATACACTTTGTCCCTGTCATTAGTGATCTCCAAAAGCTGAGATATTTGGGCTTGTCCCACCCCAATGGCAAAAATAGTTATCTTTTTGTCCCTGAGGGCTTTGGCTGGTATGGCTACATTATCGTGGGCAGCCCCGTCAGTGATCACAATCAAATATTGATGAACACTGGGTCTTCCTCCTCTTGAACTGTAAAAAAAAGGCAGAGTGAAATTCAGGGCTCTCCCAGTGCAGGTGCCTTCATTCATCTGCTGAACCTTCGAGATGGCTATGCAAATGTCCTCCCTTGAAGAGTACTGGTTGAGTCTGAATTCTTCCTGAGGGGTTGAGCTGAACTGCAAAAGGCCAATCTGAATTTTATCAGCACCAATATTAGATCGGTTCACTATTTTCTCCATGAATTCCTTCATCTTATCAAATTCTTGTGAGGAGATGGATTCTGAACCATCTATCAAGAAGATAATGTCAGCATCCTTACAGTCTGGGGGGAAAGAGAGCAGAACAGAACATTCATTAAGAGTCTGAAACCAATTAGCTACAAGTCCCCAGGGACAGTCTGGGGTAGCATATACACAACCCACTTTAAATATTTTAAAAGGGAGCAGAAGAGGAATTCAATGAAGCGAATAACAAATATTCTGCAACTCAGCACAGGCCAGTCTCAAAATGAGACACAGCTGTATGATAAATATATAAAATTTGACCATCTTTGTTTGCTAGGTCATGATCACTTTGATCATGTCCAATACTCAGTTGCCAACCAGTGAATCCAGGCTTAAAGAATAAAGTTTATTCAAATAGATTAGACATACACATTTGGGGATAGGGGAAGGAGAGATTGAAGACAAAAAAAAATTCTTACTCTCTGAGCAGATCTGCTGTACCAATGAATTTTTGATGTCCTTCAATAAATCAAACTCATGCACGAAAAAATACTTGTCTTCAGCTATTTCTTTAAGCTCCTTGATGTTAGCATTTCTTACTCCAACTGCGTAAATGATGATTCCCTTTCCCCTCAATCCTTCTGCAGCCTCAGCCACAGAGTCCGAAGATTTACCATCAGTGATGACAATGAGATATCGATTAATATTGATTCGGGCAGTGTCTGCAAAGACCTGAGTCATGTTTCTCAAGGCCTGACCCGTTGTGGTCCCCCCTCCTCCCTGCTGGATGTCATCGATGGCTCTCTTCAGCTCTGCCACATTGAGATACTGGCTGAGGATAAATTTACTTTTAATTTTGTCTGAGTACTGAATGACTCCAAACCGTACTTTGTCAGGCCCAATCTGGAACATCTTTATCACCTCATTCATGAACTTCTTCATTTCAAGAAAATCTTCTGGGCTGATACTCCCAGATCCATCAATAAGGAAGTAAATATCTGCAACAGGCACACAACCTAGACAAGAAGTAGCAGCAACAACCCATTAGAACAGAGTCTGAGATGGTGTATAGCCTAAACTGTTAATCGCGACCTCAACCCATATTCCCTCCCCCTCATTATTTCTTTGAAAGCACCCGTGACTCTGCCTAAGGGTATTCTTTGGCCAGGAGCGTGATCAGCCTGCACTCCCAGCAGACTAGAATGCCTGAGAGTGGGTTTGGAAGCAGCCACCAACTAGTTACTGGCAGGGGTTGATAGAGAAATACCCCAGCTCCCTTGCACTTTGTGTAGGACAACTGTAAGGTAACTTGTACACAGTTTTCCGGAAGCCTCAGTTGCCTACAGCAATACCTGCAGGTTACCCCTCATCCAGTACTGGCTGTCTTCCCTTCCCACTCCTGAATTGCCAGTCCCCTACCAACATCCCCCAGCATCACCATCCAGATAAATCATGTGCATCCAAACCCTTGTCTCAGAGTCTGTGTCTGTTCAGCTCACTTAAGACATGAAATAAATAGAACTTGATGTTCCTCAAGTGGGAAGTTAAGAAGAAGCTAAAAGTAAAATCAAAGTATATTTGAAGCTATGAATTGTCTTGGCATCCATCATTTCTACCTCCTATCCAAGTCATACTTTTTAAGTACATGGGCAAAAGTGGATACTTTCTGAAATTTAATTTAATTAATTTAAATAATTTTATTTAAATTAATTCAAAACATTCTGTTTTAAATGAGTCTTACCTAAATGAATAACTTTGTATTAAGACCCAGACTCTGGAGGGCAAAGTGGCTCTGGAGTTAGATCCTGTCTCCACCACTTACAGGCAGGCTTGGCCCCTTTCCTCTCACTTTCCTAATCTGTCAAGCAAGGATCTTCACACCTACTCAATAAGCTTATTGTGAGGATTAAACAAGATCACGTAAACAGATTTGAGCTGGGTGGGCCAGACACTGTGACTGGAGCAGAGATCTTTAATATGAACTTTTTATTACGAAAAATTTAACAAAGATTTAATAAACCCAGCGACAGCAATCAAAAAAAAAAAAAAGATCACGTAAACACAGCAGAAGCCGAGTATTAAAAATCTAGGGTTAAGATTACCTGGTGCTTTATTTTTGTCATCTAGCACATTCCTCAAAAGGAATGAAACATATTTTTCTCCTCGCCCTTTTCAAAAAGGGAAGCCCAGACTTGTGTTATTAATCTCCAGATTCCCTTCACCCAGGAGAGAATAAAGAGCCTTTTCATGTTCCTGGCTGAAAGGGAAGTGGTCTGAGGTAGGAACTGAGCTCCCTTGCCCAGGCCTTCATTTGGGAGGACCTGGGTCCATGCAATATTTGGGGCCTACGTACACACACACACACAAAGATCATCCTAGGCTGGGCGCGGTGGCTCATGCCTGTAATCCTCGCTCTCTGGGAGGCCAAGGCGGGAGGATCCTTTGAGTTCAGGAGTTCGAAACCAACCTGAGCAAGAGCAAGACCCCATCTCTACTATAAATAGAAAGAAATTAATTGGCCAACTAATATATATAGAAAAAATTAGCCGGGCATGGTGGCGCATGCCTGTAGTCCCAGCTACTCGGGAGGCTGAGGCAGAAGGATCGCTTGAGCCCAGGAGTTTGAGGTTGCTGTGAGCTAGGCTGACGCCACGGCACTCACTCTAGACTAGGCAACAAAGTGAGACTCTGTCTCAAAAAAAAAAAGATCATCTGAATAAAATTCGAATTTAATTGGCTGTCCTATATTTCATCTGGCAATCCTACCCTAGAGAGGCATGCATTGGAAAGGAGTGCAGCTTAGAGTGATAGAGAGAGGAGTGATCTATCCCTATGGTAAGTGTTCTTTGAATCCTGGAGAGTGGAGGGAAAATTATAAAACAAAAGGCAGAAATTCAAACTTTGCAGGAACCTGTTATCCACTGGTGACAGGTAGATGGCTGCCTGTGGTCAGAGAAAAGGACCAGAGTGCAGGAAGGCACCTTGGCAGTCAGCCCCTACGGTAGTGACCCAGAAAGACTACAGCCCAGGGCCTCTGCATTGTCCAGAGGAGCTGAGCACCCCGAACATTGCCTGGCACTGTACATTCCTGCCAATCTTAGCAGATGGAGATATTAGGGTGAGGAAAGAGAGAAAGAGAGTATTTCTTCCAGCCTGATGCTACTGAGCATCCATATCTATTATACATAAAGTGCTTCACAGAGTGTCTGACACATATGTCCAATAATTGGCAGATATTATGCTCGTTATGCTCATCCAGGACAGAATTCAGGTAAAATCATCACAGCTTCTATTTACCTCTAAGCAGTCCCTATCCCCTAGACTTTGGGCTAATTTTCCTGATTCCAGATTTCTTCTTAGTTGCTATGCAGTCTGGGAAAGAAATCACCTCTCAGCTCTTCATACTGTTTGTGAGTTAGCTGGGCTCCTTTTCTCTCCTTCTCTGCAGAATATACTCGGGGGTGTACAAGGAAATGACATTTGTATTTAATGATTTTGTTTCCCATTCCCAGAACAGAGAAAGGGACTAAATATATGGGTTAAAGAGAAAAATGGGAATTTATTTAAATATTTCAAATTTCTAGAACTCAGAACAAGTAATCAAGAAATCACAAGATCATTTAGTGTGTGTTTTAAAAAAAAAGTTTCTGTGATTTTCCCCTGAAGATATAATCGCAGCCTTGAATTTTAAGTCAATTATGTACATTTCAATGATTCTAATTTAAATCTATGATACTAATTAGAATCTAGGAAATATTAGCATGGGCATACAAAAATAGACAAGTAAACAGACAAAAATTTTCATAATAGCCAGTAAGTGACAAATCTGAGATTTAAAATTAAAATTCAGGCACTTTTTACACCAAAGTACATATACTTAACCACTATGTTTTTTTCTAATTTTTTTTAATTGCCTGTACAGTAGGAACTCCTCTGCCCAGCCTCCACTTAGGTGACTCACCAGAAAAATTGATGTTCTCTCTTCCCCATGTAAAACATGACTGATGCTCCCACAAAACATTGAGTGCCTGAAGTATTGTTTCCCTCAGTGGAAGAATAAATTTATCAAGTTGGAGGTGGGTTTGTCCACAGCCTGTTTATGGCAGTTTCGTTATCATAGTTACACAATTAATCAAATTGTGCAAATCAATAGGATGTGAATGTGAATAAAAGAAGTTTATGGCATCTATAAAAACCAGGTTAACTGCTTAGACTTAATAAAAGCAAGTTGTTAAAAAAAATTGCTAGTATATTAGATAGCACTACAAAAGATTGCATTTTTGAGATCCTAAAAATCAATAAGGATTTCTGTACTTGAATTATACCAAGAGTGGCTAAGTTCTCTTCCCACTTTAACTGAAACTAGAAATTATAGATAATATAATATTGAATGGTTTAGAAAGAAAATACACAGAAAACCAATCAGCAGGGCTCACACTCAAAGAAGCCTTGGCCCTACACCAAAAGATTGGCAAATTAATCTTCACTTATATGTATTAAGTTAAATTTTTAAAATTTCAACTACCTGTGTATCTTTTTTAAAAGTAGTTTCCTGCTTTAAATGACTTAAGAGTTGATCGATCCATACTCAGCTCCCTAGGGCTTTTACTGTCAATATACCTGTGTCTTCATCGGACTGCTAGAAGGAATGAGGGGAAGACGGAAGGAAGTAGGGATATTCACTATTCACTTCAGATTCTTTTGCATTGCTTATAATCAAGAAAAAACAAAGATTTTAGAAGTTTTAGGATTCTGTTTTTTAATGAAGCAACTCCAAAAATCTTTTCTTTGTTGAGGAATAGGGAAGACGGGATAGGGAGCAAGTGAAGACTTTTTAAACTCTTTTTTTTTTTTTTTCAAAAATAGATCAAATCTGGAAAAGGCCCTCCTACCTTCTCGCGGGGCAGAAGGCACCAAAAGTGTTTTGTCCACAGCCTCAGGGCAGAGCTGGTTTGTAAGCACGCTTCCCACTACGGAGAGCTGCAGAAAGGATTCCAGGGTGATGGCATGCTTCCCAGGAGGATACGACGCTATCTTCTCCAGGTCCTGACTGTCTGAGGCCCGCCGGGTGCCCACCGTGTAGATGGTGACTCCTGCCCTCCGAAGGCGAGAAGCGGGTCTGGACACGTCATCCTGGGAGAAGCCTTCCGTGACGACCACAGCTATCTGCTGTACACCGCGGCTGGACCGGCTGCCCTTCTCCTGAACGAAAACCTCCTCCCTTAGGAAATCTAAAGCAGCACCAGTCTTTGTCCCTCCTCTTCTTCCCCGGTAGGTTAATTTGTCTAAATGGGCCAAGACCGTGGCTGGGTTCTGAAATGTATCCAGTGAAAACTCAAGGCGTGGTTCCTCATGGTAAAAGACCAAGCCAATTCTCACAACATCAGGATGAATGCTTAGAGAGCTGACAGTGGTCTTTAGGAAATTGACAACTTGTTGGAAATTGGGTTGCCTAACCCTGCTAAATTCCTCAATGAGGAACACTAAGTCAGCTGGGATGGCAGTTGGACATGCTGTAAACACACAAACAAAATCAAAAAAAAAGAAATTTAGCATGAGAACAGGGTAAAAAGAAAATATTCATATATAAAAGTTGTATTTTAATATATTTTATATACTATCATAATATATTTATTGTTATAAATTATAATTACATATTACGCTAACTTATATTGACGCATTTTAGAATTTAATAGAAGCCTTAATTTCACATCATGATCAAAGAACATCACAGGGTTCATACTCATTTCAAAATTTCTCACATGGAAGTGTATTTTTATCATTTGCAAAATATGTCTATATATGACTATCTACAACATAGTGTTTTAAGACAGCTTTTCACTTTATCTAAGTCCATTAAAAGCATCTGAGTCTGGACTAATATTTTTCTTCATTTTCTAGTTTCAAGAGATCCTGAAAATAAATATACACTTTCATAGACCTGAAACCTACTTGATTTAATACTTTTTCCTCTATCTTGGTAAAAGATGAAAATAACAAATCATGGCTATTAATTTCCGTATCTTTCTCTGATAAATGTCACGTCATTTTAACAGAGGCAACATGAAATGTTGCAAGTTGGTATGAAAAATCTTTGTCCAAATATTGGGCTAGTTGGCTCTTTCATTCTGCTATAAAAAAAAAAAAAAAACTTTCCCCCCAACCTGCCTCAAATGAAGGAATGACATACAAACTCCCTGCCAAGAGGAATTCTATTTGAGCAGTGCCTAATGTAGGGAAACCCTCTCTGTCCACATACCAACAAGGTCCAGATCTGCTTTGACATATGAAAAAAGAAATCTCCCTAGCAGAGGACCAAAACCATATATGCAGAAGGCTGAAACCAGTGTGTAGACAACTGAATATTGTAAAACAACATTTAGGGGCAACAGAATAACCTTTTGACTTTTCTTTGGTCTCTTGGTGTCCTAAAATTTCCTGTGATCTTTTTAAATAAAGAATCAAAATTCAATCCTATATTTAAAAAGCAGGTACTGTCCACAATTTTGGCAAGTCTAAAACACCTCTTCTAGAAACTCCAAATAGCTTTGACTTCCCCCTTCCTTCACCTTCTGGTACCAAGTGCTGTCATTATCCTTTCACGTTGTCTCCAGGATTCACCCTCTTTCCTCGTTATCCTTGAACTGAGCCCAGATATCGTCCCCAGGTGGCCAGATGACAGCTCAGCCCTGAAGTCTTCCTGAGTCTAAGGTACCATCTAGAATCCAGTCCGCCCACTGAAGACTTCCTTGAAGACCACTTTGGTCATGTCATTTTTCTTGACCAAAAGCCTCCAATTACTTCCAGTGCCTTTGGGACATAATTGGGGTCTATCCTACCTAATCCAATCTCATCTCTCATTACTTTTAAACCCTCCTCATGATATCAATTGTCTCAGCTTTTTCCCCTTCTTTCACATTCATCCAGACCATTCGTACTCCCACACCCTTACCAGGAGTGTAGACCTCTCACCAGGCTCTTCCCCTTGCCAGGAGAGCCTTCCTCCCTTATCCCTATACAATAATATTAAAATAACACCCATTATTAGGGGACTGGCACAATTTTCTTATGCCATACGTGTTTGTCTTTTCTGTCCATAAAATTGTAAGGATCCCAAGCTCTAGCTGTTGACAGGTCTGGGCAGAGCTGTGACAACTCAGAGAAAGAAGAAATTGCTCACTTCTAGTTGTGAGGATCAAAGGATGCTTCACCAAGAGGGCAACTTAAGAACTGAGGGGCAAATTTTGACTGTGGGCATTCCAAGCTAATTGTATAGTACATCCAAAGGTGGAGACAGAAGTGGGGAAGCACGACATTTAGACAGCAAATGATGAGTAATTCAGCTTGGCTGGAGAATACAATGTGTAAAAAGACTTAGCAGGAGATAAGGCTCAGTGGTTCTTAGCCAATGGTGGTACCCATCTCCAGAGAACATTTTAGAAGTATATGGAGGTACTTTGGAGTACTGTAATGATTCAGGGATGCTACTGACCAGGTATAAGAGATGTTAAACCACTGACACTACCCAGGACAATCCTACACTATGAATTGTCCCTCCCCAAATGCCAGTAGCATCTCTCTTGAGTGTCTTACATGACAACCTAAGGAAGGACTTTATTTAATCTCTGGACAGAAGCCTGAATGCCCTTTCTCCTGGAAAAGGTATATAGTGTTTAGATTATTGTTCAGAAATATTCTCTCCTTACCCCTCATTTGTCTTTTCTGCTTATAAAATTGTAAGGACCCCAAGTTCTTCCCCAAGTAAGGAAGAATATACTTTTCTACTCTACTGATGTTGACATAGCTATATGTCTTGCTTTGGCCAGTGAAATCTTAGCAGATGATTATGCAGCAGAGGTCTGAGAAATGCTTACGCTATTGGGTTTCTCTCTTGTACCTCTGCAGCTACCATGGGAAGAATATGCCCAGATTAGCCTGATGACCCCAGGAGGAAGATGAGAAATATGTGGAGCAGAGCCAAACCTAGATCAACTAGTCCTGAGCCAAATCCCATATCTGTGAATAAGCCCAGCCAGGATCAACTGTCCCTCAGCAGATCTGTGCGAATAAATGACTCATTTCAGCCACTGACTGTTCAGACAGTTTGTTAGGCAGCATCATTGTGACCATAGATAACTAATACACGGTATGTGCCTGAAGCAGCCCATGCCTCCTCCTCTTCCCCATCCACTGGTGCCAGTGCCCCAGGACTGAGGAATCCAGAATGCCCCCTTCTCTGCCCTTTCCCCAGACTCTCCTCTTACGCTGAGATCTCCCAGTGGCCCACATACCCTAGGACGAAACCTTACCTTCTACAGGCTCCAGGGCCTGAATCCTGGAGCCCGGCTCTGCAGTCCCTTGTATTACCATATTCACATCCTGCGTGACCTGTCTGACTCTATCTTCTCCCCACATCCCGTAGATAAGGTCCGGGAACCCCATCCCTTCCAGTTCTGTCCTGTCAAAGTCCTGCACACCCACGGACATGACTTTCACGCCTTTCTTCCTCAGTCTCTGTGCAGCATCCCGGACCTCATCCTCGGATTTGCCCGAGGTGATGACCACCACATACTGGGGGATACCCTGGAGAAACCGGCTTCCTGCTTCCTCCTGGAAGAAGGTCTGATGAAGGTGTCGCAGAGCTTTGCCTGTCCTTCTGGAGCCACCCCGCGGCACAAAGTGCTCGTTGACGTGAACGATCATCTCCTGCTGGGTCTTGTAGGTACTGAGCAAAAACTCAGTGTGACCTTGATCACCATACTGAGCCAGCCCGATCTGGTACTTGTCCCTGCCAACCTCCAGCATGCCAACCACCCCGGAGACGAAATTCCGCATCCACTGGAAACTGGTCCTTGACGTGCCCTGTGAGGTGTCAGCAAGAAAGACCACATCTGCATAGGTCTTGGTGAATTCTGGAAATAAACAGAGAAGGATGGGCCAGGGAAAGACACAGAGGGGAAAGTAAATCAACTCAAGCCCTCGTGAGAATTGAATATAAGGGGGCAATAGGACAGGGAGAAGTACTGTGTTTATACTACCCTATATGTATTGTCCCTTCCCTCCTCCATCACAAGCTCTCTCCCTCTGTAGCCTGCTGCCTTTGTGGTCTGTTTTATTAGACTAAAGCACTCTTCAATTATTCTTTTTCAACCAATGGAGGAGGCAAGGGAAGTTAACAATTACTGAGCAGTTACTTTGTGCTAGAGCTTTCTATACACTTTTTTCTGATTTAATCCTCCTTATCCACTCTACGAGACAAATGCTGTTATCTTCCTTGCACAGGGGAGAAAATTGAAGTGAAGAAGTGAAGCCACTTGTCTATGCTTACATAACTAGAAAGTGACAAAGGCAAGATTAAAAAACAGGGCTTCTGGCTTTTAAAACCCATGCCATTTCCTTTGAACAACGTGGTAAGATGTTATTTCCCTTCTTTTCTACCCACGAGAACCCCATCCAGCCTTTGGTCCCCAGCTCAGATGTCCCTTCCTCCAGGAAGTCTCCCCAGGTTTTCTAGTGGTGGTGAGCATCCCTTCTACTGCCCTCCCACTACACCCAGTGTATTCTGGCTCATACCGTAGTGAAGTGGCATAGTCAGAATGCTGGGTTTGAACACAGCTACTCACCTTTTATTTTGCCCTCCACCACTGAGCACAAAGTCTGAAGCATACTTCCCGAGAAATCCTGCAGGATGTTGAAGTTTTCGGTGTTAAAGAGAAACTGCTCAAATGGCTCACTGGCTATTTTTTGCAACTCCCGGACATCCTGGACGTTGACTCCGACCACATACACAACAACTCCATCTGCTTTCAACTGGTCAGCCACCTCCTGGACCTCATCATTTGACTCCCCATCTGTCACCAGGATCACTACCTGAGGAACTCTGTCCTTGGCCCGGCTGCCAGCTGCCTCAGTCAAATAGTTAGTCCTGATAAATTCCAGGGCGCTCCCCGTGTTTGTGCCTCCTGTGCGGTAGGGCAGATTCTGGATCTGCTCCAAGACCATGCTCTTCAGAGGGTATTGGTTCAGGTGAAAGGCTGGGTAGATATTGTCACTATATTGGGCAAGTCCCACTCGGACCTGGTCACTGCTGATGTCAAGCCCCAAGACAACGGAGTAAAGGAAGTTCTTAACCTTCTGAAAGTTCTGGGGTCCGATGCTGGTTGAGCTGTCCACTAGAAACACGATGTCTGCCAGGGCTGCTTCTCTGCAAGCTATAAGAGAGAAGACAAAAGGGATGGGGGTCACTGGGTCTTCATCATTCAAAATGCTTAGAAGCAATGGAGGAAAGAAAGCCATGGCAGGCAGCCCATACTCAGTGGTCCTCAGACACTACTCTCACCCCAGATGACAGTGTGCTCAGAGAAGTGTCATCTCCCCAGGCCTTTCCTTCCCTCCACTCGGTCATCTTCCAAGGCTTCAGACATGCTCTACTGTTACTTCCAATCTTGAAATCCACTTGGACAATCCCTTGAATTTTATTATGAAGAAAACCACTTCTGTAAATTTAGCAGCATGCTGAGAAAGGGGATGCCCTCTTCCCACTCTGAATAAGCCATCAGCCTCCTATCTTTTGACAAGGAAATCTAATCTCTAGGAGTACACTGGCACCCACAGGTCAGAAAGCTGGAGCATAGCCCCTCTTCTTTGATTCATCTCATTGCAGCTCTGTCACTCAGTAGCCCCTTGACCTTATATATCACTCACCTCTTTGGGATTTAATCTTCTTCTCCGCAGTGCTGAAATCTTTACATCAACTCTCATACTCTCACAGAGGATAAAGTAAGATAATCTACCATAGCAGAAAACATCAGTGCTCTGCCTGGGTCCTTTTGCATTTGTTTTTACCATTTCTGTGCACTGCTCTTTGGAAGACTTCCCTCTAGCTACTGGAGCTGCTTTGTTCACAAATATATAAAAGCCCAGATCCCAACTTGACCTAGATTCAGAAGTGAAGACAACTCTGAGGCATAACATACACTCTTGAGTTCCCCTGCAGGATCAGGCTAAAGCCCTTTGTAGAACTTTTGCCTGAGATCACGCCCTTCCTTACTTTTCTCTACTGTGTCCTGCATAACACACATCCTTACTGACTGCTGTCCTCCTACCCACACTGGGAGCTCATCCTTAGCAAACCATGTGTATCCACACCCTTGTCTCAGACTCTGCTTCTGGGGAGCACAGCCTAACACACCTGCTCTACTGGAATTGGACTGCTTTAAAAGATCCAGGATCAAGTTCCTAGCTCTGCCGTCCACTTGTGTTACCTTTGGCCTCAGTTTTCTCATCTGAATAATGCAAATAATAACACTAATTTCCCTATGTATCTAACAAAGTTGAGATGATGGATCAGGGGAGCAATGTAAACAAGTTTTTAAAACTATATGGCACCACACAGTGGTAGTTGTTATTACTATGTATATAAAACCTCTTTGTAAACCTTAATGTGCTATACAAAAAGTAAGGTATACAATATTATTTGTCCACACAAATGCAATATTACCACCACACCCTGCTGCATCAATGGGTCAAAAGTTTTAGCACGTCCTCCAATTTACCTACCCTATATGGAAACACCAAACTAATGAATAAATCACAAAGGCTCTATCCTCTTGTAAGTTTTGATGGACCCCACAAGCATTCTTCTCTTTCTCTCCTCAACGTGATATGCTTTATTATGGAGTTTTGTGACTAATTTATAAAATATTTTTACCAGTTTATGCCCTATCACCAATAGAAGTACAGAGTTGATGACAGATATGTCTTCATCACAGGTAATGACAATAACAGGTGATGCTAAGGGCGCCTCTGGCTGGCTAGGCACTGTACCAAGCACTTTACTTACACCATTTTGTCCAATGCTTTCAACACCTCTCTGAGACAGGAATTGTTATCCTATGAAGAAAATTTAAATTCAGAGAAGTAAAATGACTTGCCTAAGGTGTCGTAGAAAGTGGAAAGCTGGGATTTGAACCCAGATCTTTCTTTTCCCTGAATTTATCCCTTTAACCAGTACATTATACAGACATACTGGCAATAAAATAAGCAAACTTCCTGGGGGGATCTACTGCCCATTTCCCCTCTCTCCTGGCAATATGGGTAAGTTAATTTAGGAACAATAATTATCATTCTAGGAACAAATAAATTTTCATTTAAAAACGGACTTATACTATAATAGTATATAGAACCAGCATAAGGCCCACAGTGTTTACACAAAGAGCTGATAAGTCTTCGGTCACTGATTGGAGAGGAGCATAGAGTACAGACGCTTTAGTGAAATTTTAATTTTATATTAAACATGCACACATGGAAAATAAAAAGGACGGTGGGAGGAATGAATAAGAGATAAAGTTCTGAGTTTCATGACTTCCAGATCAGAAATAAAAAGGGAAAAGCCTTTGTACCTGGAAAGATGTAGTCAGCAGGTTGAGCTGCCTTTGCCAAAGTAGCACAGAGCTCATGCCGCAGCTTCTGGGCGAGACTGCCCAGCCCAGAGAAGTTGGGAATAAAGGAGGTGAAATTGTCCTGGGGACTACTGGCAATCTCCCTGAGCTCTGCCCAAACTGCATCTCTGACGCCAACAGCATAAAGCAGGACGCCTGCCCTCCTTAATGCCTCAGCAGGTCCACGGACATGGTCCTCAGCTGGGCCACTGCTGATCACCATGGCAACCTGAGGCACCCCTTGGCTTGCCCGGCTCCCTGCTGCTTCCTGGAAGTGCTGATCTAGAATGAACTGCAGGGCCAGGCCCATCTTCTTGCCCCCAGGCTTAAATTGAAACTGCTGAATGTGTCTCAACACGTTGCCTTTGCGGTGGTAGGTGGAGAGCAGGAACTCTGAATGAGGCACGTCACTGTACTGGGCCAGACCCACACGGATGGTCTCTCTGCTGACATTGAAGCTGTTCACTAGGATGTACAAGAAGTTCCTCACGCTGCGGGCGTCTTGGGGGCTGATGTTGGAGTCCACCAGAAACACAATGTCTCCCACAGAGGCCTGCCTGCAGACTGGGAAAGAGAGTCACTTTAAGATAAAACATTGCAAAACTGACAGCTACTGGCTGGAATTCCATTTCTCCCAATACAGTGCCTTTCCACCCCACAGACCTGGCTGCACAGCTCTCTGATGGTCGTCATATGCACACAGCCCAGGCACGCCATCAGCTTCCTTCGCCTCCTTATGGCCACCTTCTCCCCGCTCACCTGCTGCCCTCTGTTGCATTCCAACAGACATTTGACCCTTCAGTTACATCCCTCACCATGGCTCTCCACTCGGCCCCTGTGCTTAATGAAAGAACTCAGCTTCTATAGCAGTGAGTGCTGTTGGTACCCACTTAGATCTGGCCAGCACACCTGGCCCCTAGCCACTTCAAGTGCTTCAGCTTACTGCTCACATCTGTGACTTTCTCCAGAAACCTGAGCTTGGCCGAAGGGAGTGGCCTCATCTGGAGACACGTGGGAAGTTATACCACCACCACCACCCTGGGTGGCCACTGTCTGACCAGCATGGAGATACAAACACCTGGCCTACTTGCCTTCAGTGAAACAACTCTATGCTGCTCTTTATGCTCTCATGACTCTCATCACCTCTCATGACTCAGGCCAAGGCTTGTCTTTACCTATGGCCGCATTTCTACTTGGCTTCTTCCCTGACTCTATCCCACTTCTCTCATTGCCTTACAGATTTGTCCTATAAAGCACTTTCTCAAAATAATGCACTGTCCCCAAGTCTGCTTCCAGGGAACCTGACCTTAGACATCAGTTTTCCAGCTTTGACCTCTCCACTCCCTGGCCACTACCAGCCTCTTTTAGCGTGGTCCCTGGCATTCCCATCCATGTGGCTCATATCTGTCCTTTGGCTCCCTGAACTGAAGCTGCTGTGCAGCTGCTTCTCCCCAGCCCCTGCTACAATCCCAGGAACCAGCATCTCAACAGCGGCCAGGCCCACTGGGACCCCATCCAGGCCCATCTTGGCCTCCAGCATAGAAGGGAACAGACACCAAGTGGCTGCAGGACTTGAGCAAACCTCTAATCCCTCTGTTTCTCAGATCGTGTCACTCCAGGCTAAGGGATTGACCACATCACCTGGTCTCATTCAACTCAAATTTTGCTTTTCTGTGACAAGAAGCACAATGTGGACTAGGCACAGTGCTCGTGTGGACAGAAGGAAGAAGAGGTAATTATGACTTATCTGTTCCTCTGCAACCTCCATGATTTCTGCCCCCCTCCACCCATATCTCCCAATTTGATTATCTGTGATGGTGGGAGGAGAACATAAATTAGTGATGAGAGGAGAAACAAAAACAGAAACCAGCTAAAAATGGTTTTAAAGTGGCAGAAAAGCCGAAGGATGATAATCCCACATTTGTTAAACACATCTTGCACTTCGCTTTGTGCCAGAGGGTTAAAATGCTGACCTGCACCGACCCTGCACTGTCTTGAAGCCTCATCTTTCTGCCCTCTCCTTCTGAGCTGGTCCTGCTCCGTCCCTGCGGCCACATCCTCCTGCCCTCTCTCCTTCTCTCTGTTCCAGCGTCCTAGTCCAGTGTCTCCAACCTCCCACGCTCCCACTTGCCACTGGACTTAACATGCCCCTCTTCCTTCCAAGTTTCTCTTTCTTTCTTCCACACTTTTTAACTTGGTAAATTCCCACAGAATCATGTTCTTTTATCTTGGTTTGTAATGTAACATTCATTAGTGTGCTTCTTTAATTAATGGCAATTTCCCCAACTAGACTCCAAGCTCCATGAGAACAGATAACCACATCTTTTATTTGCTCACCACATGAGTCTCTAGCAGAGAGCAGAAACCCAAAATATATTTGAGGAAGGAAGAAATAGAGGAAAGGAAGGAGGGAGGGAGGGGACAACACTTACAGAGATGATAATCTTGAACATTAATGAAAACAAGAGAATCAAAATTTTAGTGCTGGAAATAATACTATGAGACTATGCAATGCAATATTATAGCTACTGAGCACCGAGATGTAGTGAGTATGACTGAGAAACTGAATATACTTTATACTGAATTTTAATTTGTCTTCATTTAGATAGTCATGTGTGGCTAGCGGCCACCGTATTGGACAGCACAAGTATAGAATAAGGAATCCAATGCAGACATCTCACAGAGAAGGAAAATAAGACCTAGAAAGGCAGAGTAACTCATTAAGTTCATTCAAAGAGCTAGAATTCACTCAGGAGTGAGGTCACCTGATATCCGGTTCATGCCCTGAACTGCCATAGAGATTAAATTTAAAATCTATATACAGAAAGCAAAGACAAAGTAAGAGTTTAAACAGAGAGGGCTGGTATAAACCAGGGACACTAAATCCATTTGTCACTTCTGTAGTCCTGAGTCCCACCTTTCAACAGTTTGCCTAACCTTGGTTGTAAAGCCAAGTGGAGCCTGAGCATGGAAAAGGCGGACAGTAGGTGGACATCAGCTCCTTTCAGCTTTACTTCCCTTTGGCCCTCGAAATGCAGTCTTTTTGGGAGGAGAGAATTCAGTGACTGTTCCAAGGATGGCTGACTGGTTTGTCCCCTTAACATCTCTTTCAGGAGTGATCAAATGCAGGTCTGGAAATGTTTCCCTGACCTTTCCGATCAGCTGTAGACTATTTTTGAGGCGAGTAAGTTTGTGTTCCCTCATGTGCAACTTGAGAGATGTACTACATTTTCATACATTGTTACTTTATTAACCCCTCCACTCGTTCTTTATAGTTTTAGAAGATGTAGGAAACATGACAAGACTGTCCCAGATTCTGTTCACAAGTGAGGGGAGCCAGAGCCAAAAGGAAAATTGAGAGAGTTGCATGTTTTTTCCCCAACAAATGACAGTCTGTGTAATTATATTTGAATATTAAAACCTCGCTGTTGTCTCAGTGGGGCTTCAGGCTACTCAAACAATCTTCTCTTGATGAGACTTTCATCTTGAAAAGTCCCAAGAATCTATTAAAATAACTGCAAAAAATTGCAGAAGTGTCACTGGCATTCTGTGAAACTATCCATCTTGGGATGACAATTACCCTTCAGAACAGCTCTGCCAAAGAGAAAAGACAGAATGCATAACAGGCTCTTGTTTACAAAAGCATTTGAGAGCCTGATAACACACTCAGGAGTACGGTACTTTTTAATGTCTGTTTTTTTTTTATCATTTAGGGTTAAGCATTGAAAAGAAAAATCAAATGCTCACCATTCAGTAAAAGTTTCCAGATTCTGCCTAAATTCTCCTTCAAGGAATCAGTTCCCTTTTGCTAATTATGAAGCCCCTGTAATATTTTCTTTTAAGATTGTCACTACCACTAGGTTCCTGGCAAGGTAATTGTTTTTGGCTTAAAGAATCTCATGCATTACCAATCCTCTGTGACTCGATGAATCCAAAACTAGCTGCAAGGAAGATGATCTCCCAAAACGTCTTCCAAGTCTCCATTCTAGATGTGTACCTAGAGAGAAAAAGAGACCTTATCATTTTAAAATATGCCTTTTTTTTAAATGGGTACATCACATTGTATTTAATTATATCTCAACAAAGTAGATTTTCAAAGAAAACGTAACTATGTCTTTCCCCAGATCAATAGACACTTTATAAAAATAAAGAGGGAAATGTTGCCACATCGCTTCAATTGTGCAAGGAAAATGGTCTTGCTGACCCAACTAAGGAAGAATTTTGTAAACACTTAGTGTATACCTCGTACTTCACTATTTAAAGTTGTCCAGATGTGGCTATAAAAGGAGAAAGCATGCGGGCATGGGGTAGAACTTCCATTTTACACATTTGGTGGACCATAAACATTCCTGGATGTTTTTGCTTGTATTTTTATATAAGAGTTCGATGACCCGATAAACACTTGTGGGTTACAAAAATATTCAAATATCTCGGGAGCACATCTGCCTGATAAAACAGGCTTGGCTTGAAAATATTATACATGCTCCCAAAAAGAGCAGAGCATCAAACTTCCCTCCTGAAAACCTGAATCCGTTTCCAAGGGTGTCCATAAAAATTATCCACTCTTCATTCCATTTCTGCGTTTTGACTCTAAGAAAGTCCATTTTTTGAAAAATAAGAACATAGTAATCTCATTGAATGAGAGTTTCCAAGTGGAGCAGAGAACACTTCTTATATTCTTAGCCAACCAATCTCACAGCATCCTCAGCAGAGGGTAGTGGAGTTAAACGCAGGGACTCTTGGAGATAGAATACCTGGGTTCGAATCCCATATCTACTACTTAATAGTGGATCTTAAGCAAATTGCGTCCCTTCCGTGTGCCTCAGTTTCCTCATTTGTAAAACAGGGGCAATAATAGTACTTGTCTCATAGTGTTATCAGGATTAAGAGAGTTCATTATTTTAAAAGATTTTTACCTGTGCACATAGAAAGTACTCTTTAGCTATTTGTTAAATAAAATAAACCTTAGCGATCCAATATCTGAGAGTTAAAAAGAATTCCCCCTAATTTGAAACTCAGAGGAAGCAGTTCTTTTATTTTGTATAACTTAATTTATATTATTTGCTTTAAATCATTCACCTGATTTAATTTTCACTTCCAATTGATTGTTGCTTTGTAAGTTATTCTGCTAATACTGCCATGTTTCTCACCCCAAAACTGAGAGAGTTCAGCAGAGTAGCTCTTATTCTGCTCATTTTGTTGACGGAAATGGAGAAATTGGGTTCAAGAAAGTTTAAGTAGCCTGCCAGAGCTACACAGCCATGCTCCAACAGGACCAGCCACTGCCCCCAGGGCCCTGACTCCAGGTCCAGTGCCTGGCTGTACCTAAAGCATGTGCTTCAAACCCTTCAATAAAAATCTTCAAGTCCAGACTGTCACTCAACTTCTGAGTCTACTTTATGTCCAATGAAGACCTGTGAGAAATTTACCCTAGGGCAAAGTGTGAGCTCAAGCCCTAAGTACCTTTATCCACCAGTTAGGTCTTCAAAGAGCACCATTTGTGTCCAAAACACTGTATTAGGTGCTGCAGAGAATGGAATTATAAACTTTGCCTTTGTGCTTAGATAATCAAACACTGTATTTGGAGAGAGAAATTTTACATATCGAAACAATAACAAATTTAGTAAACTTAAAGCACTTTCTCTAAACAAATCAAAGAGTTTAAGCAAGAATCTCTACCATGTCTAAATCACTTTCCAGTCTTGCACCTTTAAATAGAATATTAAGTGGACGTAATCATTACAATGCCCAGAAATGGCAGACACCTAACAACTGAGTTTCTCCTTCCAAAATGTTAAGTATGACCATCCCACTTTCCTAAGGATACATCTCTACTGTTCATGCTCAATTTACTCCTTAAGGGGGATCCAAAGCTGTTAGATAAATAAATCTATTTTATTAGTTATACCAATAGAAAATACCAGGAGAAGTCTTCAAAAGAAGCCCATAGGCCTTCATTATGATTTCAGCTTGGCCATCTGCTCTGCAGACTTGAGCAGCCATTCTACCTTTAAGGCTTTATGTGATGACTCTAGAGCAGTGGTCCCCAATCTTTTAGGCACCAGGGACCAGTTTCATGGAAGACAATTTTTGCATGGATGCAGGGAGGAGGTGAAGGGGCATAGTTTTGGGATGATTCAAGCGCATTACATTTATTGTGCAGTCACACCTCTCTGCTAATAATAATCTGTATTTGCAGCCAGCTGCTCCTCAGTGCTAGCATCACCACCTCAGCTCCACCTCAGGTCATCAGGCATTAGAGTCTCATAAGGAGCCGCAACCTAGATCCCTCATACGAACAGTTTACAGTAGGGTTAGCACTCCTGTGAGAATCTAATGCCACCGCTGATCTGACAGGAGGTGGAGCCCAGGCGGTGATGCAAGTAAATGGGGAGTGGCCGTCAATACAGATGAAGCTCCACTGGCTTGCCCACCACTCACCCTCTGCTGTGCAGCCCAGTTCCCAACAGGCCACAGACCAGTGCCAGTCCACGGACTAGGGGTTGGAGACCGCAGCTCCAGAGGGCTGAGTACTGATTTCAGACCCCTACATTACTACAGACCACTATATTACAAACATTCCTCAGGAGATCAGTCCAGTGTTTTTCCATTAAATAGGTGTGATATCATTCAATTTCTCTGCTCCTCAGTTTCTACATCAACCTCTCACTAGTGCCTCCTCCAAAAGGAATATAAGTAATTCAAGGAAAGATACTTTAAGACTTTAAATATCCTATCCACCAATAAACTTTCACCCAATGGTAAATAAGTGAATGCATGCATCTTAAGGAATAGACTGTTCTAGTGGATTAAAGACTATATGAAAGTAAAGAGTTCAAAAGCTAGCTTGAAAGTGACAAAAATGATCTAAAATAAATTCATGCATCATCATCATTATTATTGCAATAAAATATTACCCTACAATTTTTGAAATTTTGGGAGTAAAGTTAGATGAAATATAAAACGTTTAAGTAGGTATCTACATTTTCATACTCCATTATGTCCTAATTGTTACTATTCATGCAACTAATCATGAAATATAGGTATTTTTAACTAATTACAAATAAAGCACTAGAACTCTTTATGGAAATACAGCAAGAAATTCAAATTTTTATAGTCATTTTGCATCTGTGCATGTGTGTGTTATATCAATGAAGAGTTAAATGTCTGTAGATTAAGGACATAGTATCCACTGGTATATATGATTTTGTCAAGATGTTTGTATCTGATTTAAGCTGCTGAAGGGGTTTTGCATTTGAACACATGGGGCTCACTGTGGAGGCAAGAAATAAAGTCATTAAATGAAATGTAAGTAGGTAGGGGTAGCATAGAATATTGATTCTTTTTGTAAATAGCTCTAATGGTTTGGGGGTAGAAAGAGATTTCTCTTAAAGTATATTGCTTAAATAGCTAACTAACTAGAACAGTCTATTTTTTGAGATTCACTTATTCAATTAAAAAATTACTTTGCAACCACCATTGTAACAATTGATACAGGAAGAATCATCAAGGGTTGCTAAAACTATCAGGTAAAAAAGTTTGTTGGGGAGCAGGATATTAACACGGTCTCAAAATAGCTCCTGAAAAATGACTTATAAACTACAAATGGCAAAAATGTACCTTTACAATGGAGAAGCTTGATGGACATGAGTTAACAAAGTGATCAATTATATCAATAGTAATAGGATAAACCAACATCACATATCTCCTAATGTTATGTATGAGAAAACTTAGCATCATTTATATAGTATTTCTCCCCAAAATCCATGACCTAAATCTAATAATGAGAAAACAATCATATAAACCAAGCCTTGTGGACAGTCTAAAAAACAACTGGCCTGTTGCTCCTTAAAAATATTAATGTCATGAAAGCTAAAGGACTGACCCAAATAAAGAAGTCCAAAGAGACATGACAAATAAAGGCAATTCATGATCATAGACTGGGATAATAAAAAAGTATTATAAAGAAAATTAAGTGAGACAATAAGTAAATTTTTAATATGGACCGAATATTATATAATGATGCTATACCAATATTAATTTTCCTGACTTTGGTCATTGTGTTGCAGTCATGTAAGAGAATGTCCTTCTTACTAAGAAATACACACTGATGCATTATGGGGCAAATGTTCAGCAAAATTATAATCATTCATAGACAGAGGAATAAAGTATTGCAGTACTCCTACAACTTTTTTATTGGGTGTTTACTGTTTGCCAGACAATATATTAATATTACGGACTAGAAATAACAGATTAAAAGGAACAATTTCTTTTCCTCAGAGAACTTGGAATCTAGTGGGAAAGGAGATGGATAAATTGCAGTATCATGGGAAGAACAAAATAATATAGACATCTACACAAGGTGCTGAGGAATACAGTGGGTGAGCACTTCTCTCCATCCGGGTAAAGTGTTAACACAGCAGATGATGCTGGAGTTAGGACTTGAAGGTTGAGGAGACATTTGCAGGTGAGCAAGTGGAGAAAGGGAGTTCCAGAAACAAGAACAGCATGTGCAAGGGCAACAGAAAGATACTCCGCACCTCAGCCGGAGCCCGCCCACAGCCTCAGGAGCTAAGGTCTGGAAGTACTGGGGACTTGGTTAAGCCTTCACTGGAGCTCACACACCAGTGCTGTCCAAGCCCCTCAGGCATGATAAGTCATGGAGATCTTTGGCTTTCTGAAATGCCTGACTGAAAAAGTGGGATAGAAGAGGGACCAGGCAGAGTTCCTCAGTCTTCAATCATAAACCTCCTTAACTTCATTTATTTAGGTTATTAAGTATGAAATGTCCAATTTCCTTAAGTACTAAGTTAGAGGGTTGATATCTCTGACATTTCGCTTTGACACAACTTGTTTTATTTTTATTATGAAGGGACATCCTCAGTCTTTCAAACACATGATTTAGTTTGTGATTATCTTTCAAATATTTTTAAAACAAGTTTTGCAAAACCATGGAAAAATAAAAAAAATGTGTGTTATTTTCAAATATGAGTTCCA